TGGTAGCTTCCATCTCGGCTATGTTCAAACATAAACGTTATGGTTCAAAATGTGTGTACCATTGTAAAGTGATTACATAATTAGTGTTAAATGCTAATTGGATCAAATTTAGTATATTTTTTTGTTTATTTACAGAAAAACATAATGTTGAATGAGGAAAAAGTAAAGTCTGCATGATTGCAGTGATGTAAGGTCAAATGGTACTGTACCATGTGGTAGAGTGTGCTCTGTTGTATAATTTCCCTTCCTCATGTTGGCTATATTCATCTTTGTGTCGAACTATACCAAGCATGCTTCAGAAAATGCAGAAAAAGGATTGATGTGTTGTTTTGGTTGTAAGAGAGGAAGTCTCGCTGAAAGTATTAAGGATACAATTAAAGTTGCACGGCCACATTGACAATATAAAAGTGTAGATGTGATGACCTACTAGCGAAAGCCTAGCTAGAAAACGTTTATGTGCTGGCGGTCATACCGTTTTATGCAATTTACAATAGATTATCATTAAGGACCATTTTATAAATCTGTATCCATATTTTCATACATTTTCGACTTTGCACTATATACAGACATACCTGTACAATGTAAAGCAAAACATGCTAGTCCAGCATGTAAGTCCGGCACGCTGAGCTAGATTGGAACATGTTAATCCAGCCTGACTGACCAATGATTATGCTTGACAAGCAAATGCTAGTCAAGGTGGACACCGTCTTGACTAACATTTGGCTTGTCCAGTAGTTAGTCCGTCCTAGTTTTAACATATCCATATGTATAAGCTAGTCCAGCGAGCATGACTAATATCGTAGTTAGTTCATCAGGTTAGTCTAGCAGGACTGACTTGATTTCACGTTAGTCCAGCAGGAATTACCAACACCAATGTTAGTCAAGATAGGCACCGACTGAACAAGCATTTTGTTAGTCCAGCAGACCAATTTTAGTTGTCAGTGATAAAGTCTTCCAGTTCAGACACTTTGCGCGTTACGGCTTACAATGGTTTGTGACTATAGGAGATTGTCAGCATGGTTATAAAAAACAACACTATTTTAATGTTTGATTTAATATACCTACGGAGAATAATCATTTATTGTCAACCCCAACAGGGGATTATTTTCATCTAGAGAAAAGCATTTGTTAATAACGGCTATGGGGCACTCGTTATAAATTAGAAACAATAAATCAAATCGAATCAAATTTATTGACATAGAATCCTTATTTTTTTAAGAATGTTTTATATTCAAGCGCATACAGAAAACGAAACGAAACAAAATTTCAGACGAATGATTGAAAAGTCATCAATGTACAATCACAACAGGAGAATTAATTCAAAGTACGTTTGGATTCAAACAGCCACAAAGCTAAGCAGAGCACTAATTCCCCGGCTCCCCACCCCGCCCTTTTTATACATGGCCTTATCTTTCAAAACCGGCTCGAAAATGTACTTAATTTTGTTGCTCTAGATGTTTTGTTTTAAATGTATGAATGATAAATTTGGAGATACTTCTATGACCTAAAGACTCTCATGTGAGAAAGGTATTAATATAAGTTTCCTCATGACTATGATGACAGCTTTTCTTTTCTTTTCTGCTGTCAGAGTGCATCATCCTCTAATTCACAAAAGATCTGTTATCTATATAATAGTTTAGGCGTTGATATTTCACTGTAAAATCACACATGCAGGGAGAGTCCCATTTTTAATTGTTAAAATTCGCACTATCCTCCCCTACGATATCCGTGGTGCCATGGTGTAATGGTTAGCACTCTGGACTTTGAATCCAGCGATCCGAGTTCAAGTCTCGGTGGGACCTCTCCTGTTGACATATTTTTCAAAAATCTTCTCATTTTTGTTTCTATTTGTGTAATCTGAACTAACCTTTTCTGACATTATTGTAGGCCTACATTTGTTTAACATGATTTTATTCACATGCACGTTATAAATTATTAATCGACATTTTCCCTTTCGTCTGTTACAGGGCCCTGATTGCAAGCAGAATAATTATGCTTCTTATAGGGGTCCTAACCATTACAACATGGGACCGCTGATGGTAAAGATTTGACAGGTAAAAAAGAGTATAACAGAAAGCTTAAGATGTGAGAGAAAAGAGAAACGGAACGTTGAAGCAAACTAAATAAAACACAAACTGACGAATTTATTGAAGAATAAGAAGAAAAGAAAAAGATAATACCAACAGCTAATCAATATATAATAGGCATTATGTTTGTTATACACATTGTGTTGGGTTGAGTGCAATGATTTGGTAACATGGATTAAGTAAGGATAATTCCACTATCAAAAGCAGCACACTGTATTATAATGAAAATGGTGTATGTGTGTGTGTGTGGGGGGGGGGGGGGGCACCTACCAGAAAAACGGGTTTAGGTTACATCATATTATTTTAGATGGTGGCCTTCCTATGGACAATAATAATTCTTTCCCAACCCTAACAGGGGATTATTTTCATCAAAAGAAGGCAATGACTTTGAGACTCTCATAAGAGAAAGGTATTAATATAAGTTTCCTTATGTCTATGATGACAGCTTTTCTTTCTGTTTAGAAGTGGAACAAAGTCCTAGTATGCTTAAGGGTCAAAGTTTATTATCATCTAATTAACAAAATATCTGTTTCTATACATATTGTTCAGGCGTTGATAAATCTGTAAAATCACACATGCAAGGGAGTCAGCGGTTTAAGTGTTAGGATCCGCACTATCCTCACAATGAATGTACTCGGTGCCATGGTGTAATGGTTAGCACTCTGGACTTTGAATCCAGCGATCCGAGTTCAAGTCTCGGTGGGACCTCATCCACATTTTTCAACAACAACAAAATGACTTTTTTGTCTATATTTTAGTGTGAAATAATCATTTGTGTAATCTTAATTAACCGGTTCTGTCATAATTCTGCTCTACCTGTACATAATTTTATTCCCACATTAATAATGATTATTAATCTATATTTTCTCTCTCGTTTGTAACAGGGCCCCGGATACAAGCATAATTCGGCTTCTAAGGGGTCCTAACCAGTAGATTGTATAATGTCATTGTAAATCGTTTTATAATTTGAATTGAAATTGAATTAAAATTGAAATAGATGATTTGCATAATAGTTTTGTTTCACAATTTTTCTTTTTTGTATTCTAGGTCATCACTCATCAGGGCCTTGTTTCATAAAAACTTGTTATCAATAACACTGAACCTAAATTTCTATGACAAAATTTGCTCTCAGCCAATCATTGCAACGACTCAAGTAGCTTATTACAGGCTTGTTATTGATAACAAGGTTTATGAAACAGAGTTCAGACTGTGTAATACCATCCCGGACTAATTCTCCTTTGAAAAAACAACAATTATCACCTGGCAAACTATACCGGACAACTAACCTCTTCGCCAACCCGCAACTACCCCCCCCCCCCCATTATACCTGAATACGATTAGTGCGTTTATTTTTAAAGCCCCACTGCACTACATAGCTACTTGCGCCCTCTATATAGCAAACAATGCCTAATCGGTAACCATTGATCCCCCATGATCCCCTTTTTCGTATGTTAATTGAGAGCTTGATGAGATAACCACCTGTCAGTGACCATGCAGGAAGGTCTAATCCCTCCTGGCCAAACTAGTGAAGTGGGGCTTTAATGGGATATAGAGTTGTGAAAAGAAGATACTAGTAGTTGGCACAGTGGTTATTAATATAGGACGCTGTTGTCCGAGGTATAGTTGTCCTTGGAGTGATAGTCCGAAGGCAGTCGTCCAGACAGCTCCTGGGTGATACAAGAAGAGAATTAGGTAAACATTTGGGAAGTATCAAAAAGAGATTAAAGAAGAAGAAATTATATTGTATCCCAATGATTATTTATACGAAATAAATAAACAATAAACCAAATCTAGATATAATGATAGTAATGCTCATTTAATCCTTTTTCTTTATTTTTATAAGTTATTCATACTACATCCATCCCCCCAAAATTGGTAATGTTATAATATGTCAACTACACTGTGTCATTGCTCAGAAGTGAATACTTTAAGTTTGGCTAATCTGCTTTCTCTGTTCTCCTCCTCTTTCCTCTTTCCATTTGCTCTCATATCTCCACAATATGTTAAGCACTCGTATTATTGTCAATATTTACGCGCATGGAACATCCGTGGTTTTATGGTGTAATGGTTAGCACTCTGGACTTTGAATCCAGCGATCCGAGTGCAAGTCTCGGTAAAACCTTCCATTTAAAAAAAAAAAAACTATGGTGTTTGTACATTCTGTATTTCTGAATTCATTTTGAATCCTCAGACAGATGTATCTTGGGAAATATCAGCCGTCTATTTACCACAAAAAAAGGCCAGAAAAAAATTGTGGATAATCGTAAAAATAATAAAATGTGATTGTTATTTGTTAATTTATACATGACTAGTATCATTCAAATTCTACTAATCACATAACTTTATCTCATATTGATTTGCTGTTTCTTTCCTGAGTAAGTTGTATTCCAAGTTTGGATTCCCGTCTTTCATTTTGGTTATTTGCTATTTTTACACCAGTTTCCGATTATATTTCAATCTCAACAGACTCTCTCTGTGTGACATTCACCCCTTTTCTCTCCTCTCCATCTCTCTCTCTCTCTCTCTTTCTCTCACTCTCTCTCACACACACACACTCTCTCTCTCTATCCATCTCACTCTCTCTCTGTCCATCTCTCTCTCTCTCTCTCTTTCTCATCTCTCTCTCTCTCATATCTCTCTCCCTCTCTCTCTATCCATCTCACTCTCTCTCTGTCCATCTCTCTCTCTCTCTTTCTATCCATCTCACTCTCTCTCTCTCTTTCTCTCACTCTCTCTCTCTCTCACACACACACACACACACTCTCTCTCTCTCTCTATCCATCTCACTCTCTCTCTCCATCTGTCCATCTCTCTCTCTCTCTCTTTATCTAAATCTGTCATTTTCCCTCTCGTAGTATGCGAAATAATAAATATAGAGATATTACTCTCAAATGAAGTGCTAGGTGAGGGATATACGGTAAGGGAACTAGATGTTTTTATTAGTCCATCATTCCATTTCAACAAAAACCCTGGATCACAAAAATATTCAAAGTTGATAAAAATCGAGGAAAGTAAAGAGTTGAAATGCACATTCTTAGAACACAATAATTATTAAAAGATATGAAATAGGTTTGACAAATCGTTCATATTATGAACGATTATTATTAAACGGACACAGACCACTCATCTAAAATTACTTTGCCCGAAATACTAAGCATGGTTATCAAGAAAATTAATAGAAGTTAAACCATATAAACAGAATGCCTCATGACCTAATTTTTTTTTATTTGATTATTTATTTACAGGTTACAATGATAATAATGATGATCAAAGGTTTTATCATAGCACACATACTTGTTATGCTCAATAGTCCTATCGCTCAATGCAGACCTTGTTAAATACGTCCATTTTTACGAGTCTCTCTATCATTTTTAAGAAATCTTTCCCTGTCAGGTACCCATTTTCTATATGTATCTCGATCAAGTGTGGAAAATAAATTTAGATCAAGGTCCACAAAAGGACGTAACTTGCAGGGATTCGAACCCTATATCTTGTGATCTTTAATGTGGTCACGTAATGTTGTTCTGTCCACAACGAGATGTACTAATTGCACGCTACACTCTTTACAAAATGGAAGTACGATGTTATATTTTGTTATTTTTACTTTGACTGATGTTACTGTGTCTAATCTGTTCTTTTCTTTTGATTTGCAAATATCAATCAAAGTAACGTAGTTGGGGGGGGGGGGGGCACAGACTAGACCATAACACTTGTTGTACCGGTATGTCACTCAGTCTTTGGTTTGCCGAGGACAATGTGGGCCCCCATATACATGTACCTCTCAATGATATATGTTACTGTAAAAGTAAATATTACTTTCAAATAATGTGTTTATTTTGTTTAATTGTTAAAAAACTTAACAGATCTATTAACATCACTTATTTCAAGAAGGACAGATGTAAGAAAGAAACAAATCTACTTCTTCGTTGATACACGGCCATGGCATGTGAACTGCTACTTGCTCTTGATAAGATGTAACTAAATCCCAAGTATCTATCAGCTTGGCATTAATGCCAACAAACTCCTCCTCCATTATTCGACTCATTTGTCTGAAAACATAGTCGTTGCTATGGACACGAGCTTCAAATGTAGGTTGTTCACGAGGCTGAGATTTTTTGATGACTGCCATTACGCGATCGTCACCGAGCCTCGCACGCATGCGTGCGATACCGTTACGAATCGCGCGCATCCTGTCACGATAGCTGTCCATATTCCACGAGGCGTAGTGCGCTGACATGCTGATAAAAATAACGTATTTTACATCGGGGTCATTGAGCTTATCCATGTATTCGGGTTCGAACATGCGCCATAAACCAGCGAAGTTAAAAGTTGCCGCGAGTGCCGCAGAGAGGACATGAGTCTTAAAAATGACTGTATGCGTCTCGTCCTCGGTGCAACCATAAAACGAGTCCAACACATCCTTGTTGCCCAATTTCCTTTCCAGAACTCGGAACCACTGGCATGCTATAGAATCGCCCAACATGATAATTTTGTGACCTGCCAAGCACTTCTTGACATTGCCCGGGTCATCCCATGAGTGTCTGTTGGAACAGACGAGTGACTGCCATTTTGGGCCTAGCCAATATCCTTCTGGAAGTAAGCTTGAGTTCCTGCTGTCGCTGTCGCCGCACAATACTCGAGGACGTTCGATCTTGTAATCATAGATTAAAGAAAGCATTCCTGTTTAAGCAAGAATCACAAGAGTGGTTGAATTTTAAAATGGTGCAGTAGTAGCCCGGAGTAGAAGATACAATTCAAATCATAATCCAATTACAAATATTCCCTTGTAATGAATAGCAAAATCATAAAGTAAAATTTATAATGTTGCTATGTCTGAAAAACATATGGCAAGTTTTAAGTTTTTGTGTACGTAATTTTATTGTTTGCTATCAATGTCAATTAAGTAATGTAATGTTGTAAAGCGCTGTGATACACATGTATGTCTGTAAGAGCGCTATATAAATGCCAATATTATTATTATGCTCTAAATCTGATTTTGTGACCTAGTCTTTTGAAAAGGGAATTCGTGAGAGTAATGAGTGAGATGGTCTTGAATGCACAGGAGTGGCGACAAAAAATGAGGATGGGGTGATTAATTATGATAACCTTCTCCACCCCTTTCGATTCTCCATTTTCATTTGCCTATCAGCACGTTTGGAAACCTATGCCCCTTCTCCAAAGAACTTCTTCCGATGCTCCCGCTGGAGAGTCTGAAGATTGCATACTGGCAAAGATACTAGCAAAGACCTTTGACTTATGAAAGTAGAACGCCACGGACATGAACGGACTTTTCTAGGTATTGCTCCGTATTCAGTCGTTTTCTGAAGTTTAGAGACCAGATATTTTGACATAATATGCTCAGATTAAGTATATCTCTGCATCCTGAGTAAAGTTTGACGGAAATATTACATCAATCATGCCTTATAGCATAGAAATTTACATCGATTTGTTTCCGAATACATACTTGGGCCTTGATCGACCTGGCTTGGTTGGCTTTGATTGCCATAGTGAACTTACCTGTACTGCTCTTTTCTGCAATATCCATGTGGTACACTGATTGGGGTGATCTCAGCTGGGTCTTGTAGAATGTGCTGTGGTGAAGATTAAAAGAAAGAGAACAGAGTAGTATTTAATAAAGAAAGTGATAAATTTTGGTCAGTTGTAGACAATTACCTGACAGATTGATTTACATGCATTATTTCAGACTATCCAGCTATGTATAATGCATGCATGTATGTATGTATTTTGCATTGTAAATGTCCTATACAGCCTTTCTTTTTCAAATCTAGCACGACGACGTGACGGACTTGGCACTTCAGTATCAATCGATAAACTTGTTTTCAAAAATGTAATCTTCGTTTGTTTTTAAAGTAGCTGTGCGAATATTTTAAAAACTAACTTTATTTTCATTATTGCAAAGGTGAAACTTTGATTGGACAATTTATTGTATCAAAATCCGATGCTTGGAAACATTCAAAGTAATAATTATCATCAATTACAAAACGCTTAAATACAGCCTCCGAACACTGCTGAGATGTGTGACATCACAAGTTGGGCATGATTTGCACAAGCATGTCCCATGACATCTCACACATTGTCAGTGCCTGAGTTATCATCTTCTATTCAGTTAATTCTCTTATACCCCATTCACAGTGGCCTCAAACACCGCGACAGCAGCGGGACTGTCCCGCTGCTGTCGCGGTGTTGTCTTCAGTGTGAAGGCTCGGACCCGTTATAAACTATCGCGGGATAACACCGCCTCGCGATAACGCCGCGACAAACTATCGCTAGGTTCGCCTAGCTACAGCAGCGGGACAGTCCCGCTGCTGTCGCGGTGTTTACTCAGTGTGAAGGCTCTCCGCTATAACACCGCGACAAACACGTGTGATTTGTTTACTTACCTATCACTGACCTCTTTTCTCCAGCAATGGGGAACATAAAGTGAAATAGAAATAAAGTAACCAGTGGATTCAAATTGATTTTATTATTATGTAGATATTATAATTATCCAAATAAAAATATTTCACACTTCAAAAAATTAAAATATTCTGACTGGAAGCAATAAAAATGCTAGTTTTTTAAAAAGTACTATGATCGAGGATACAAAAAGCAACTTGACATGTTTACGCGCTGAAGTATTTCCGGTCATATCGGGGTCACTCGCGGGTCATGAGCCATGCATACACGTGTTTGTTACGGAGGTAATAACAATCACCCGCTGCAGCGTGAATGGGTACATGATATTTATCCCGCTGCTGCAGCGGGATAACTTTTCTACTGTGAATGCATTTGTAGCGGTGTTATGGCGGTGTCGCCGCTCCGCTACAACGCCGCTACAAATTTCAAAACCACTGTGAATGGGGTATTATACCCCATTCACAGTGGCCTCTAACACCGCGACAGCAGCGGGACTGTCCCGCTGCTGTCGCGGTGTTGTCTTCAGTGTGAAGTCTCGGACCCGTTATAAACTATCGCGGGATAACACCGCCTCGCGATAACGCCGCGACAAACTATCGCTAGGCTCGCCTAGCTACAGCAGCGGGACAGTCCCGCTGCTGTCGCGGTGTTTACTCAGTGTGAAGGCTCTCCGCTATAACACCGCGACAAACACGTGTGATTTGTTTACTTACCTATCACTGACCTCTTTTCTCCAGCAATGGGGAACATAAAGTGAAATAGAAATAAAGTAACCAGTGGATTCAAATTGATTTTATTATTATGTAGATATTATAATTATCCAAATAAAAATATTTCACACTTCAAAAAATTAAAATATTCTGACTGGAAGCAATAAAAATGCTAGTTTTTTAAAAAGTAATATGATCGAGCTAGCTACATGAGGAATAGAGTGTGTAAAGTACAGCTAGCGCGCGCAATTTCAAGCAATCGAAAACCCCGCGCTGAAGTATTTCCGGTCATATCGGGGTCACTCGCGGGTCATGAGCCATGCATACACGTGTTTGTTACGGAGGTAATAAAAATCACCCGCTGCAGCGTGAATGGGTACATGATATTTATCCCGCTGCTGCAGCGGGATAACTTTTCTACTGTGAATGCATTTGTAGCGGTGTTATGGCGGTGTCGCCGCTCCGCTACAACGCCGCTACAAATTTCAAAACTACTGTGAATGGGGTGTTACTTCACTACAGTCAGGCTAAATGTTTAATCTATTGCCTCACTCTAAATCCCGCGGATGCTATTATTTTGATGAAAATGCAGCGATGAAAAAGTAAAGGAATCCGTCGCGTGTAAACAAAATAAGATGCCATTGTAATTTCAGCTGCATACACCGCGGTATTTTCGGCGTTTCAAGATGGAACAATGCCGTCCATGTTATCATTCAGGGGGGGGGGGGGGGTTTCAATTTAAAAGTATGGTTCGAATTAACCCCTATCCTGTGTATTTACAAATAGAATATTATATCGCTTTTTGAATGGTGTGAAATGCCCGGCATCACATTCATATGCTCTAAACTCATTATAATTTGATAAATAATAGCAAAGAAATTATATTAATTCTTTATAGGATGTCGCCAGCTTGTGCAAATCATGCCCAACCTTTGATGTCACACATATCAGCAGCGTCCGGAGAGCTCTTCAGGAGCTAGGCTGTATTTAAGCGTTTTGTAATTGATAATAATCGTTACTTCGAATGTTTCCAAGCATTGAACTTTAATGAAATTGCCTAATCAAAGTTTTACCTTTGCAATGATGAAAATAAAGTTAGTTTTTTAAAATCTTCTCAAAACTACTTAAGAGAGCTGGGGACAAAACCATGCCACAATTTAGTCGAGAGTTATTGTCCAATGGCGTAAATCATTGTGAACATCCAACATTTATTCCGCATTATCTTTGAAAGGAACCGGTACAATTATGACAGATACAAACTTACTTTTCGAATAGGTACTTCTTTCCTACAATGAGCTGATTAACTGGCTGCTCTATTCCAGCAAACTGTCTATAAGAAACTAATGATCTGATGTCATCACAAATGAATCCTTCAGGCATGGTGCATATAAAAGCGCTCTGTCCCATCCCAGTCTCATTGGCACCATAAATGCAGATGTTCTTGTTTATCAAGTAGTTCCAACCTCGTTTCACCACGCACCGACCTTGGCCATCGCCGACGTCAAATCTGTTGTATCTGGCGGCCCAAGTGAAGCACCCATCAGCTTTCATGTAGACCTCACTCAGCCACCGTACGGTGTCTGATGGATAGCCTAGTATAACGTGCAGGTCCAGTCTCCCAGCAAGTGGCGCCAAGAAATAAGCTGAGTAGCTCCCATTCTGATAATCAACCAGACGAGCAGCTGTTCTGAAGTGCTTGTTGGGTGAAGTCGCTCTAACAAACCAGAAGTCACCACCTCTGGTCTGAGGGCGCCCCATCCCGTCGCACGCGTATATCCGAATCTCAACGGTATCGCCGACTTCGTACCCTTGTCGGACGGGATAGAAAATGGATGTTGCTGCAGAGGTTAAGAGCGAAGCATTGAAGTTTGAGTACTCCTTGATTTTAGTACTGTTGTGAATATAGACATCAAAAAGATGGTCCAGATCATATGATTTCAAATTGAGCGGAGGTATCGATTGTGTGGTGTGTAGTTTTACTTCTCTGCTGCCCTGTGCATCGAGACTTACAGCAAAGCTGATCCTTTTTGAAGCTGAAAAAACCTGATGATCGAAGAAAAAATATTTACAAAATATTTATTGTTACTCTTCATCTATACGTAAGATCACTTTCATGAGAAAATTATGTGAAAGAAGGAAATAGTTGTGTCGATTTGACTCAACAGTCATTACGATGGTTTACGTGGGTTCGCATCCCACCGCTGCCACCACGTTAGTATAGGGAGTTTTCGCACGACGACGTAAGTGCTGACTACAGGGTAATAGGGACTTTTAGATTTGCACGTCGACAGCTTTGACTGCAACGTGTGACGTCATTTTAAGGCACTGCGCATGCGTCACGTCGTCTCAGTCGGCGATCGAGAGTGCGTCAACCTTGATTTTCCTAAATCTAGTACGGTACTAGTATGCCGCGTGCGCATAAAATATACAGTTCCTCAGGTAGACAAAGGACGTCCTTTCCCTGCTATTATGTAAAAATGTGTAGAACAGGTGTCACATGTATATTCACCTGTTCTACACATTTTACATAATAGCAGTGAAGGGATGTTCTACCACAGCAATTGTTGAGGGTAGAATGAGGAACTGTATATTTTGTCCTCTTTCTTTGTCCGTCATGTTCATAGTGTTACTTCCTGCATGCATGTATATCGTCGAGTGCAATCTAAAAGATTTCTAATTATAGTCAACATGGGCAGTTGAGTACGTTGACACGCATGATCAGTCGGCGTTCGTCGTGTTCTCGTCCACTCAATCTAAAAGTCCCTATTTAAATGAGCTCGACTCCCGGCGCTAATTCGGCTGAGTACCGTCCTGGGTTTGGACGTAGTCCACGTCCTGGACGATTTTTATTGATGCGCAACCCCCTCACATAACCAACAGGTGGCGCAGTCATTTTACCGCGCTCATTCACTTACTCCAGTGATTCACTTACCCCAGTGATTCACTTTCCCCGAAAAAAATGTTGTGGGAGTACGACTATTCTGCATGTGCGTATGTGTGTGTGTGTGTGTGCTATGGGGTGTGCACTCAACCAGACGATAGCGAAATCGTGAACAACATTCCAGGGGTGGACTAGTTTGGACGCTGCGCAGAAATTTTCGCTCTGAGTGCGACCCCCCCCCCTCCCGTTAAGATTAGCGTTGTAAAAGGCCGCGTCGCCGGTTGCGAAAACTCCATAATGCAAATTAGATCTCGACGGTAGCCAGTACGGAGACGGTCACAGCTCATTAAAATACCCCGTAGTCAGCACTTGTGTCGCCGTGCGAAAACTCCCTAATGATCAATAACAACGGTCAAAGTTAATAAACTCTGTACAATCATGATGCTTTGGCTTGACCAGCAGTGGGTCGAATAGGCCGATGCACATTACTATCCAACACCCCCTTAGCTCTACATTCTCACCATTCGCGCTGGCTGCAACCGTGCAGGACTCTTTGCAGAAACCCCGGCCCCCCCACTCAGTGTTATTTAGGGTACGCATATGCTCGTACCCTCTTTTTGAAAGCACCCCCTATCTGAGGACTGCCAACATTTCCGAACCCCCCTTTCGCGGGCTTTTTGCGGGCTTTTCCTGCCTTGGAGACCCCCCTAAATCAGGAAAAATGCTCAATGTACCCCCCTAAATTCGGAATAATTTCTCAGGATTCCAAAGAGATGAGAGAAAAAAGAAAAACACCCCCTTTTTAAAGAAATCTCCGGGTGAAAAGTCAAATACACCCCTTTTTTTACAAATCTCGGGCCGGACTTTGTCGCACGAAAAGTACCCCTTTACCGGACATTTTGGCAACACGCATGCGGTCATTCCGACCTCTGAGTGGGGGGGCCGGGGCAGAAACTCGCAACAGCTCGAAAGACCGACAGGCCACATGATCGCGGCTTTACGCGAGCGATTTTCTCCCTGTCATTTGCCAAACACGCCCCCACCCCCTTCCCACCCCCACCTCCACATCCACATAATTTGTTTATTTTTGTTTGTATGAGATTTTGATATCTCTATCTCTGCCCTCTTAAAAACAGTATGGCCCAGCCCAACAAGTCACAGCCCAGGCTTGCTTTACAGCAGATTCTATCTCAGGCACGAAGTGGGTATCTTGCAAACAACAAATGTTAACATGTTTTCCAGTTTAGTACATCTTTTTGTTTCTGAGATTTTCCTAAACCTCTAAAGTTCATAGAAATAATCTTCAACTTATTATACATCATGCTAACAAATAACTATTGTATATGTATAAGGCCATCGGAGGAATTTCAAAACATGTATAGAGCATGAGTAACAGTACAATACAACGAGCAACACAGACAAACAAAGAAACAAGACAGACAAACAAGACATTGAACTTGACAAATACAAACACACTAAACATGCAAATTAAGAGAGCTATACGACGCCTTTAACTCCCCCTGTCCACACACAACATTTTCCGTGATTAGGCGTGATTCTTTAGGCCACGGGTGGCCAACCCGCGGCCCGCGAGCTCTTCTGGTGCGGCCCGCGGAGCAGTGAAAAAATACTTCATAAATGAAATGCAGCCACATATAGCAGCGATGAAGTAGGGTAAAACATTTACACGCAGCTATCTCTAATATTTCCATAATTTGATTTCATCTTTCACAACGCATTGACTCGTTACTTGCATGGTGATACACTGACTCCTCAAATTCCCTCTCATTACATTATATTAACGACATTAATACCCGCATTAATATCACTCGCCGTGTAAATTTCAGTTTGTAATTTCCGCACGCAGTAACAACTGTTGTGAATCGAGAAATAATGTTTGAAATGCCATACTTGTTTTCAAACTTACAACTCTTTTCTCCCGCCGTACAATTTTCTCATGAATCTTAATCGTAAACTTTATAGTCAGTCCCCTTCCCTCTACACCACGTTCAATTAGATGTACAGTGTACAAGTAATACATTTAGGATATTCTTTCTGCTGTGTCCTTGATTTTGATTGAAATAACAACCAACATGGCAACGACCTCGAGACCTGCGAAGAAAAGGAGAGTTTCTGATGAAGGCAGAAACTTTAAATAAGATTGGTCTCTAAAGTGTTTCTTCATAGTAGAGAAAGGTGGACCACTTTACCTCATTTTCACCAGAGTATGTAATGGAGGTTAACAACATAGTAGAAAAGTGCAAGCCACAGAAATCACACTAAATATAAGCCTGATTTGTTTTTCTCACTGATCTTGTTGTTTGCTTGTTTGTTTTTGCAGAATTTCAGGTGTGTACACGTATTGCATGAGTGTGTGTGTGGGGGAGGGGGGAGACTAAGTTATGCCAATCGTTAGCTGTGGCCCGCGAACTTTAAAAGGTTGGCCATCCGTGCTTTAGGCCATTTAAAAAAAATATACATGTTTAGCGTCCCCGCCCGTTTCCTTTTTGGGGGCCGCCTCCTATTTTTTTTTTAAAGAAAAAAAACATGAAAAACACTGCTAAAATGGGTCTATTTCTGATTTAAAAAAAAAAAAAAAAAAAATTGTCGGCGGCCATCTTGAAAAATAGCCCAACATTCAGGGAAAATGTACCGAGCGGCCATTTTGGGCGGCCATTTTGAAAGAAGAAAAAAAAAAAAAAAAAAAAAAGCGGGCCTCCTTCCTATTTTTCGAAAAAACAGGACGCTAAACATTTTTTTTTATTTGGCCTTATTGAGTTCTAGTTCGAAACGATGCCCTGCGTTTCGTTAGACTAGTTTCGTTATACGACGTATCGTTAGTGAGCGTCCACACACACAATTTCATCGTAAAACTATCGCGAAACGGTATAGCTAATCACGCCTAATCACGGAAAATGTTGTGTGTGGACAGGGGGAACCATTAGGGCCACACCCCGTACCCTCACGCCATCAGGTCCCAAGCCACAAATCCCACCCTTCAAAAGTATCGCCTCATTATACGAAATTGAACATACATGCAGAGCGCAGGTGTGGGCTTACCGCTCATGATGGCGGTCTCCTGCATTTTCTGTAATTTATCTTTTTTCTTTGAAATTATATTTGTGTTTGGTTGCATCTTATTCAATGTACTTAAAAATGTATAATTACGTAAAATGAAGAAATATTTGTTACTTTATGTATATGATTATGTTTCATTTTGAAAATGCAGAAATAAGAACAAACAAACAAACAAAAAAACTATACGGTCTATGGCACAACTATTAGAAACAAGTCCTGGTATTTGTTTTCATAATGGCCCGAATTCACAAAGGAGGTTTGTCGACAAACCTCCGTTTGTTTCGACAAACCTCCTTTTGTTATTTACAAACCAGGTTTGTAAAAAAACGCGTCAAAACGCGTCATATGACGTACATAAACCTCGGCATAACCCTTTGTCGACAAACCTCCTTTGTGAATTCGGGCCAATGTGTGTATCGAGCTTACTTGTAATCTGAATATAAATCAACTGCACTGGATGTTTAAATGTTTCCAATCCAATTAAAGTGTCTCAAAGATTTGGCATGTTGGCATGCTTTTGCCTCATCCTCTTGCGTAATTTCCCAAAGTTGCATAACAATTAGTCACGGCATCCAATACAAATTTTTATATATGTATTTTGCCTCGTCTGCTTGCATATTTTTCAAGCGTTACAAAGCTTTATAGCAAGTCGTAATTAACATTCAATGCAATGTAAATCATTCTTTCTTGTGATCTGAATAACTGGATTGAATAGTTAAACAATGGTTTGACCTTCTTCAAAGATTACATGCGAGTGCATGAGAGCCTTTATGCTAATAAATGCACATGTATACGATCACAAATGACAATCAATAGTCCAGTTCGTGGATACAATCTGCGCATCCGCAGATAAAAGTACAAAATTGCTTCCCACTAATACTGGATACATGCTCACGAAAGTTAAGTTATCACTGTTCATGCATGCACCTGTGATACATTCTATTGAACACAGGTGGAAGTAATTCTTTCAAGAGGGCACACAAAGAATCACCTCCATGAATTAAGCTGTGATTATTCCAAAAGTCACAAAGTGGGATTTATATGGGCCTATGTTTAAAAGATATGTGGATATGTGGGGTCATCTGAACCATGTGCTAACTACGAACAGGTCTATTCAGACTCTGATGATTAATAGCTGAATTCTAAACAATGCCAATCTTGAACTATCATTACCTTCAATAGGTTATATCCTCGTCTTAATATAGGTAAATAATAATAGGTAAATAACAGTCATGTAATTGGCCACTTGAATCACAAATATTAGTCCTATATAGAGTCCTTAGAGCCTATAAATCGGCCATCATAGTATAATTATAATAATAAAACATAATGACCAATTTAACGATGAACGAATCGAACAGACACCGCAATTTAGATGTTTTCGTTAAATTCTTTTTATATATAATTCGAACCTGATATTACACACGTAATAGTCTGTGTTGATGTTGTAGTTGCTAACTAGCGTGGTAAACACATGCAGTTAACCTTACTTGTTTTGTTGTTGTAATGAGGTTTAATGAAGGGGAAATATAGATTGACACTTATATTCCACATTATGATCTAACTCGGTACGATATACACCAAACTGTTAACCCACTGTGACAAAAAAATATGAAGAAGGATAACAAACTGAGGAATTAAGAGGCCAAGACTTAAAGAAACGCGCATGATTTAGTAAGCAGAACATCGTTATGTGATGAAATCATAAACTGATTAGGCCTATATGAGTTTTATAAATTTAGACCCCTGCTAGAAGAAAAGAAAAGGGAAGCAAAATGGACGCTCCAGTCATACTCACCCACATGAAAACGAACAACACCAAGGTTGCCAGCGCAGCGATAAAACATTTTCTTAGCCATGAAAATCCACTTCTTCTGTTAGGAACTGTTTTGCTCTGAACTAAGCTGAACTTCGACAGTACATTGTTTACGATGGTTTGACTTGAAGACATTCTGTATACTTGTTTATAATGCTTTGAGACACTGACTCCTCTAACCCACGACAGACATACGTACTCTAGACGCTGCAGATGTTCGATCGGAAAATGAATCTGAGCGTAACAGCATATATGCTTAGCTGGCTTTCAGGCTTCAAAAAAACAACTTAGAACTTTTTTGCTACGTGTAAAAACAGGCATATTTGATTGATGATAATTTAACAATTGACTCAAATTGATAGATGATACCTCAATGATTGACTCACAAATCAACAATGCCAAATCCCCATCCGCGTTTCCCACAACATGTTACTATTCAGTGAAACATTACTCTGGGTTACAAGAGGACGCTCTAGGACATCAGTCGCGATGCTTAGTTAAGTTCTGTTCTGATTTTTGTTGTTGTATTTGTCATCCCTTTCAGGGCACTTCTCTCCACATATCTAAAACTTTCACAATAACATACATGACATGTATACAATTTAATCATTATTTTAGCATATCAATCAAAGCTTTTACCTGTTTTTCATTATTAATTATTATTTACAGAATAGTGTTTTTTTTAATTTTTTGTTTTGATAACTTGGAAATTGTTTTAGATCGTGTACATTCTTTTTCGGACAGAATTGTATTGGCGGTGGACTTTAATTGTAAATCCCTTTTCAAAAAGATTGACTGCATTGTGTACAACCCAACTTCTTTGCATCCCACGTTTATGGCACTCCTAGAGAAGGTGATTACTTTCAAGTTCCGGCCTGTCCTCGAACTGTGGAACAAACTCCCTCCTCACCTCCGAAATGAGAACTCCTACTCACAGTTCAAGTCTCTGTTAAAAACGTTTCTTTTCTCAACATATTAGTTTGTTTAATTATGTTTTACATTGTACTACCTTATATAACTTGTATTAATATAATATGCTTTGTATTGGATATCCTATATGTTTCAATAGTGTATTATGCGTATGTAACCTTTTAGTTTTTTTTTAGTTTTTTTTTTAATATTCTATTGTTGCAAAATTATGTCCTGAAGTATGTTAAATTTTAACTTATGTGTATTTTTATTGAATCACTTTATGGTCGTATGTCCACAATTATACAATTTTTACACAACTGCGCCAGGAGTGTCATTTTTGACAGACATGGCGCATTAATGTTCGCTATTATTATTACAAAATGTACTAAATTATTTTGTTGCTTTTAATGTTTTGTTTTAAATGTATATATGATAAAGTTGGAGATACTTCTATGCAGTTGAGAATCTCATGCGAGAAAGGTATTAATGTAAGTTTCCTTATGGCTACGATAACAGCTTTTCTTTCTGTTAAGAAATGGAACAAGGTGCAGGTATGATTGAGGGTCGGAGTGCATCATCCTCTAATTCACAAAAGATCTGTTTTCGCTTCATACTGTTTAGGCGTTAATATAGCTGTAAAATTATACATGCAGGGAAGTAAATCAGAAGTGAATACTTTAAGTTTGGCAAATCTGCTTTTTCGTTTTTTTTTTGGTCCTCATCTTTCCTTTTTCCATTTACTCTCATATCCCCACAATACGTCAAGCACTCGGATTTGATCAATATTTGCACACAGGTGACATATGCGGTCTTATGGTGTCAGGGGCGTACGCAGGATTTTTTCAAGGGGGGGGGGGTTTAACATTTATAAGTCGGGCCGAAAATTTCGCAACGACTCAGCCGACCGCTGAATAAGCAGGGGGGGGGGGGGGGGGGGGGGTGGGGGGGGGGGGGGGTAGAGGACACTTTTTTTTGGTCTCGAAATTTGAAAATTTGACGTTTTGCTCGTTGGGGGGGGGTGTAAGGTCAGCTTTTTTAGGTCAACCATGGGAATTATTTTTTTTTTTTTTTTTTTTTTTTTTTTTTAATTAAAAAAAAAAAAAAAAAAAAATCCAAAAGGGGGGGGGGGGGGGGTTTTTTTAGAAATTGAGGGGGGGTTTACACACAAAAAATTACCAAAGGGGGGGGTTAACCCCTAACCCCCCCCCCCCCCCTGTGTACGCGCCTGTATGGTGTAATGGTTAGCACTCTGGACTTTGAATCCAGCGATCCGAGTTCAAGTCTCGGTAAGACCTCTCAGTGTTTTGTTGTTGTTTAAAATTATGGTGTTTGTACATTCTGTACTTCTAAATTTGCTTTGTTTTGTCACGTTTGGATGTATCTTTGAAACGTGATCCGTCTATATATAAAAAATAAAAAAAGGTCAGAAAAAATTGTGTATGATCGTAAAAATATGAAAATGTGATCATTGTAATGTGTTACTTTATACACATCAAAGAATCCTTCAACCTCGAACAAGATGTCATGGACAAAGTCTCAACTAAAAGACTCAAAAAATATTTTGGTCACGTCCTACGAATGAAACCCACAAGATACCCCAACATTGCTGTTGAAGGAAACGTCACAGGAAATCGACCCAGATGCCGTCCACCCAAAAGATGGCTTGACTGCATCTCAGAGGACTGCAAAGCAAGATACATACCAAGCATGACAGATGCATCAAGATTGGCTGCAGACAGAATGAGTTGGCATAACATCATTGTCAACCTTACTATAATATATCAGCAAAAGAAAAAAAAAGGAATTGGCTACAGTGAGTTTCGAACCCAGTACGATAGCGTTCAAGCGCAGCGCTCTTACCGATCACGCCATACGGAATAGTGGCTTTCAACGAAAGCGTATATATTAATATAGCCTTGACGAAATTAACTGTATATTTATGAGGTCAAAAATGACCATGTGCGGATGCGCAGGTATAGATAGTTCTTAGGAAAAAATCACCCGGCCCCGGGTTTATAGGGTTAAATTTGTAGAAATTGGCATCAGTGTATTTGTCGGCAATTGGTGGCTAGTTTTGTTGGTAATCGGTGGCCTCTACCCCCCCCCCCCCCCCCCCCCCCCCCCCCACTGAAAGAGTTCTAGCAACGCTCCTGTAAGGGAAATAGAGATTTTTATTAGTCCATCATTCCATTTTTAATCAACACGACCCTGGATCACAACAAAATTCAAAGTTGATAAATTGAGGAAAGTAAAGAGCCATAATACCTATTGTCTATAAAAGATATGAAATAGGTACATGTATGACGAATATTTCGTAAACGGACACAGATCACACTTTGGTTCATCTTAAAGTACCTTGCCCAAAATACTCAGCAAGGTTATCAAGAAATAGAAGTTAAACCATTTAAACAAAATACCTCATTACCTCAATTTTTTTTATTTGATTATTTATTTACAGGTTACAATGATAATAATGATGATCAAAGGTTTCATCATAGCACACATACTTGTTATGCTCAATAATCCTATCGCTCGATACAGACTTTATTGAAGACGTCTATTTTTACGAGGAAAATGTAGATCAGTGTCCACAAAAGGACGTAACTTGCAGGGATTCGAACCCTATATCTTGTGATATTTAATGTGGTCACTTATCTAATAGATCCACAGCATCGTTATAAATACAACAAACTTACAGACAATACATTAATTCGAGAAATTGGAAAAGGGTAGTCCAGTTTAGGTTCAACAGATAAACAATTTCATTGACGATCTTTTCTTCTAAGTAGAGTGAATTGAAAAAAAATGTTGTTATGTCCACAACGAGATAGTGAAGCACTAATCGCACAATACACTTTTGGACATTTCTTTACAAAATGAAAGTACGCTGTTATCTTCTTTCTTTTTACTTTGACTGATGTGACTCTGTCTAGTATGTTCTCTTCTTTTGCTTTGCAAATATCAAGAAAAGTAATTTAGTTGGGGCACAGACTAGACCATAACACTTGTTGTACTGGTATGTCACTCAGTCTTTGGTTTGCCGAGGACAATAAGCCCCCATATACCTGTCAATGAGATCTGTTAAGGAAAATATTACTTTCAAATTATGTGTTCATTCTGTTTAAATGTTAACATCACTTATTTCAAGAAGGACAGATGTAAGAAAGAAACAAATCTACTTCTTCGTTGATACACGGCCATGGCATGTGAACTGCTACTTGCTCTTGATAAGAGGTAACTAAATCCCAAGTATCTATCAGCTTGGCATTAATGCCAACAAACTCCTCCTCCATTATTCGACTCATTTGTCTGAAAACATAGTCGTTGCTATGGACACGAGCTTCAAATGTAGGTTGTTCACGAGGCTGAGATTTTTTGATGACTGCCATTACGCGACCGTCACCGAGCCTCGCACGGATACCGTTACGAATCGCGCGCATCCTGTCACGATAGCTGTCCATATTCCACGAGGCGTAGTGCGCTGACATGCTGATAAAAATAACGTATTTTACATCGGGGTCATTGAGCTTATCCATGTATTCGGGTTCGAACATGCGCCATAAACCAGCAAAGTTAAAAGTAGGCGTGAGTGACGAACAGAGGACATGAGTCTTAAAAATGACTGTATGCGTCTCGTCCTCGGTGCAACCATAAAACGAGTCCGGCACATCCTTGTTGCCCAATTTCCTTTCAAGAACATGGAACCACTGGCATGCTATAGAATCGCCGAACATGATGATTTTGTGACCTGCCAAGCACTTCTTGACGTTGTCCGGGTCATCCCACGAGTGTCTGTTGGAACAGACGAGTGACTGCCATGTTGGGCCTAGCCAAAATCCTTCTGGAAGTAAGTTTGAGTTCCTGCTGTCGCCGTCGCCGCACAATACTCGAGGACGTTCGATCTTGTCATCATAGATTAAAGAAAGCATTCCTGTTTTAAGCAAGAATCACAAGAGTGGTTGAATTTTAAAATGGTGCAGTAGTAGCCCGGAGTAGAAGATACAATTCAAATCATAATCCAATTACAAATATTCCCTTGTATTGAATAGCAAAATCATATAGTATACAAATACACACTGCCTTGAGAGGTTCTGGTTAAAACTATGCGCAAGAGGTGACTCCAATAGTACTATTTGCTGAGGGGCACAGCCCCGAAGCAAATGGTACTTTTGGGGTCACCGAGGCCCATAGTTTAACCAGCACCTCGAATAGAAGGCATGGTATATTTGTTTTATATCCTGCATCAATAATTTATTTGAAAAAAAAAAAAAAAACTTTTTTGGGAAGAACAAAATTTAGAACAAAAAATATGTCAATTTTTATCTAAAAAGATTTAAAATATTTTGTTTTCATTTAATTAAGATTTAAAAAAAAAAATTGATTCAATTAAAAAAAAAAATTAACATTTTTTTTTCAACTCACAAATAGTAAATAGTACTTTCTAAAAAAAGGTCAAATATTTCTGGTCATGTGACAAGCTCTCAACCAATCAAAAGCCAACAAATTTTTGATGCAGGATATAATAACATTTATAATGTTGCTATGCCTGAAAAACATATGGCAAGTTTTAAGAGGCATGCTCTAATTCTGATTTTGTGACCTAGTCTTTTGAAAAGGGAATTCGTGAGAATAATGAGTGAGATGGTCCTGAATGCACAGGAGGGGCGATAGAAGATAAGGATGGGGTGATTAATTGTGATAACCTTCTCCACCCCTGTCGATTATCCATTTTCTTTTGCCTCTCACTATGTTTGGAAACCTATACCCCTTCTCCAACGAACTTCTTCCAGTGCTTCCGCTGGAGAGTCTGAAGATTGCATACTAGCAAAGATACTAGCAAAGACATTTGACTTATAAATGGAGAACGCCACGGACATAAACAGATTTTTTTAAAGGTATTGCTCCGTATTTAGTCGCTTTCTGAAGTTTAGAGACCAGATATTTTGACATAATATGCTCAGATTAAGTATACCTCTGCATCCTGAGTAAAGTTTGACGGAAATATTATCTCGATCATGCCTTATAGCATAGAAATTTACATTGATTTGTTTGCGGATACATACTTAGGCCTCGATCTGGCTTGGTTGGCTTTAATTGCCATAGTGAACGTACCTGTACTGCTCTTTTCTGCAATATCCATGTGGTACACTGATTAGGGTGATCTCATCTGGGTCTTGTAGAATGTGCTGTGGTGAAGATTAAAAGAAAGAGAACAGAGTAGTATTTAATAAAGAAAGTAATACATTTTGGTCAGTTGTAGACAACCTGACAGATTGATTTACATGCATTATTTCAGACTATCCAGCTATATAATGCATGTATGTATGTATTTTGCATTGTAAATGTCCTACACAGTCTCTCTATTTTAAATCTAGGACGACGACGTGACGGACTTAGCACTTCAGTAGCGATCGATAAACTTATTTTCAAATTTAATCTTTGTTTGGCTCCGCTGGCTCAGTCGGTAAAGCGTCTACATGTCGAACCAAAGATCCCGAGTTAGACTCCCAACCAGGCGGATGACTGAAGCCTAAATAGTGTGTGTTAACGTGCCCCTTCCCTTGTTTATAAACGCAGGTTATGTCAAGTGGAAAACACACCGTCCCTCGGATAGGACATTAAATGGAGGCCCTGTGTACAGGAGAGTCACTACCCTTGCACGTTAAGAACCCATTGCACTATTCGTATAAGAATAGGGGGAAACCCCAGTGTAATGGTCCACCTGCACACCCCAATCAGGCCGAGTATACGGCATCTGCAAGAATCTTCAGTAGTGATTTGAAGAAGAAGAAGAAGAAGAAGTAGCCGGTGCCAAGATTTTAAAAACTAACTTTATTTTCATTATTGCAAAGGTGAAACTTTGATTGGACAATTTTATCATTTATCATTTTATCAATTTTATCTTTGAAAGGAACCGGTACTTATGAGAGATACAAACTTACTTTTCGAATAGGTACTTCTTTCCTTCAATGAGCTGATTAACTGGCTGCTCTATTCCAGCAAACTCTCCATAAGACATTATAGATCTGATATTATCACAAATGAACCCATCAGGCATGGTGCATATAAAAGCGCTCTGTCCCATCCCAGTCTCATTGGCACCATAAATGCAGATGTTCTTGTTCATCAGGTGGTTCCAACCTCGTTTCACCACGCACCGACCTTGGCCATCGCCGACGCCAAATCTTTTGTATCTGGCGGCCCAAGTGAAGCACCCATCAGCTTTCATGTAGACCTCACTCAGCCACCGTACAGTGTCTGATGGATAGCCTAGTATAACGTGCAGGTCCAGTCTTCCAGCAAGTGGCGCCAAGAAATAAGCTGAGTAGCTCCCATTCTGATAATCAACCAGACGAGCAGCAGTTCTGAAGTGCTTGTTGGGTGAAGTCGCTCTAACAAACCAGAAGTCACCACCTACAGTCTGAGGGCGCCCCATCCCGTCGTACGCGTATATCCGAATCTCAACGGTATCGCCGACTTCGTACTGTTGTCGGACGGGATAGGAAATGGATGTTTTTGCAGAGGTTAAGAGCGAAGCATTAAAGTTTGAGTACTCCTTGATTTTAGTACTGTTGTGAATATAGACATCAAAAAGATGGTCCAGTTCATATGATTTCAAATTGAGTGGGTGTATCGATTGTGTGTGTTGTTCTACTTCTCTGCTGCCCTTTGCATCGAGACTTACAGCAAAGCTGATCCTTTCTGAAGCTGAAAAGACCTGATGATCGATGAAAAGATATATGTTACATACTTATTTTTACTCTTGTACGTGAGATTACTTTTATGAGAAAATTCTGTGAAAGAAAAAAAATAGTTGTGTCGGTTTAAGTTACCAGTCATTACGATGGTTTACATGGGTTCGTATCCCACCGCTGCCGCCACGTTAATGATCAATCATAACAACGGTCAAATTAAGTTAACATACTCTGTATAATCATGATGCTTCGGCTTGACCAGCAGCGGATCGACTAGATCGATGCACATTACTGTCCAATACCACCTCATCTCTACATTTCACCCCTAGTGCTGGCTGCAACCTTGCAGGACTCATTGCAAAAACTGGCAACAGCTCTAAAGACCAGTTAAACTATCTGTGCATACAATTATCATGACAAGGCAATGACATGAAAGCTTTAAGTTGGAGCAGGGACGTGATAGAGAAGGACTGGAATCAAGCCGCTTTCCTTTGACCCCATGCTCCAAGCCGCCGAAAAGCCGCCGCGCTAATCTGCAACTGCTGACCAGGTGGTGAGATAAAAAGAGCGCATGAATTTAAGGATTTAGAATTCCTACATCAGAAAATAGTATCACAGCAACTGTTCGCTGTCCCTTTCAATGATTTCTCATCCATTGTTGAATGTGTAAAGAGTAGAACAATCGAACACAAACTTGTGTAATTTCATCCTTTTTTTTAACTTCAAAAATACAAAAAACACGCAAAAACACACTTTAGTAAACTTAATGCTATTGAAGATTGTAAATCACGGATCAAATAACGGGACATTAAAACATGCACAAATTAGCGCATTATCCTAAACTATTGAGTTTTTGTCAGGATGTAATTTTTCTTTTACCAACTCTGGCACACAAAATATAGGAAGGACGGAGTTTTAAATTTGGAAATGTGTTTCATGCACTATTCCCAATCCAATCTTATAAAGTTTTTGATTTACACTGATATTTTGCCGGTAATTTAATATTTTGTAATAAATGTAAAACTGGTGCCCCGCCCCCCCCCCCCACTCCGAGAACGGACGGACCCCATGCGTGTTGCCAAAATGTCCTTTTCGTAACAAAAGAAAAAGGTCGACCCGTATACTTTACACACGGGACTTTTGCTGAAAAGGGGGGGGGGTGCTGAAAAAGGCTCGTATACAAAAGAAAAAGGTCGAGCCGTATTGACTTTACACACCGGACTTTTGCTGAAAGGGGGGGGGGGGGTCGGTTGGAACACGCATATGCGTACCCTAAATAACACTGAGTGGGGGGGGGGGGGGGCGGGCTGGTGCCTGGCTTCCGAAAGTCCCCGCAGTGGAAGCGCGGTGTGGAGCATGGAACTTCAAAGCCAAGTGGAATGTTACACATCCCATTGTTACGCTTTAGAACTCACGAATGCGTTGAATAAATTACTAGAGTTTCGCCGGCTTGATTCCAGTCCTTCTCTATCAAGCCCCTGGTCCAGGTATTTGTTTTCATAATGTGTTTATCAAGCTTACTTATAATCTGAAATGAACTGCACTGGCTGTTTAAAGTAGATATTCATTGATTTTAAAAACTAACTTTATTTTCATTATTGCAAAGTTGAAACTTTGATTCGACAAGGTTATCAAAATTCAATGCTTGGAAACATTCGAAGTAATGATTATTATAAATTACAAAACGCTTAAATACAGCCCTGGCATAGCACCTAAAGAGCTCTCTGAACGCTGCTGAGATATGTGAGATCACAGTATGGACATGACTTGCACAAGCAGACGATGTCCCATGACATCTCACACATTTTCAGTGCCTGTGTTTTCATCTTTTCTCGAGTTCTTTCTCTTACTTCACTACCGTCAGGCTAAATGTATAATCTATTGCCTCACTTTAAAAGTACTATGTCCCTTTTGCAGCCAACCTCAAATTCTGTAGAACTTTGCAGGAATCATGAATATGTCAAGTATGTCATATTCTGTGAAATTTAAATGTTAGAAGTGTCCTCATATTCAAATTATGCAAGGAAACCCGTTTACTTGCTAGACTTCACTGTCAGACACTATTGAGTGACTGACTGGCTTTTTTCTTCTTTGGTTATAACATACATGAAGAGTTGTAAAGGGTACATGAGCATTTGTCTACATCAATAACCCACTTCTTGTGATGGCCAAGATTAAACTGATTGAATCTTTGCGCAGCATAAAACGTATGACCATTCGGTACAATTGTCTGAAAATCAAGACTATTACTTTTGGGCTCTATAGCCCTAAAGTCGACTTGGCAAGTAATTAGTCGTTATTTTCCCACTTGAAGACATTTTCAAGCCCCACCTTTTTAGGGAAGTTTCTAAATTAGTATTATCTTTCAAATGCAGTTGGAATTTAACTTTTTCATTTTTTTGGCCTGCAAATGGGACATAGTACCTTTAAACCCCGCGCATGGTTTTATTTTGATGAAAAATGAAGCTATACAAAAATAAAGGAATCTGTAGCTTGTAAACAAAAAAAGACGCCATTGTATATTCAGCTGCACACACCGGGGTATGTTCGCCGTTTCAAGATGGAACAAATGCCATCCTTAATATCATTCGGGGGTTTTTCAATTTGAAAGTCTGGTTTCTTTGATTGTTAATTAAGCCCTATCCTGTGTATTTACAAGCAAAAGATTTTAGTTATCAGAATCAGGTCATATCCCCTTATGAATGGTTTGACATGCCATTACATTTATTTACACTAAACTCATTATAATTGAGAAATAATAGCTTTGAAATTATGTTCATTCTCTATGGGATGTCGTCTGCTTGGGCAGTGTTGGTCCATGTAGTGATGTCATTAAAACATCGTTATTTTTCCGGCGAATCTCTCGTATATCCCAGCTGCTATGGAGGTGGTTGTATTTGTATTTTTATAGATCACCCGATATGTAGTTGACCTAAAACTTGTACGATGGCCATCTGTTAGCTTACCAGTTTCTAGTGATACATTAGTTGAAATATTTGTGATCTTCTTTCAATTTCACCTTTAAATGTTTCCAATCCAATAAAAGTGTCTAAAAGATTTGGCATGTTGGCATGCTTTTGCCTCATCCTCTTGCATAATTTCCCAGAGTTGCATAACAATAATTAGTCACGGCATCCAATACAAATTTTGTAACGCTTTTGCCTAGTCTGCTTGCATATATTTCAAGCGTTACAAAGCTTTATAACAAGTCGTAACATTCAATGTTTATCATTCTTTCTTGTGATCTGAATAACTGCTTTGAATATTTAAACAATAGTTTGACTTTCGTCAAAGATTACATGCGAGTGAGAGGCTTTATGCTATAAATGCACATGATATACCCCTTCTTTTCTTTCCGACTCCCCTTTATCTCCTTTTTTCCTTTTTTTCTTTCCCTTCTCTTCCTTCTCTCTTTCTTTTTTTTTGCTGGGGGGGGGGGGGAGGAGGGGGGAGGCAACAGCCTGGGAGGCAAGACCGACACGGACATTCTGCGCGGATAAAATCCGCACCGATCGTCCGCTCTTCATCGATCTCTAATTCCCGGACGAACGGTGCGGGTCACATTCTACGCGGTCACACCGGAAGTAATCGGGAATTTGTCAAATTGCAGGTTTTAGGATTGTTAAATTTTACTATTTTTCACAAATGAAAACTGCTGTTGCCTGTTATACAATGTAAGTAAATTTCTTGACACAATTAGGCTTTTGGATTCATATTTTATCATCTGTTCACCCTTGTTAGTTCAAATAAAAAGTGAAATATTTAAGATATTTCTTTGTGAGAAAATCACTACTCAAGCTTTCCAATGATGTTGGCGGCTTCGATCTTTGGACATCAAAGGTAACAGCACACCTATAGATTCTATTGTGCAACATTAGAAAACAGCAGCTGCTTGAAATAATTTGTTGCCAGTTGGGACTCCAGCTCTTAAAACTTCTTGGTCCTATAGAGTCCTTAGAGCCTATGAATTGGCCATCATAGTATAATTATGATAACAAATCATAATGTCCAATTTAATGATGAACGAATCGAACAGACATTGCAATTTAGACGTCTGAAATAGGCCTACACCGAACTGTTAACCTATTGTGACAAAATAATATGGAGAAGTGTAACAAACTGAGGAATTAAAAGGCCAAAACTTAAAGAAAAGCGCATGATTTAATAAGCAGAAAATTATGTGATGAAACCATAAACTAATTATATGAGATGTATAAATTTAGACCCCTGCTAAAAAAAAGAAAAGGGAAGCAAAATGGACGCTCCAGTCATACTCACCCACATGAAAACGAACAACACCAAGGTCGCCAGCGCAGCGATAAAACATTTTCTTAGCCATGAAAATCCACTTCTTCTGTTACGAACAGGTTTGCTCTGAACTAAGCTGAACTTTGACAGTACATTGTTTACGATGGTTTGACTTGAAGACATTCTGTATACTTGTTTATAATGCTTTGAGACACTGACTCCTCTAAACCAGGACAGACAAACGTACTCTAGACGCTGCAGATGTTCGATCGGAAAATGAATCTGAGCGTAATGCTACAGCATAAGCTTAGCTGGCTTTCAGGCTTCAGAAAATCAACATAGAACTTTTTTGCTACGTGTAAAAACAGGCATATTTGATTGGTGATCATTTTAATAATTGACTCAAATTGATTAATGATACCTCAATGATTGACTTAAAAATCAACAATGCCATATCCCCACCCGCGTTTCCCACAACATGTTACTATTGAGTGAAACATTACTCTGGGTTACAAGAGGACGCTCTAGGACATCAGTCGCGATGCATAGTTAAGTTTTGTTCTGATTTGTTTTCTTTTCTTTTTCAACCCTTTCAGGGCACTTTATTTCACATATCTACAACTTTCACAATAACATACATGTATACAATTTAAACATTATTTTATCAATCAAAGCTTTTACCTGTTTTTCTTTAATAATTATTATTTACAGAATAGTGTTTTTATCTTTTTTTGATACAGAATTTTTCGGACAGAATTGTATTGGCGGTGGACTTTAATTGTAACAAAATAAAATCCCTTTTCAAAAAGATTGACTGAATTGTGTACTATCGCCCCCCCCCCCCCTTTCAGCAAAAGTCCGGTGTGTAAAGTCAATACGGGTCGACCTTTTTCTTTTGTTATAAGAGCCTTTTTCAGCACCACCCGCCCCCCCCCCTTTTTCCGCAAAAGCCCGGTGTGTAAAGTCAATACGGGTAGACCTTTTTCTTTTGTTACAAGCCTGAGAGTTTGGGAACACGCATGGTATCCCTCCGTTCACGGAGTGGGGGAGGGGGCCCTGCTGGAAATAACATACTCATTCACACTCATTCACAGTGTGAATCACACTGTGTTTCACACTGTGAATCACAGTGTGCTCCACAATGTTAAATTGGGCCGTTTTCACACTGTGCTCCACAATGTTAAATTGGGCCGTTTTCACACTGTGCTCCACACTATTAAATTGGGCCGTTTTCACACTGTGCTCCACACTGTTAAATTGGGCCGTTTTCACAATGTGCTCCACACTGTTCAATTGGGCCGTTTTCACACTGTGCTCCACAATGTTAAATTGGGCCGTTGTCACACTGTGCTCCACACTATTAAATTGGGCCGTTTTCACACTGTGCTCCACACTATTAAATTGGGCCGTTTTCACACTGTGCTCCACAATGTTAAATTGAGCCGTTTTCACACTGTGCTCCACAATGTTAAATTGGGCCGTTTTCACACTGTGCTCCACACTGTTCAATAGGGCCGTTTTTTTACATGATTTTGACCATGAAATATACCAGGAAATTTAATTATTAATTTTACCTTTTTTTGGAGATCCATGAGGGTGCGATTTCTCAAATTTTCGAGGACCAGAAAAACAATTTACCCCCCCCCCCCCAACTGAGCGAATTATCGGCCGGCGCGATTTTCAAATTTTCGCGGCTTAATATTTTCTCACGAATTGGGCCCCCACCTCTGCCGCCAGCTGGATCCGCCCCTGTACTTTTTCAAAATGTTTCAAAATCCTGCTATACGCTATGGTTTACTCATTTAGGGAAATTTTTCAAGCCCGTAGGGCCAGACGGGGAAGAATGGAAAAAAGGGGTAATTGCCTATTGGCGAGACTACCGGCTGCCGCCTGCGCTCGCCAAAGAAAGGACTTATGATGGCTGTACATTAAACCCATTTGGAAGTGTACAGGTTGATGTTGTTGCCTTCTATTGAAATAATTTGTTACATTTTGAATTTTACGTCAGAAGCACCATTTCATTCATTTTACATTGTCAACAACCTAAATGGTTATCCATATCGCACTTCAAAAAGCTCAAGGGGTTATAATTTTACAATACTTGTATGTTTAGGATTTAATTTGAAATATCCGTTTAGGGTGTAAATTCGGGGAAAAACCACGCGAAATCCTCATATAGAGTGTATTTTGGCTTTAGAAGAAATCCTCGTTTAGGAGGGTGTCTGGAAAACGCATGCTTACAGTATTTCTACACGACCCTCGCACTACAAAAGCCAAGACTTATTTTTTTTAAATCTTTTATTGGTCAGAAAACACAATGATTTACAAAATATGCGTTACATCGTTTTGCACAAAAATAATGAATAATCATATTGTTTCACACTTACAATCTTGCGGTTATTACATAATAGAAAATAGTACATCAAATCAGGGAGGTGAAAGAAAGGAGGCGAAACTCTTGTAATTTATTCAAACGCATTCGTGAGTTCTTAAGCGTAACAATGGGATGTGTAACATTCCACTGCTTTGAAGTTCCATGCTCCGAACCGCGTTTCCACTGCAGGGACTTTCGGAAGCCAGGCACCAGTTTTACATTTATTATAAAATATTAAATAACCGGCAAAATTTCAGTGTAAATCAGAAACTTTATATGTGGATTGTATTGGGAATAGTGCATGAAACAAATTTTCAAATTTAGAACTCCGTCCTTCCTATAATTTGTGTGCCAGAGTTGGTAAAAGAAAAATTACATCCTGACAAAAACTCAATAGTTCAGGATAATGCGCTAATTTGTGCATGTTTTAATGTCCTGTTATTTGATCCATGATTTACAATCTTCAATAATATTAAGTTTGCTAATGCGTGTTTTTGCGTGCTTTTTGTATTTTTGAAGTAAAAAAAAGGATGAAATTACACAAGTTTGTGTTCGCTTGTTCTACTCTTTACACATTCAACAATGGATGAGAAATCATTGAAAAGGGACAGCGAACAGTTGCTGTGATACCATTTTCTGATGTAGGAATCCTAAATCCTAAAATTCATGCGCTCTTTTATCTCACCACCTGGTCAACAGTTGCAGATTAGCGCATAACTTTTCGGCGGCTATACGAAAAATACGGCTATACGGCCCCATACGAATGCGTATAGTACTGTGTTTACCCTGTTTACCTTATGAATAAGCCAAGACTTATGACATTATTATTCAAAACCTATAAATCGATCGGATCGATTTTAAGATCGATTTTAAGGCTTGATGAAACACTGCTAGTCTGTTTCCGTGTCGTTTGCCCAATCATCTGAGAAAATAACACACCCTCAACTCTAAACAGAGACAATCTTTGCATTATTTTCATGATAATTGGTTAATGTTTGAGTATGTTTATAATATTTGAATTCGCGGCTCGTGGACGATGCTCCGCACCGTCATTATTGGTCAACCCCCCCCCCCCCCTTAGCAAAAAGCTAGATCCGCCCCTGAGTCATCCCCCCAGGTGTACGAACCTGTCTACGCCACTGCTGTGATCGGAAGAACTCGACGCACACCGCTTCTACACATTACGAGCCTTACTTGTCTTAGGAATCTTTCAATTTTGTACCACATATTTTCATCGTTTGAAAAAGGTGAATATTATTATGCAAATTAATAATTTGCACGCTTGCGTCGACTTTCAGCTATCACTGTTATATGCGTTTCGAGTAGCTATAACTGGAGAGATACAGATCAAAGGGCCAGGACAGAGGAAAGAGGTAGCAGCTCATGCAGACCGCCGTGAGTAAAGGCATACACAAAGTATGTAGCACAGTTCATTTCTTTTATTTATTATTTATTATTTATTCAGTCTTTTTTTTAAATGCAGGGTAGTCCCTTCAAAACCGCAAGGCCTGCTTTTCAAGGGAACCCTGTAGGCAAGTTACAAAGTACATGGTAAAAATTACAAAAACACAAAATAAAAAAACATATACACAATACATAATACACAGTTATTTACTACTAAATAAATTAGGTACGTTAAAACAGAACACGTTTCAGTTTGACAAGATGACCTACATAAATTCAAGCTTGATTAAAATGAGCCAAATAAAGCAAGGGCATATAATTATATTCATCAATTAAACAAAACATGTTCACATAAATTCATATACTTGCACTGATACAATAAAATCAAACAAAATATAAAACACACTACAAAGATTTTAAAAATTCAAGACAGACTGAAGGGTTAAATGAAAAGTGTGACTAAAAAGAAAACGGCAAATCAAAGAGGACTTGCACAATGGAAAGACAGTTTTAAGCTCACAATGGACAGATTAACGAGACTAAAAGATAATGATACAATCAAAAGAGCAAAAGAACAAAATACAATGTGTCGGCCCTTGTCGAAAGTTTAGGAATCCATTATATATACTTTTTTTTTCAGAGAAGAGACTAATAGTGTCGGGTTTGATCTTTGAAAACTTGCGAAGATGATGATAATTGAATATGAAGTGGTAATTTATTAAACTGTGAACATGCAAAGTAAGAAAACAAGCGTTTTGTTAAATTCAGTTCGGGGTATGGGTATAACTAATGGGCTATTGAAATGAGGGCATATCTTGTAGGGTACTGTGCTGGACACAATTTAGATACAAAGGAGCAAGATTGTTATTTATTTTGTAAATGTTTACACAGCATTGGTACTTTAATTTTTCTTCAACATTTTACCATTTAAGTTTAGGCATCAAAGTAGCACTCGACGTATTGAAATCAGCATTTAAAACTAATCTTGCATCTTTATTTTGACTCCTTTGTAGTTTTGTCATGTATTATTTCGTACACGTACCCCATACACAACAACAATAGTCTACAAGTGAAAAGTAAAGCTGAATCATGTTTCGCCTCGTCGGACATGATCTGATTCTTCGTACGCATGCTACAGTATACGCGATATTTTCCGGACTACTTCATTAATATGCAACGACCAATTAAGACTTTGTTGAAGAACAAAATGTTAGTAACAAATTCTACATACTGACCTTGTATTTCTAACTTCAACTCATAATTCCGTACTTTTCTTTGAGAGCCAAATAATGAGAGCCATATTGTTAGTTTTACTAGAATTTATCTTCATTTTGTTTATATATTTTTTTTTTTTTTTTCAAGCAACATCAATATATTTTTGATACCTTCAATAGGTAATATACATCAAGTTTCCTCTGTCGTTTTGTTATATATTCGAAGTATAGACCTTGAAAATAGGTTGCAGAATACTAATCTCACAATATCTGCATTTATTATTACGCAGTCATGAGTGATGGTCTATTCAATCTGATCAATATCAGATTCTGATGTCACTATTTTACACTTGAATGAGCACTGGCTGCTTTAGAAAAGCTCGTTAAAAGAGCCTTTTGTTTTATCGCAAAAAACGACAACAAATAAAACGAAACGAAATAAAAGTAAACGGTTTAGTCTTGAATTGGCGCAGAGTGCATAACCAGGCATCAATCGCAATTGCTCTGTTACCTATCAATTATTGATTTGAAACGCACACACACACACGTACGTTAAGCGTTGCATATTATGATGTTTTCTGCACTAAATTTTCGTCTCAAGTATATTGACTTAAAATATCGAGGAAAGAAGATGTACACAAGATGTTCAATTTTAAAAGAGAGAGAAAGAAACAAAAATATTTTAAAACATGCAATTTGGTACGCCACTGGGGCTATGCACGGCTAGGTATAGGGTTAAAGGTCAACATGTTCTAAGCAATTATTGATAGTTAACAGAGCACATGAAATAATCGCCTGATTTCCACGTTTATCCAATCCAAGATTGAAAGATATTTGCGCAAATACATTTTCTCCTTTCAGAATCCATTGCGACTACACCATGAAGTGGAAGTGTCTATCCCCCAGATCGTCGATGGCAGCCATCTTTATCTGCTTCATACCAATTCTGATTATGATTATGATCTTCGATTTGAGTGGTAACACAGTACCAGTTGAACAGTCACCAGGGAAGCTATTTCACCGTGGTGCAGGTGCTCGCCATGTTTCACATTTGATCATGAACACTTCACAATCTCCTGTCACTCTCTATCAGAGCAAATGGAGCTGCAGTAATAAGAGCGAGATCAAGAAAAGAAACCTGGATTGCAAAAGCCGGTTGCCTGATGTGATCGGTATAGGTGCAAAGAAATGTGGAACCACTGCGCTCAAATTTTTTCTTTCCGGTCACCCAGCTCTTTACATAACGGCTGCTCCGGAGGCCCATCAATGGGATCGGCAGCCGACGAGGAGTGTCGAGGAATATCAACAAATGATGCCCATAACTTCACAGTACCAATTAACCATGGAGAAAACGCCATTGTATTTTGTTGCAGACGACATACCTGCCGCGATAGCACGGGACGTTTCACCCAATGTCAAACTCTTGCTTATCCTGCGAGACCCCGTAATACGCGCCATTTCTGACTATACCCACGTCTTGAATATGTTCCCGGACATAACGCGTAGACACCGGAACGTCACCATGATAGGGGGAAGGGTACCAAAGTACCCTCAAGACTTACCTCAAGCCAATATATCTTACATCATAGAAAAAAAATTTGAAAAGAGCATACTAAACGAAGACGGTACAGTGAACGCCGATAATGCCATCATCTTTACAGGGTTGTACTCTCGCCATCTCCGTAATTGGCTCAAGATTTTCCCTCGCGAACAGATACTTATACTGGATGGTGATTTGTTTTCTAAGAATCCCCTACCTCAACTCCAAGCCATCGAGTCGTTCTTGGGGCTGCCAAAATATTTCAACGCCGACAAAATATACTTTGACGAAGAAAAAGGATTTTTTTGTCTGGCAATGCCACATAAGCTCTGCATGGGAAAGGAAAAAGGCAGAAAGCACCCTGAAGTGAAAAGAAATATTCTTAAAAAACTGTACAAATTTTATGAACCATATGATAAAGAACTTGAGATTCTAACGGGAAGGAAATTTTCATGGATGAATCTCAACAATGATGAAGTCACTGGTTGATATTGTTAAACCTTTTAAATCTTTGAACTTGCAAGCAGCTTGACAAAATTTATATATATATATTTATTTATTTATTTGTTTATTCATTTCTTTATTTATTCAGTCTTATTTTACCATGGTGGTTTCACCAGTGACATCAAGTTTCAAGTTTCAGGTTTATTTAGTTCCACTTTATCGAAGATAACATAATTGAACATAATGATCATGCATAATAATTATAACTAAACATACAATATAGAAACATAATGTACATTTTTCATAGTTATAACAAAAGATACAATCATAAGTACACTGTTGGTCATAATGGTGGAATAAATTTTGTTACCCCAATTTATGGAATGATTTTGACAATGATTTATTCCTAATAGATCTAGATACTAGTATACATTCTCAGATTTTATTGAATAATAATTTGCGAGTGTTTGTTTTGCGTAACTGCTAAAGCATGTGTATGCTACTATGCTAATCAACTAGGGGACCTACGTCATTAAGCCATAATTGACAGTAAGGAGGATTAATGCCCCATAAAAGGGCACTAATATATAGCACATCGACACGGCTTTGATCCTGGGGCCTACCGTTACGAGGCCATCGCTTAGTCACTGAATCATGACTACGCAACGGGGGCCAGGGTACGTCGCCGTCCCCACAAATACAAAAAAAACACAGAGAAAATGCAATAAATTATCAATAATTCATTGCATTTTGCCCAGACGCTCAACATAAACAAATCCTCTATGTGGGCATGTCTTGGACTATAATGCATGGCCCTACAGAGGAATTTTTCCGACACAGCGGACCCGACACAGCAACAAAATTATCTATGCGTATCTTTCTTGCTCCCTCGACGTGGCGACTCCACCCCACATCCACCTCTCTCTCTTACTCCCACCCCTCTTTTTTTAGGCTCTTACCACCCCCTCTCTCTCTCCTCTTTCACTACGTTTCTTTTGTTTCCTTTTCTTCTTTTTTTTCTTTCTTTTTTCCTTTTCTCCTTCTCTTTATTTTCTTTCTTTTCCTTTCTTTCCTCTCCTTCCTCTTTTTCTTTTTTTTTATTTTCCTTTCTTCTCTTCTCTTTCCTTTCTTTTCCTTTTCTTTTTTCTTTTCTTTCCCTTTCCCTCTTATTCACGGCCCCTCCCCCTTTTCTCATTTTTCCCGACAGCAGCGCAATTTTACCAACAATATCCTGACAGTTGGGGGTGCCGCACCCCACACCCCCTTTAGCGACGCCCCTGTACACAGGCAGGATAGTAATGCAGCTATATGCGGGTTGAGTGAGTTCCAAAGTATGGATCCAGAATAAATGAGTGTTTTTTTGTAAAGTAACTGTTTTTGTGCAAGGGTATGAAAATTATACGACTGTCTGGTTGGGTATATATCTATGAATTTCCTGTTTTTTATAAATATTTGCGTTAATCTTTATGGTAGATCATTTATCTCAAGTTGATACATAAAATAACCAAGATTGTAGGAGTATAAATCATTAATTTTTAGGGATATTCTTTGGAGAAATAACAGGTTGGTGTTAGCACGATATCTTTTGTTAAAAATTATTCTCATTGCTCTTTTTTGCAAGAGGTGTATTTTATTTAGGCTAGATCTATTGCAGTTACCCCAGGCAAGAAGACCATAGTTCAATATAGATAAAATCAGAGTGCAGTACAATGTATGAAGGATCTTTCAAGGGGAAAATGCTTCAGTTTAAAAGGTTTAAAAGTTGCAAAGGTATTGGGATATACAATCAGCCGTATACGAAAGACTTCATGCATGACTGATTTTCAACGAAACGGAGTCTTTTGTCAATTATGCTTGTTGCTACTGCAGGCAGCCAGTGAAAACGAATCCGTTTGATAAAATTATGGAAATGCAAGCACTACTTTAAACAAACAGAACTTTGTCATTCCTTGCTCATTTTTCCTGATTGAGGTGTCATGTGAAAGGGCAGAAACTGAACTTTTTAGAAATGTGAATTTTTCTACGAAATTCAGATACCGCCCGCCAAATGACTTTTTGTTTTCCTTCAAATTGCTTTTAATCACTCATACATGAAATATGCATCGTATGAATTGCATCAAATGAAAGAGGAGGCTCTAAGTTTTACAAATATGTGTCATTTATTAATAATAATTGTGATTAAGTTAGAATAAAACATCGATAATTCTCGGTTTCGTTTTTTCTTGGACGCACTGTATATTGGTATTTATTTGAGAATTTCAGTTCAGTTCAGTTCATTTATTTCAATTATAAAACCATAACATAATGTATATACAAAATTAACATGAAACAATCATAATCTTACAATTCTGGAATTAAGAAATTGGAGACTAAAAAGGAAGTTTGAAAAACTTCTAAGTATAATAGTCCCCTGACATAAATAATAAATAACGAGATTACATGTTTGTACACGTTACTACAACAATAACAATATATAAACAAGATACTACACATTATAGATACACACCGATGAACAAACACACACACACACACACATGCATGGTACATTGCAAGGTAGAACAAGTTAAAAGAAAGAGTTAAGGGAAATAAGAAGAGACCAACTGTCTCTTCAATAGAACTTTAAAGGATGATATAGTTGTGCATAATGTTAGCTTATCAGTTAAATCATTCCAAATGCGGGGACCATTATGTCTAAAAGAGTAAAGCATTAACTGGGTAGAGACCTTTGGGAAATGACTTTTGATACAGGATCGAGTAGTGTATGAATGAACAGATTTATTAAGGATAAACATTTGACAAACTCTTTTAGGTAAATAATTATTATAAACATTATACATCATAATAGCACTTTGAATTTTATGTATATTATAAATATTGAGTGTCCTTAGGCGAAAAAACAAGGGACGTGAATGATCTTGATAATGAGAGTTTGTACATATTCTTAAAGCTTTCTTTTGAAGTTTATGGAGAGGTTCTAGATTAGTTGTTCCCACACCGGCCCAGGTGATATTACAGTAATGTAAGTAAGGCAAAATTAAACAATTATACAATATAAACAATACTTTTTCAGGCATAAATACACGTAATTTACAAAGAACACCAATGTTTTTAGATATTTTGTTAGTTATATACAATCGATGATCCTGAAAAGATAAAGTATCATCCAAAAGGATACCAAGTTATTTAACAGAAATGCACACGTTTAAATTTATATTGTTTATAAATATTTGTACATCATTAATATTGCAAGGATTAGTTTTATTATGAAAATAAAGTACACTTGTTTTGTCATAATTTACAATCAATTCATTATCATTGAACCATTCAACAACCTTTTCTAATTCTTTATTTACTTCTGACATTAATTTATCAAAATCATTATGAGATGCAATCAGGTTTGTGTCGTCAGCAAATAAGACCAAATGAAAAAAAGATGAAGCAGAACTAAGGTCATTTATGTAATTTAAAAATAGGAGAGGACCCAGCATGGAGCCCTGTGGGACTCCATACTGGATCCTCTCTCTGTCAGAAATAAAGCTGTTGTATGATGTGAATTGAATACGATCACTTAAATAGTCCCTGAACCATTCCCAAGCAATTCCGCGTATACCAAATTATTTTAATTTAGTGAGGAGGATATCGTGGTTAATGACATCGAAAGCTTTCGACAAATCAAGAAACAAGCCTAATGTATGCAATTTATTATCTAATTTATTGAGTATGTAATCATGAAGGTCAATTAGAGCATGTCCACATGATGAGTTTTTTTCTAAAACTATATTGAGAAACAGTCAGAAGATTATTTTCATTAATGTGATTAAAGAGCCTATTATAACTTAATTTCTCCAGTATCTTAGAAAAACAGGGGAGTAATGTTATTGGTCGATAATTAGAAAATATGTGGGGATCACCCTTTTTAAATATGGGTATGATTTTTCCTACTTTAAAATTCTTGGGGACTTTTTCCTGACAAAAAGGAAAGATTACATATAAAAACAATTGGTTTGACAATGAAATGTATAACATGTTTTATAATAAACTGACTTATTCCTTTAAAATCTGTGCTCTTGGTTGAACTGAGCAATTTGACAATATTCAAAACTTCTGTTACATTGGTAGAATGAAAAAATATTGATTTGCTACAAGGATCTCGTAAAAATGAACTAAAATTGCATTTCGGTTTCTGAATATGTTCAGATTTGAGTTTTGTAGCAATACTAGAAAAATAAGAATTAAATTCATTTACAATCAATTGACGATCAGTTAACTTGTTCTTATCTTTAAGAAAATAATTAGGATATTGGCATTTTCTTCTCTTTCCTAATAAATCATTAATAACTTCCCAAGTTTTAGATATATTATTCCTATTCTTCTGTAATAATTCACAAAAATATTTTTTTCTTACAGACTGTAAAATTGAGTTTAATTAATTTCTAAATTTTTTATATCTACATTCATTGCTGTCGTTTCTTTTCTGACAAAATGTTTTATATAATCTTTTTTAACAGTGAAGGGGTTATCCAAGGTTTTAGTGGCAGTTTTCTTTTCTCCACTTTACGAAAAACAAAGTTATGATCATACACAGTTTTAAATATGTTTAAAAATGAATTATAGGCCTCATCTACATCACAAAAAAAAAAAAATAATTCCATTCTAAAACAAATAAATCCCTCTGAAATGAACTTAAACTTAGGGCGTGTTTATGCTTAACTTTTTCTGGCCAGAATCAGGCATCTGTTACGCGTTTAATTTAAAACACGGTTGCGTCCTTTCTCACTTTTGTAGAATCACCGAAAAACGGCGATCACGATCGCCGATCGTAAATTCACAAAAAGATGCGTTTACAATTTGTAAACGCGTTTAAATGGGGTCAACGCATTGACCTCTAGTGGGTCTACGTAGCATGCACAGCGCAGGTTTGCGAATTCAGCTGTAAGGCCAATTAAGGCCACCCAGGGAGAATTGCCTGGAGGAGCCAGAGAAGTGAGCATAAACAATACACCGTCGTGGAACTGCGATTACGATGAGCGTTTACGATGAGCGTTACAAATCGCTCATTCTGCCTTCAAAATTTAAGCTTAAATGCACCCTTAGAGGATCCGTTTTCCTTATGTGGAAAAATGAAGATGGTTTATGACAAGGGCTAATAGAGAGGTTGGTTATTTGGAAAATGGGCAGATGGTCTGTTATATCAATATAGAAAATACCGGAGTGAATGTCTTTAGTGACTACATTTGTCAAGATATTATCGATCAAAGTGATAGACTTCTTACATATTCTTGTAGGTTTGTCAATTAATGGGCGAAATGAGTTGTTATACATAATATTTACAAAATCATCAATGCATTGAAGCGAATTATATTTAAGTAGATCAATGTTATAATCTCCCATTATATAAACTGATTTATTTTCTAAAGATATTTTTTCAAGACAAGCATTCATATTCACATTGAAATCACAAATGGGTTTATTAAGGTCTCGGTAAATTATACCAACAATGATGTTTTTACTATTATCCAATATGACTTCAATAAAAAGATATTCACAAAGAGTTTCAGGTAAATAAATATCATCTCGAACTTGAGCATCAAATAAATCATTAACCAAGAGTGCAACCCCTCCACCTCTCCTACCTCGTCTGTCATTGTGATAAAATGTGTAACCATCCCTATTAAATAATAACATATAACATAAAACCATATACAGACAATTTCAAGTTAAGTTGACTAATAAACTGATCAATAGCGTCAACAATTTTATTCAAACTTCTAGAATTAAAGTGGAGAATGCTAAATTTATGTTTAAAGTTATTAGTTAAATCTTTGGCTCACATTAAAATCAACAGGTAGCCAGTACTCAATGGGATTATTAGATGTGAAAAAATTATCACCTGGATCAATATCATTCAGCGACCCATTTTCATCTGTATCAAGTCTTGTCGAAAACATATCAAAGTTCATATCATTATTAGTAATATCATATTGCACTTCAGAAAACATACATTTAAACTCTACATCATTTACTTGATTGAAAGGAAATACATGCTGAGATATATCCATACAGTTTCAATAGCACACAATCACACTTCATGCACACATTCACGCACACCAAGATAAGAGATACAAATTACAAAATAGCGGAAATAGCAAGTTAACACAGAAATGTAATGATGTGAGAAATACAATTAAATAAAAGTGAGGGGAATAGGTCATTAACCTGGGATGTAATTCAAAATAGAAAAAAGTAAAATATTGGAAAATATTGATGACATATCTTATTTCAAAATATCAAATAAGTAACTTCAATAAAGACTTGTATATTATCTTCATGCTGGTAGATTAAGACGTTCTTCATCATTTCTTCAGTTTTCATATGTTTTCAATGTCTTTCACAGACATTGAATCAAAGTGTTTTTTCTTTTCATTCCCTAAAAGAGTAGTAAGAGTGTTGAAAGATTCATTGCAGTTTGTATCGGGGGAAAGGGGGAAGGGGGAAAAGAATAAGGGGGAAAAGGAGAAAAAGGAGGGGAAAAAGAAAGAAAAGGAAAGAATGAAAGACAAAGAAAAGAGGGAGGAGAGAAAAGGCGGAAAAGGAAGAAAGGTGGAAAGAGGGAGAATAGAAAGGGGGGAAAAGGAAAGTGGGATGATATTATAAGAAGATGTTGTTTTTTTTTACCGGGAAAGGGCCGGGGGGGGGGAGGGGCAGCCAATTTTGCAGTGTGCATAATATGGGGTCCCTCTTGCCAGGCGTGTAGCCCCCTCCCCTCTCTCTCTTACTCCCATCCCTCTTCTCTCATGCTCTTACCCTCCCCCTCTCTCTCTCCTCTCTTTCATCCCCCGATTTACAGATGTTGCTGAAATGACGTAATCTTCGGTGTTTTTTGCTCACTTTTTAGTAAATTATACTTTTTTATGCGTTTGCAGGAAAATTACAAATTCCTAAATTTACAGTCAGGCAAGAAACTTGCCTTTTTAGAAGCCTACATGTCAGGGCCCGCAAAACGGCGGGGCTCGGGGCCTCAAGATCCACCCCACCACTTTTTTTGAAAAAGTATATTAAAGAGAAATAGAAAGAAAGAGAGAAATAAAGAAAGAATAGTGATCTGTCAGTGTCACGAAATATTGAGGTATCAAAATAATAATATATGCTCATCTGACCGTGATTAAGGATGCCTAAAACTCCTGAGCTTCCGGGGGCGTTGGCACCAGGATTCCAACTAGGGCCCTAAGGTGGGCACCTGGATGCTCATTTGACGTAAATTAAACGTATAAAACCCCGGAACTCCCAGTGGTTCTGCCCCCTGGACCCCTGGATGCTAATCTGACGGTAATTTATTGCCTAAAACCCCTGAGCTTCCAGGGGCGCTGCCCCTAGATTCCACCTAGGGTCCTAAGGCGGGCCCCTGGATGCTCATTTGACAGTAATTTTATGCCTAAAACCCATGAGCTTTTGGGTGCTCCGCCCCCTGGACCTCACGCCAATAGTGTCCTACCAGTGTCTCAAAGGTATAAAAATATGTTCATCTGACCGTAATTAAATGCCTAAAACCCCTGAGCTTCCGGGGGCTCCTCCCCCTCGACCCCACCAGGAGCCCTTAGGCGGGCCCCTGAATGCTTTACCTGACCGTTATAAAATGCCTGAAACTCCTGAGTATCTGGGGGATCCGCCCCCTGGACCACACGCCAATAATCCTGCTAGTAAGGTATCAAAACATTATCATCTGACCGTAATTAAACGTCTAAAACCCCTGAGCTTCGGAACTCTGTTTTTGTAATTCCTTTATTGCAAAAATTATGTCCTGAAGTATGTTAAATTTTAACTTATGTGTATTTTACTTTCTGTATTGATGGTCGTATGTCCACAATTATACAGTTTTCACACAACTGCTCAAGGAGTTTCATTTTTGACAGACATGGCGCGTTATAAATGTTCACTATTATTATTATAAAATGTACTAAATTGTTTTGTTGCTTTTGATGTCTTGTTTTAAATGTATGTATGATAAAGTTGGGAATACTTCTATGCAGTTGAGAATATCATATGAGAAAGGTATTAATAAAAGTTTCCTTAATAATATGACTACGCAGCTTTTCTTTCTGTTAAGAAATGGAACAAGGTGCAGGTATGATTGAGGGTCAGAGTGCATCTTATCTAATTCACAAAAGATCTGTTTTCGCTTCATACTGTTTAGGCGTTAATATAGCTGTAAAATTATACATGCAGGGGAGTAAAACAGAAGTGAATACTTGCAAATCTGCTTTCTCTGTTTTTTTCCTCCTCTTTCCTCTTTCCATTTACTCTCATATCCCCCACAATACGTCAAGCACTCGGAATTGTTCAATATTTGCACACAGGTGACGTATGCGGTCTTATGGTGTAATGGTTAGCACTCTGGACTTTGAATCCAGCGATCCGAGTTCAAGACTTTATTGAAGACGTCTATTTTTACGAGGAAAATGTAGATCAGTGTCCACAAAAGGACGTAACTTGCAGGGATTCGAACCCTATATCTTGTGATCTTTAATGTGGTCACTTATCTAATAGATCCACAGCATCGTTATAAATACAACAAACTTACAGACAATACATTAATTGTATTGTATTTGTATTGTATTTATTTTCCATCATTTAAATAATACATCAACATATATATATATATATATATATTTACAATCATAAAGACACAGTTATAAAAAAGAAAGACGGAGGGATGGCCCTACTCAGCGTTGTTAGCATAACAAATCTGGTTTACAGAGGGGTCCCTGAGAAATTCGAGAAAATGGAAAAGGGTAGTCCAGTTTAGGTTCAACAGATAAACAAATTCATTGACGATCTTTTCTTCTAAGTAGAGTGAATTGAAAAAAAAATGTTGTTATGTCCACAACGAGATAGTGATGCACTAATTGCACAATACACTTTTGGACATTTCTTTACAAAATGCAAGTACGATGTTATCTTCTTTCTTTTTACTTTGACTGATGTGACTGTGTCTAGTATGTTCTCTTCTTTTGCTTTGCAAATATCAAGAAAAGTAATTTAGTTGGGGGCACAGACTAGACCATGACACTTGTTGTACTGGTATGTCACTCAGTCTTTGGTGTGCCGAGGACAATAAGCCCCCATATACCTGTCAATGAGATAGATGTTACTGTTAAGGAAAATGTTACTTTCAAATTATGTGTTCATTCTGTTTAAATGTTAACATCACTTATTTCAAGAAGGACAGATGTAAGAAAGAAACAAATCTACTTCTTCGTTGATACACGGCCATGGCATGTGAACTGCTACTTGCTCTTGATAAGATGTAACTAAATCCCAAGTATCTATCAGCTTGGCATTAATGCCAACAAACTCCTCCTCCATTATTCGACTCATTTGTCTGAAAACATAGTCGTTGCTATGGACACGAGCTTCAAATGTAGGTTGTTCACGAGGCTGAGATTTTTTGATGACGGCCATTACGCGATCGTCACCGAGCCTCGCACGCATGCGTGCGATACCGTTACGAATCGCGCGCATCCTGTCACGATAGCTGTCCATATTCCACGAGGCGTAGTGCGCTGACATGCTGATAAAAATAACGTATTTTACATCGGGGTCATTGAGCATATCCATGTATTCGGGTTCGAACATGCGCTCTAAACCAGCAAAGTTAAAAGTTGCCGTGAGTGCCGCAGAGAGGACATGACGCTTATAAATGACTGTATGCGTCTCGTCCTCGGTGCAGTAATAATACGAGTTCGGCACATCCTTGTTGCCCAATTTCCTTTCCAGAACTCGGAACCACTGGCATGCTATAGAATCGCCGAACATGATGATTTTGTGACCTGCCAAGCACTTCTTGACGTTGTCCAGGTCATCCCATGAGTGTGTGTTGGAGCAGACGAGTGACTGCCATTTTGGGCCTAGCCAATATCCTTCTGGAAGTAAGCTTGAGTTCCTGCTGTCGCCGTCGCCGCACAATACTCGAGGACGTTCGATCTTGTAATCATAGATTACAGAAAGCATTCCTGTTTTAAGCAAGAATCACAAAAGAGGTTGAATTTTGTTTAAAATGGTGCAGTATACAATTCAAATCATAATCCTATTAAAAATATTCTCTTGTGATGAATAGCAAAACCATCAAGTAACATTAATTTATGTTGCTATGTTCGAAAAACATAAATCTGAATTTGTGATCTGGGGGGCGTTTCATGAAACAATAATTATTAGTCGGTGGTTTTCACCGACTAATATCATGTTCACCGACAATTCTTTTGTCAACGACTATTTTCCAGGCCTGTGATTGGTCAAATTTAGTCAGTGCTGACTAAATTGTCGGTGAACATGATATTAGTCAGTGAAAACCACCGACTAATTATTTCATGAAACGCCCCCAGGTCTTTTGAAAAAGGGAATTCGTGAGAGTAATGAGTGAGATGGTCTTGAATGCACAGGAGTGGCGATAAAAAATGAGGATGGGGTGATTAATTGTGATAACCTTCTCCACCCCTTTCGATTCTCCATTTCATTTGCCTCTCATTATGTTTGGAAACCTATGCCCCTTCTCCAACGAACCTCTTCCGGTGCTACCTCTGGAGAGTCTGAAGATTGCATACTGGCAAAGATACTAGCAAAGACCTTTGACTTATTAATGTAGAACGCCGAAGACATGAACGGACGTTCTCGGTAATGTTTCGTATTTAGTCGGTTTTTTGTAAGTGTACAGGTGTTGCACAAAACTTACCATTGATGGTAACTTTGCCATATGGTAACTACCATGGAAACTTTGATTTTGATTGGCTGTTGAGCCTTTGTAGTTGCCATTGATGGCAAAGTTACCCATCAATGGTAAGTTTAATGCAACGGGACTCTGATATTTTGACATAATATGCTCAGATTAAGTATATCTCTGTATCCTGAGTAAATTTTGACAAAATTTACATTGGTTTGATTCAGGAAACATACTTAGGCCTTGATCGACCTGGCTTGGTTGGCTTTGATTGCCATAGTGAACTTACCTGTACTGCTCTTTTCTGTAATATCCATGTGGTACACTGATTGGGGTGATCTCAGCTGGGTCTTGTAGAATGTGCTGTGGTGAAGATTAAAAGAAAGAGAACAGACTAGTAAATATACAAAATAAAGTCATAATTTGGGGTCAGTTGTAGACAAGCTGACAGATTGATTTAGTACATGCATTATTTCAGAATATCCAGCTATACAATGTTTGTATGTATTTTCCTTGTAAATGGCCTACACCGTCTTTCTTGTTCAGATCTAGGACACGACGCGACGGACTTGGCACATCAATAGCAATCGTTAAACTTATTTTGAAAATTTAATCTTTAAAAATTATATATATATATATATATATATATATATATTTTAAGAGACCTAGGGACAGAACCATGCCACATTGTAATCGAGAGTTATTGTCCAATGGCGTAAACTATTTTGAACATCCAACATTGATTTCGTATTATCTTTGAAAGTAACCGGTACTTATGAGAGATACAACTTACTTGTTGAATAGATACTTCTTTCCTTCAATGAGCCGATTAACTGGCTGCTCTATTCCAGCAAACTGTCCATAAGACACTATAGATCTGATGTCATCACAAATGAATCCATCAGGCATGGTGCATATAAAAGCGCTCTGTCCCATCCCAGTCTCATTGGCACCATAAATGCAGATGTTCTTGTTCATCAGGTGGTTCAAACCTCGTTTCACCACGCACCGACCTTGGCCATCGCCGACGTCAAATCTGTTGTATCTGGCGGCCCAAGTGAAGCACCCATCAGCTTTCATGTAGACCTCACTCAGCCACCGTACAGTGTCTGATGGATAGCCTAGTATAACGTGCAGGTCCAGTCTCCCAGCAAGTGGCGCCAAGAAATAAGCTGAGTAGCTCCCATTCTGATGATCCACTAGACGAGCAGCAGTTCTGAAGTGCTTGTTGGGTGATGTCGCTTTAACAAACCAGAAGTCACCACCTACAGTCTGAGGGCGCCCCATCCCGTCGTACGCGTATATCCGAATCTCAACGGTATCGCCGACTTCGTACTGTTGTCGGACGGGATAGAAAATGGATGTTGCTGCAGAGGTTAAGAGCGAAGCATTGAAGTTTGAGTACTCCTTTATTTTAGTACTGTTGTGAATATAGACATCAAAAAGATGGTCCAGTTCATTTGATTTCAAATTGAGTGGATGTACCGATTGCGTGGTATGTTGTTCTACATATCTGCTGCCCTTTGCACCGAGTATTATAGCAAAGCTGATCCTTTTTGAAGCAGAAAAGACCTGATGATCGAAGAAAATATTATGAAACATATTTATTGTTACTCTTCATCTATACGTGAGATCACTTTCATGAGAAAGAAATAGTTGTGTCGATTTGAGTCATCACAATGGTTTACATGGGTTCGTATCCCACCGCTGCTGCCACGTTAATCAATCATAACAACGGTCAAAGTTAACATACTCTGTATAACCATGATGCTTCGGCTTGACCAGCAGCGGATCGAATAGATCAATGCACATTACTGTCCAACACCACCTCTCACTTCCCCTCCCCAACACACCATTTTCGCACACCCGGTTCACACATCATACCCATGGCATAATACACCCTGCAACATATAGTGGAGCATTCTAGCGAGTCCAGCGAGCAAAAATGAGACAACCGGAGCAATAAAAAAAAATTTAAAAAAATGTGTATGTTCTCTTCGTTAGGTGTTAAAAACAACATGAAAAGCAGGGTGTGTTATACTTCTTTCTCAATTAATTGTAATGGATCAGAAGTAAATCTATAAAAAGATAAAACAGAATACGGGTACCCTCAAACCCTGTCTTATATAGAGGCCTACATAATTATATACCCCCGCCCCCTCCTCCAATCTTACAATTGCGTCATTACATTAAAGCCCCGCTGCAATACTTATAGCTATACTTGCGCCCGCTTTATAGCAAACAATGCCCAATCGGTGCCTGTTGGTCCCCCATGACCCCTTTTTTTCTTATTTTAATTGAGAGCTGATTTGATGAGATATATATATATATATATATACACACTTGCACAACACACTCACCACCAACTCATACACAAAGATCGTTTGAACACTTTTTCATTTTAAGTTTTACCTTAAGATTTTTTTTTTGTTCTTGTTTTTTTTTTGAGGCCGCCATCCTTGTCAAGCTTTGCTTATGATTGCGGTCTCCTGCACTTTTCCAACAGAATAGTTCGGATAATACTTTAAATTTATGATATGTTATGGAAATAATAATTTTCGTTATTATATGTACATATATTATGTAAAAAAAAACTTGTTGACATGAAGAAATTATTGTTTGTTTATGTTGTATTATACCTTACATGTATATTATGTTCTTTGTTATTCAGTTATATTTTATTTGGAAAAAATGCAGAAAAATAAAATAAAAATAAATCAAATCAAATAACCACCTGTCAGTGACCTTGCAGGTAGGTTTAATCCCACTGGCCACCCTAGTACAAACGGGCTTTATTTTTTAAAGATTAAATAGACACCATCATGCATGCACTTGTGAAAATAATACCGGGATGTACGTGTGGTCAGACTGTACAGGAAGCACTTATTTAAAGTTTTGAATAATTTCCGGTCAAATGATTAGACTTAAATACCAATTGTCGGGTCTAATTATGGCAACATAGGACATAATAGGTATATAATAACAGTCATGTAATTGGCACTTGAATCACAAATATTAGTCCTGTATGATAGCGCCTATAATCGGCTATCATTATGATAAGAAAGCATATTACTATCCAATTTAATCTTAAACGAATCGAACAGACACCGCAATTTAGATGTTTTCGTTGTATTCTTTTTTATAGTTCGAGCATGATATTACACACACGTAATACTATGTGTTGATGTTGTAGTTGCAAACTAGAGTGGTTAAAACAGTTAACCTTAAACTAGTTTTGTTGTTGTAATGAAGTTTTTATAAAGGGGAAATATAGATTGACTCATCATTGACACACTACATCCCACGTTATGATCTAATTCCGTACAATATATACGAAACTGTTAACCCACTGTGTCAAAATAATATGGAGAAGGATAACAAACTTAGGAATTAAAGGGCCAAAACTTACAGAAAGTGATTTGGTGCATGTTCGTCATTGCAAACAAGATCGTTCTGGGGGCCAAAAGCGTGAACCCGATATGCCCCATAGACAATGCGTGTAATGCATGGGCGGAAAACGTACAGGATCTGTATTATGACCGGAGGTAAATTGTTTTATATCTCTCTTTATGTCTCTTTGTGGGCCGTATTTGGTATCATTAGAAAGAAAATTTCATGGTTGTTATTGTAAACCACTCTCTTTTTTTTCTATGATAATTCTATCGAAACACGTGACGTAAAATAGATTTATAGGACAAAATGGCGTCTTAAATGGCCCCCTTGACCAATTTTAAAAATCTGGCCACGAGGTGCCCTGCGTATCGGAACTCGGCATGTCAATGCAAATCTTCAAGGAAAAAAAGGACGTTTAAGGGGCGAAAAGCAGTCTGAAAAAATGACGTCATAGCTGATACGTGTTACATTCGGGCGGAAACTCGGCGGAATTCGTGTAGTGACCTTTGTTCAAATGCGATGTACTCACATTTTTCTGTGGGAACATATACTATACTTGGTATCATTCGAAAGGGCACTTCATTGCGGTCAGTTTTACACCATTGTTAACTACATTGCACGCATTGAACGCGCTATTACGTAATGCATAGTAAATTCATCATTTTGGGCGATAACTTTGCGCTGACGTTATTAAAATTTACAAAACTTGGCAGACAGTTGTCACGTATATGGATACATGTGTCTGTCAAGTTTCATTGACGTAGGTATAAAGATCGCCATTGTAGAGCAAGTTGAAGTTATTTCTCAATTTTCTTGAAAACTGCATATTTTGAGGGCATTTTTCACAAAGTCGGCCAGTGTTAGGGTATATAATTTTGTATATTGCTGGAAAGGGCATATGTTCAAGTATCTAAATCCAAAAACGGGTACGGGTCTGCCAAGCCATATTGGAGATACGGCCAATTATAAAATATAGATACTGCGAGAAGATGAGACGGAACGGAATTGGTTAAAGATAGTTATTGCAATTTTTAGATTTGTAGGGGTCCATTTTTCAAGAATTTGAGAGATTGTTGACGGAGTCGGTTTCAGATTTGAATTTTGAGTATGAAGATGGCATTTTGAAAGGGCAGGTTATACGTCGCAGATTAAAGAACATCTCTTAGACTATCAAGAAAAATTTGTTAGAAGTTTGTAGGATCTAGGATAGTGGAGATAGGAAGGAAGATAGAAAGGCCTTAAAATGGACCAGAAACGGACAAAATGGCGCCCTAGTAAAAAAAAGTAGGTGACCTAGACTGTATATCAGAGATTACGCCTACGAAGTTTGAAAGGAATCGAGCAAGAGAAAAGGACCTGGATAGGAAAAACAAGCACTACGTGCAAAACGAATGGGATTCCGGACGACAAGAAGAAGAGGAAGAAGAAGTAAGAATATTAATAATGTGAACGAAAACAAGGCAATGACGAATTAAGGTCGTCATTGCAATTACATGAGATGTCTAAATTTAGACCCCTGCTAAAAAAAGAAAAGGGAAGCAAGATGGACGCTGCAGTCATACTCACCCACATGAAAACGAACAACACCAAGGTCGCCAGCGCAGTGATAACACATTTTCTTAGCCATGAAAATCCACTTCTTCTGTTACGAACTGTTTTGCTCTGAACTAAGCTGAACTTTGACAGTACAATGTTTACTATGGTTTGACTTGAAGACATTCTGTATAAATGTTTATAATGCTATGAGACACTGACTCCTCTAAACCACGACAGACAAACGCACTCTAGACGCTGCAGATGTTCGATCGCAAAATGAATCTAAGAGTAATCTTCTCGTGATCATTCGGGCTACAAATTCTTGAAACTCCACCAATATCAAGGGGGTTATTTCTAAACCATATCCTTGTCTAATGCAGATGACCCATCTGATTCCATATCTACGGCAAAAATGTAGTATTATCAATCACAGACATATATATCAATGAAACGAATCGTTTCGATTGTCTTATCTTGCTGGCTGTCGTGACTAAACTGAGGAAGTACCTTGTGCGACTCGCGCTGACAGATAAGCCTAGGTAGGCTAGGCTGAAAAGGTTGCCTTGCCTAACGCGATTTCCGCTGTACCCTGCTACAGCATATGCCTAGGTGGATTACAGGCTTCAGCAAAAATATCATAGAACTTTTTTGCTACGTGTAAAAATAGCCATATTTGATTGGTGATAATTTAATAATTGAATCAAATTAAAAGATGATAACTCAAAAATTGACTCAAAAATCAACAATGCTATTGTAAATCCCCACTGCATTTGCACAACATTTTTCTATTCAGTGAAACATTACTCTGGGTTACAAGAGGGCGCTCTAGGATATCAGTTGTTCTGATTGTTTTACTTTTTTTTATTTTTCACCTTTCAGGGCACTTCATTTCACATATCTACAACTTTCGCAATTACAAACACATATACAATTAAGCAAAAGCTTTTTCCCTGTTTTTCATTAGTAATTATTATTTACAGAATAGTGTTTTTATCTTTTTTGATAGCTTGGATAGTGTTTTAGATCGTGTTCATTCTTTTTCGGACAGAATTGTATTAGCGGGGAACTTTAATTGTAAAATGCTTACAACAAATCCCTTTTCAAATAGATTGACTGAATTGTGTACTATACTTTAGGATAAAAGTCAAAATTAAAAAAATAGTAGGTCCCACCGAAACTTGAACTCGGATAGCTGGATTCAAAGTCCAGACTGCTAGCTAGTTCACCATGGCACCGCAAGTGGGTATGGAATAGCCAGGTATGTTAAAGGGGAAGTCCACCCTGAAATTAAGTTAGTTTTAATAGGAGTAGAAAAATGAGAGAAAGTCAGTGAAAGTTTGAGCAAATTCCGATTAAAAATAAGGAAGTTAGGATTTTTGAAGTTGTGATCAATCAAACACAAATTGGCAACTCTATGACGTATCATGCGAGCTCAACTTCCATTTGCTCAGTACTAAAAAAATCTAAAATTTTCATTTTCCCTCAAGAAAAATTTCAACCATACATGCACCCTAAATATAATAATTGCAAATTTGTTTCTATACTCCCCCTGCAAGGAACAAATATATATTCCGTCATCAATAACGAAGAAAACATGATTTTATGAACTATTATGCACAAAGCAAATGAAGGAGAGCTCGTATAATAAGTCACAGAGTTGCCAATTTGTATTTGATTGATCACAACTTCAATAATTCATAACTTTCTTATTTTCATTCAGAATTTGCTCAAACTTTCACTCACCTGATTTTCTTATTATTCTGCCTCTATCGAAACAAACTTATTTTGGGAGTGGACTTTCCCTTTAATATAATAGACAGTTTAAGATGTAAGAGAAAAGGAGAGACGGAATGTTGAAGCAAACTGATTAGAACATAAACTTAAAATTTTATTGGATAATAACAAAAGAGTTAGATATTGCCAAAAGCTTATCAATATATAATAGGCATTATGTTTATTATGCACATTGTGTTGGGTTGAGTGCAATGGATTGGTAACATGAATTAAGTAAGGATAATTCCAATTTCAAAATAAGCGTTATATTCCATTTTAAAAAGTATGTGTGTAGGGGTGGGGGAGGGAACTACCAGAAAAACGGGTATAGGTTACATCATAGTATTTTTCAATGGTGGCCTATACCGACAATAACAAATTGTTGTCAACCCAAACAGAGGATTATTTTCATCAAGAGAAATGCATTTGTTAGTAGCGACTTTAAATAAATAATAAATAAAATTTATTGAAATAGAATCCTTATCTTTTGGAGATTGTTCTATATTCAAGTGCATACAAATAATTAAATCACACAAAATTTCAAACGAACAATTGATAAGTCATCAATGTACAATCACAACAGGAGAATAAATTTTCGGATTATCAACCACAAAGCTAAACAGAGCACTAATTCCTCCGGCTCCCCTACCACATCCATTTTTTCCATGGCCTTATTTTTCACTACCGGCTCGAAAATGTACCAAATTGTTTTGTTGTTTTTGATGTTTTGTTATAAAATTAATGTATGAATGATAAACTTGAAGATACTTCTATGCAGGTGAGACTCTCATGTGAGAAAGGTCTTAATATAAGTTTCATTATAACTATAATGACAGCTTTTCTTTCTGTTCAGAAATGGAATAAGGTGCTGGTATGATTGAGGGTCTGATTGCATCTTATCTAATTCACAAAAGATCTGTTTCTCTTATTGTTTAGGAGTTAATATAGCTTTAAAATTACACATGCAGGGCAGTACGCGGTTTAAGTGTTAAGGTGCAAGTACACTAAAAAAACAACTTATTTTCAATAGAAGCAGAAAAATCAGACAAACCAATCAAAAAAGGTTTGAGCAAAATCGGATAACTAATAAGACAGTTATGAATTTGTAATGACATGAAAATCTTTGAAAATCACAAGACAAATTGGCAACTCAATCACAAGTCTGTGACGTCATCTCACTATCCACTATTTGTTTTCCTTTGTATAATTGATAACATAAATTCGCAATTTTCCCTCACACCGGCATCCAAGTTATATTGATAGTAATACGTTTTTGTGTGGATGCACTAGTAATATAGAGAAATTGTTTTCAGTTAAATCATGAAAAATTTGGATTTTGATATACTATTTATATAACAATCAATGATCATGAAAATACAATATTAAGAAAAATGTATAAATTCTTTAAATTTCATAAACGATTTTGTGAAATGTCATGCACGCAATATGATACAAACCATATAACCTGGGCAAAGGCATGGGGAAATCAAGTTTTGGGGGATAAAAAGGGGAATTAATGGGATAAAAATATATATAGCAATTGAAAAATAATGAGGCAATGACGTCACAAACTGATAACCAAATTGGCAACTTGTGTAGTGATTTTCTAAGTTTTTCATAGTTGTCCATACTTTAAAAAAAATCATAACTTCCTCAAAAGTTATCCGATTTTACTAAATTTGTGTGTGCTCTGGTTTTCTTGTTTTTCTGCATCTATTAAACCACACGAGAATCATTAGTGTTTTTAATTGATGCAAAACTCATATCATTGCGAAGGGGAAGCCTTGCCGATCAAATACAACAACTCTTCTCTTCAAAGTATGTTTGGGGCCCGCAGTAATCAACTTTCAAAAATTTTAGTTTTGAGATCCAGATTTTCTGCCTTCAGCGGTCCTTTGTAGAGCGTCAATATTTGTGACGTCACAAACGGGACACGGCTGGCTTTAGCTGCATAGTGCTACACGGCACTGTGCTGTTTGTCCAGTGTGTGACGTCACAATTCAGAGCTCGCTACGCTTGTGTGTTTGACTTACGTTCAGGGGTGTTCGGGGTCTAAGGAGGGTCTTGAAAAATTGCATTTTACGCCTTTCCATGATATCTATATGATTTCTCAGCAAATTGTTTGTGTTTTTCAAGAGAAAATCTTTCCATCCCATATGTAATTTGTTCTAATTATGAGTTGTTAGTGAATTTTCTTTGTGTAGCTCCTTTAAAAGCAAATTTTTTTTGGAGTGGACTGAGCCTTTAAAATTCGCACTATCCATCCTTACAAATACACGCCGGACCATGGTGATGGTCAGCACTCTGCACTTTGAATCCAGCGACCCAAGTTCAAGGCTCGGTGGTACCTCTTCCATATTTTTCAAAAAATCTACCCTTTTTTGTCTATATTTTAGTGTGAAGTAATCATTTGTGTAATCTTAATTAACCTTTTTCTGTCACTATCGTACATCTGCTCTACATGATTTTATTCCCACATTAAAAATATTACTCGATGTTTCTCTCTCGTTTGTTACAGGGCCCCTATAACAAGCAGAATTCGGCTTTTTAGAGGTCCTTACCATTATATTTTATAGTGTCATTGTTAATCGTTTTAAAAAGGTTGAATAAAGATTTGAATTGAAATTGAATTAAAATTGAAATTGATAATTCGCTTAAATATAAAGTTTTGTTTTACAATTTTCCTTTCTGCATTCTATAGGTCATCAGGGCCTTATAATTGTTTCATTAACAAACTTGTTATCTGAAGTATCAAAAATAGATAAAAGAAGAAATGATATTGTACCCCAATTTATACAAAATGAATAAACAATAAACCAAATCTCGATATAATATGCTCATTTAATCCCTTTTCTTTAATTTATAAGTTATTCATACTACATCCATCCCCCCCCCAAAAAAAAATGGTACTGTTATATTCAAAATTTGTCAACTACACTGTGTCATTGCTCAGAAGTGAATACTTTAAGTTTGGCAAATCTGCTTTCTCGGTTTTTTTCTTCTCCTCTTTCCTCTTTCCATTTACTCTCATATCCCCACAATATACGTTAAGCACTCTAATTTAATCAATATGTGCACAAAGGTAACATATGCGGTCTTATGGTGTAATGGTTAGCACTCTGGACTTTGAATCCAGCGATCCGAGTTCAAGTCTCGGTAAGACCTTTCAGTTTTTGTTGTTGCTTAAAATAATAATACTAATAATAATACTCAGTTTTTATATATAATTATATGCGCTTAATCACTGAGCGCTTCCAAACTTAGAGATTATTACCCCGGCTTTAGCTGTGCTGCCATTACGGCGCTCTAGCATTTCAAATAATTAATTCCTGCCACTATGGTTTTTATACATTCTGTACTTCTAAATTTGCATTGTCAGACGGATGTATCTTTGAAAACGTCATCCGTCATCCTATTTTGAAGAAAAAAAGGGTCAGAAAAAATTGTGTATGATCGTAAAAATATGAAAATGTGAGCATTGTAATTTGTTACTTTGTACAGGACTGCTGGACTGCATGGTATAAACATTCTATTTCTACTAATTCATATAATTTTAACACATATCGATTTGCTATTTCTTTCCCGAGTCAGTTGTGTTCTAAACTTGGATTCCCATCTTTTCGCTTTATTTATTTGCTATTTTCACACCAGTTTCCGATTATATTTCAATCTCAACAGACTCTCTTTGAGTGACATTTACCCTTTTCTCGCCTCTCCATCTCTCTCTCTCTCTCTCTCTCTCTCTCTCTTTCTCTCTTTGATTCTCTCTCTCTCTCTCTCTCTCTTTCTCTTTCTCTCTATCCATCTCTCTCTATCTTTATCAGAATCTGTCCCTTTCTTTTCTTTTCGTGAACATTCGGGCAACAATAATTGAAAATCCACCAATCTCAAGGGGGGTTCTCTCTAAACCATATCCTGATCGAATGCAGATGATCCATCTAATATCTTGCAACTATAAGTTCCATCTATATGGCAAAACATGTATTATTATCTGTATCAATCACAGAAATTTATCAAGAGAATAAATCGTTTCGCATAACCACTTTGAGAAACTGTCTTATCGATAATCGCTGACTATCGTGACTGAGGAAGTACCTAATTTTGTGACTCGCGCTGACAGATTAAAGTTGTCTTGTAAGCCTAACGCGATTTCCGCTGTACCCAGTGGTGTAATGAGCAAAAACGTTTGGGGAAGGGGGGAAGGCTGACAAAAAAAATCTGAATCACCCCACTCTAACGATAGTAACATGCAGGCCCCGCTGAAAGTGGGGTCTAGGGGCAAAGCCCCGGAGGCGGTCAAGGGGCGGAGCCCCCAAAGCTCAAGGGGTATGGGCATCAGTGGCGGATCCAGGATTTTCTTACCGGGGGGGGGGGGGGCACAAAATGGCATGGGGTGAAATATATGTAAAACGATGAAGCAACGGAACGAGGCTTTAACGGCGAGGGAGCGGAGCGACCAAACAGGGGGTGGGTCTGGGAGGGGGTTCCGAGTAAGAACCATTTCCAATTTTAGAACCAAATTAGACGCATTTTCATTTCATTTCATTTTCCTTGAGTAATATGACGTAAAATTGCTTTCTCCTACCCCTTCCTAGAGTAGGGATCTTTTGCAATTTGAGAACCACATTTGGCGCATAAAATGTCCAGCGGCACTACCTGGAATAAAAATATGCCTTCTGATTGGTTTAGAAGTTAGAGAACAGTGATCTGTCACGTCGTGAGACGTTGTATAAATTATGCTTTGATGCCGCACAATGCTTAAAGACGGTGGTCTGGTACTTCACCAGTAGTACTTGCAAAAATTATTTCGAGTGTATAAACTGTGTCGATATCAGGGGCGTCGCTAGATCTTTTTCAGTGGGGAGGGGGGGGGGGGTGTAGAGGCCACCGATTACCAACAAAACGAGCCACCAATTACCGACAAATATAAAAATGTCAATGTCCAAATGTCTACAAATTTAACCCTATAAACCCGGGGCCAGGAACTAAGTTATTTTTCAGTTTTCCCCCTCCCGCGCGAAGCGCGGAAGCTTTGACACTTCATTAAATTATTAGAGAAAGATATTTAGATACATTATTTGTGACACTGGCAGGTCAATAATTGGCGGGGAGTCCAGGGAGCAGAGCCCCCAGAAGCTCAGGGGTTTAGGTATTTAATTACGGTTAGATGAGCATCCAGGGGCCCTCTTTAAGGCCATTGATGTGGTCCAGAGGACAGAGCCCCCGGAAGCTCAGAGGTTTTAATATTTAACTACGGTCAGATGAGCATCCAGGGGCCGCCTTAGGGGCCTTGGTGGTGTCCAGGGGGCAGAGCCCCCGGCAGCTCTGGGGTTTTAGGCATGGGTCAGATGAGCATATTTTGATTCCTCATTTGTGACATTGGCAGGTTACTTATTTTTTCTCTCTCTCTCTCTTTCTTTCTTTTTCTGTGGAGCATACCTTTTCTAAAAGTGAAGGGGGCTTGAGTCCCCGAGCCCAGCCGTTTTGCAGACCATGACATAAAGGCTTCTAAATAAGCATATTTTTCGCCCGACTGTAAATTGGGGAATTTCTAATTTTCCAACAAACGTACAAAAAGGTATGACTTACAAAAAAAATGAGAAAAAATACCAGAAAATCATGTCATTTCAGCAACATTTTTAAATAACTGGTATTGAATAAGAAATACCCCCCCCCCCCCATCAGTACACCAGCGTTCAGGGGCTCATGTCTTCTCACCCCTTTAACAAAAAACAGACACGCTTTCCCATTCTCTTACAATATGTCCATGATATGCACCTCTATCGCTATTATAAAACCTTTTATTTGAATGGAATTTTATATGTGATTCAATTCAGGTTTTTATTATTGTTATGTTCTTTTGTGTTAAAAATACAACCATCTTTATTCCTCTACTGCCTTTTTTTGTTTTTTGGAGGGGGGGTCTTTTTTTGGGGGGGGGGGCAAAAATGCGTTTTTTTTTTTCAAATCATGAATTAAAAAAAAAAGTTGATTAAAGAATATCATAAAGCTTACTACAAACAAAATACTTCAGAATGATATTTTTATTTTTTCGGTCATCAACAGTCAAAAATCTATTTTTTCATCCCCCCCCCCCCCCCCCCCCTCTAAACCACATATTATAATATGTAGAAAACTAAGCATCTCTTTGCTCTTTGCATTTGCTTGCGTTTTCTTTTGCATTTTCCGTTTTCTTGAGTCTGTACTCTTGCTTAATTGCTCCAATTGGCGGGGTTATATGCCGACAGCCGGCGGAATTTAATTGCGTTGATTGTTGAAAATATCTTTTGCGTTTTCAAAGACAAAAAAAATAATCGGAAAGAGGTATAAAAAAAAAAACGTAACCCCAGCCCCCAACCCCCCCCCCCCTTCCACAACCAACATAAAGCAAGTATTGATCTCACTGTTTAATTATTATCCCCTATTGGTTCATTCCTGTTCTTTTTTCAATTTTCAAATAGTCAGCAGGATTACCCTATAATGATAGCTAAGGAATAGAGGATCCTAGCTAAAAGGGAAACAAAATAATGCCTAATAACAGAAGGGGTGGAGTCTGTTAGAGACAAGTGCCCCTTTATAGATAAAGGGACACTAACAATGCCCAGAGCCATACACAATCAATCCTAATCAATGGCACTGACGATGCCTCAAAGAGATTCGATCATACACAGTATGTCCCCCGTATCAATGCCTGAGCTACAGCGCCATCTACGAAGAGCAAAACGCAACGCGCTGAAATTGAAAGTGGAGCTTGAAACTAAGTTGTAGGAGAACTAGAAGAACGCAAACACGGGTATGTTTTTGTTCAAAGGAGAGAATAAGTAACATTTTCGTTTCATTAGAGGTGTAACAACTGTGTTAGGGACACGCCACTATGTGTTTGGGACACAACTAGCTGTGTGTTTTTCCTCTTAATTAATGAATACAATTAACAAAGCTTGCTCTCGTGATAAATAAAGGTTAGGCCAAGCCAAGCCAAGTGAGACGCCAGAGCTCCGGGCATAATTTCGCCTCGGCATGCTTGGTCCCATCTGCAAGTTTGTGTGTGAGTTTTTGCTTGTTTGGTTGGTTACAATTAATGATGTTGGGGTTGTTTTGTTAACGGTTTGTGGTATGGGAGCTAGTTCAGAAGTCTATCCAAAATTTGAGTATTTTTCCTAAAGAATGAAAGATGAAGACTTCTAGACTAATAGCCTATTTAATAATCATCTAAAGTCTATAGACTCTAGATCTAGTCTATTACACCAATTTTTTTCCTTCAAATCTGGGCAAACCATACATCAAATTAAAGCTCTTGATGAGAGAAATCCAATGGTGAAGAGATAATTTGAATCAGAGGTTCTTTTACTGAGTTATGGCTTGTCAAAGGTGTCAATTCCCCCTATGTCTTCTGCCGCACCTTCTGGAAATAACTGGGATCTTACTCTCTAATCTTTCATCAGGGTTTCCAAATAAAAAAATACACTTTTTTATCAAATCTAAGGAGCTTTTCCTATGAGGAATACAGTGGCAAAAAAGATATGTTATAGAAATTTCCTAGACCTAGTAGAAGCTTTATCACTTCAATTTTGGCTAACGAGAGGGAAAAGTTAGGTGTCCTTGAATTAAGAGCACATGCAAACCTGCATAGGCACCACTGAGAGAGCCCCCCACATTTACTTGTTTACACCTGTTGAGACAAAATGAGACAAAGTTTCAGCATGAAAGTAAGGTGCTTCTATGAAGAAAACATCTCAAAGAATGGAATAAAAACTGGATTTTGAATGGTGCCTAAGAACTTACCTTAAAAAACTGGGTCCAAAGCAACAAAATCAGTGACTCTTTTTCGAAGATTGGTGAATAAAACATTAAAAAAAGTAAAGGCCAACTGCTGATGAGGTTTTGATTGGTCTTCTTGCATGTAGTACTATATACAGCTGCCCTGTGCAAAATTTTGTTTGGTAATACGTCATAATGACGAGGTTAGAGTGAAAAACTTTTTTCAAGATGGCGACGTCCATGGGATGCTCTGTGTGAATTGACGCTCTGGAAAAATATCATCAAATGCAGGTTTCGCGATCATTTCAGGAAGTGAATTGTCGATTTCTCAAATGTTAATATAATAGAGTAGGCCTAGAGACACAAATTTAGTGAAAATCTTGTGAAATGTAGCCACAGTGCCATGATGAAAAATGCAATTTTCAAACGTCGGCAGATAGGAAATGTCTTAAACGCGAACCCATTGATATAGCTATAATCTAGAAACTAGATCTAGATCTGTATGCACTTTCTCACGGGATTCACAGCAAACTGAAGCACAATACAATTACATACCATCGGTATCCAACGTGTGGGTGCGCGCGTGTGTTAAGTTAGCGACTGTAATCTAGGTTTACGGTCACTAACTGAACACGTGCGCCCGCACCCCACCATTAGTACTCGGCACTACATCCTGACTTATGGATCCTGCTGAGTATCGTCGTAGAACTAGAACTAGTCTAGTACGGTATTGTGTTGCAGTTTGCAGTGAATCCTGTGAAAAAGTGCATAGAATCTAGATCTATTATAAGCCTTCGTTTATAGGAAAAATACATCATCAATGATGTCCTTGGCTTTCCTTTTTGCTATTCTTTGGCTTCTAATCTAAGTTTTATCAGTATCACTATCAGATCACCATGATGTTGTTTGACTCCATCCAGGGCTTTCCACACATAGGAGCATTACTATCCTGGCTGTGTATTAAAAGCTGTGCTTTTGATTCTCAACATTTCAAACACCACTCTATAAAACTCAAATGATTTCACTCAAAATCGGTACTTTAGTGATAATTGATGACACCTAAATAGCAGTAAAATACATTTTTTTTAAATCTAGTGTCAAATTTGCGGATCAGCCCAATCGGTCCTATCGTGTGCAGTCTATGCAATATTGTGTTTTGTGTATAATACCTGCCTCACAGCAAGTATGCAGTGCTAGAGGTCAATACGCATTAGCATCGACTCTCTATGCTTTGCTGGAGTGGGGCTTTCCAGGCCATGATTATATCTTTTGTTTGTCTTCATCACAGTCAAGTCACTCCAGGGGCCTGTTTCTACAAGCAAGAGATCTGGGTGATGAATTATGATCATGCCAGCGTGTGTTTGCGAATTCAAATGACGCTTTTAGAGGAGCAAGATAACTAGCTACATGCAGACTACAGTGGTATTGAAATCAACAGTCTCCAATGGGTAGATCCATTGAGCGGATTTAATGTGAATTAAATTTCTGCTACCGGTATTTGGATTTATCTTATCTACCCATCTTGTTGATACGGTAGAAAGTGCTCTGAAGTGGCTATCAACTTGCATACATGTACCATCATTCAATGCTTTTGTTATAGCCAAAAAAAAGATGCCTTCTTAAAGTATAAGCTTGTGTCTATAGATTGTAATCACATTTCTTCCCTAAACTTTTTCATACTAACAGAAAAAACAAAGCCATGGCCAAGTCACTGAGGAGAGAACAAAAAATGCATTATGGAGAGGATGGTGAGGTATGTAGGTTACTTCTTTGTGTAAGAGACAACGTTTTTCATATTTATCTTTCATTCAAAGAGTTGAAAAACTGCAACATTCCAACACATTTAATACCTGAGGTGGTGATAAGAGCGATACAGAACCCCTCAACATTTGAATTATTTGTAGACCAATTGGCTATAATTGGACATAAATGAACAATAATCAACAAAATAAAAATGTATGGTTCCTATGGTAGTTGGTAGATTCTATTCAAAATCTAAAATGCAAACACTTACTGTATTGGTATGGGCTTTGATACAGTTAAATTGCTCCCTGTTATATTTGATTTAAGAAAATACTTCTAGGGGCTTGGGTTTTTATTTGGTTTTAGGTTAGATTTAGGGTTAGATAAAGTGTTGGATCCAGCAGTGGAATTGGGAATTTAATAAGTGTCAGAAAATCAGAAATTGATCATAAAGCAATTTTTGCCTGATTATATGTGATGCTCACAGATCTCAAGGGCATTAATCATACAGAATGTTGATATTCAAATTGAATTATTATATATCACCACCTTATGGATTTCAATGTAGATTAACAATGAACAGAAAACACTTGACATGATTACTGTATGAACAAGATTTCATCTTCCGAAGCCAAACAACTTCCAGTAATTTCATCTTTTTTTACAATCAAACTGTAACAGGAGGCTGAAGTTTTTAAATCTCTGGCTGGACTGAACAGATCGATTCTCAAAGGTCTTGTAAGACTGAGAGGGGAGCCACCAATATCAAGGTAAAATTCTTATTTCTTTTCATTCCCTCTCATCCTGCTCTCAATCGTCCAGTAAATTGATCGGACATCTTTCTTGTTATTTCACACCCCCCAAAAGAATGATATTCATTTGTTCCTTTCTATAAGGAGAGCATGTGTGAAATGATGGTAAAAATGCAATTTCTACAATTTTTTCCCATCTTTTTTTCTACATTGGAAGTGAGTGGATGGATATTCCACTTATTACTGACAGATTCTATATCTGTGGCAAGGCATTATTCATTGAACAAGTTATTACATGTTAGAAATCAGAAGAGATAAGGAAGATAATTGGCTTTAAAAATACACATTCCATAGTGTGGTTTTTAGAGATCATGCAATTAATGGCTTGAAATTCTTGAATGCATGTTCTGTAATCTCCATAATATTGTATTACACATGTTAATTTGTTAGGAATTTCTTTGCATCTATTTATGTTCCAAATCACAATCATGAAATAATTGTTCATAGTATATATTGTATGAGGGAGAATACCAGTAGTGTTTTATGCTTACATTTTTATATATTTGTTGTTGGTTCCCGACCATATAATTGTATATACTGCTTGAGGAATATGCTAGCAGGCTGTACACTATAAATAGATAACTAGATAAGATGTTTTATTTTCAAATATTTTATGATCTCTTCTTTGTAAAGAACCAGAGAACTATCTTTGATGCTTGAAGAAGTGATGTGGCATGCTCAGGAAAGCAGGATCATACTCAAAGAGATGCAAGCAAGGTGAGGAAAGCTTTTGATGCTAGCTCTGTTTCATTCATGATCACTTTTTTTGAAAAGTTTTGGGGGGATTGTTCTCAGCCCTGTATATTTTTTTCTGCAGGCAAAGTGGCTCATAGAATTTTGTGGCTCTGTTCCCTATTCCCTATATCTGACTCTAAAGGACAAGTAGACCTACATCTAAACGATGTGAACTGCAATGGAATGTAAAACCAAACCAAAGATTGGAAAGAGTTGGTGACATGATCACTGGTGGATTTAGAAAAACACAAATGGCATTCCCTGAAGCACACAACTCCAAAAATGTGCCTCCCCTCTCCTTTTTGAGAAGATGATTTATTTATTTTTTTCATTTTGAAAGTTGTAATTTGATTATAATATTATTGATATTATTCAATTTCTTAGATCATTTTTCTGGCTTGTCAGAGAGCTTCGGAGTATCAAAAGGGACCAACAAATTAATGAAATATTGAGCCCCCTCTTTTACACACTCCTGGAGCCACCTCCGGACATCACATGGTTACCCAGTTTCTAAGACCACTCATGGAGTCCTAACCCCATTTTGTTGTCCTCCCTAGAGCACGCATGGCACCGGAGAGTTTTCAAGACCAAGGCACGCAGACCCCCAGAAGATGGAAGAAAGACGTGGAACTGAATAGGAAACAGCTGGGAAAGATGCAACAGGTAGGATTTCACTCTTCCTCTCCGCTATGCTCTTTATAGATGACCCCCCCCCCCCCCTCAACAACAACAAAAAAATCATCCACATTTGAACTTTGGTGCTTACACAGGAATGTCTATAGAAAGTAGAAATTACTTTTACTGCTTAAAGGATCTGGTAACTTTGTCTCAGATTCTGAAACAAAATCCTGGATTTAGCTCATGCTGCAATGATAATTATAAACCTTTAGGTCAGTCAGGAACTCCATGACTTTACAAGCCGATCGCCTGTCTGATTATCAATATATTTATGATTTGAAATCAAAATCAAACTTTGCATTTTCCTAACGGTTTTTATAACTCTACAGTCTATTGGGGGAAATGAGTACGGTAAAACCAGTCACTTTTTTGAGGCACCTCGTGATAATTTTGTAGCGCAATTTCTCTAGGGCTTCAATATTACACCATATATCACAGACACTGATAATACTTAGGGCCATGCATCTCAGATTTAACATTGTTAAACGATGCCTTTAAGACACATAGATAGTTTATGATTTAACAGAAATACTTAGAACAAAAGGACATTACTTTTAGTACAAAGTCATACCTTTGACTTCCATATTCTGCAAAATCCTATGCTTGTGTGTATGAACATGTGATATTTATTCTGTTTTGTTTTTTTTTCTTTTCTAAGACACTGTCACATGCCATAGCAGCAAAACACATGGGGCCTTACATTAGATGCTGAAGGATGAGAAGCCATAATCAGGAGTTTTAAATATTCTAATTCCTCACCATATTCCTTGTTTGTGCACTTGTTCTAGTTTGCAGATGAGGTGTGTTCAGCAGTCGATGAGGGATCAAAGCAAGGCTTGCCTGTGATTGGAGAGTCTCGTCATGAACATAAAACATGGTGTGAACAGTCCTACAGACATGTTGTTCCTACCATTCAGCACTGGGCGGAGATCATCATGAAAGATAAACACACGGTTAGCTAACTTTCATTGATTTGATCCTGCAAATGCATTCTCCAAAAACCAGGGCTAAACATTGGCATTTTTATTGCAAAATCAGGCAAGAATAGTTCAGTCAGAACTGCTTTAGTGATCACCTGTCTATAAAGACCGTATTTCCCTTGAATATGGTTTCTCATGGAACCCTGTTCTAAAGAAACCTGTCTATAAAGACCGTATTTTCCTTGAATATGGTTTCTCATGGAACCCTGTTCTAAAGAAACCTGTCTATAAAGACCGTATTTTCCTTGAATATGGTTTCTCATGGAACCCTGTTCTAAAGAAACCTGTCTATAAAGACCGTATTTCCCTTGAATATGGTTTCTCATGGAACCCTGTTCTAAAGAAACCTGTCTATAAAGACCGTATTTCCCTTGAATATGGTTTCTCATGGAACCCTGTTCTAAAGAAACCTGTCTATAAAGACCGTATTTCCCTTGAATATGGTTTCTCATGGAACCCTGTTCTAAAGAAACCTGTCTATAAAGACCGTATTTCCCTTGAATATGGTTTCTCATGGAACCCTGTTCTAAAGAAACCTGCCTATAAAGACCACTGTTCATGTTTCCCTTGAGTGGTCTTTATATTAAGCTGTACCTCGAAAGACTGGTGGTGTACTACAGCTCATTTTTTAATTGCAATGACGAACCTTCGTCATTGCCTTGTTTTCGTTCACATTCTGCCCCATTCTGCATTAATATTCTCCTCCTTGTTTTCGTTTTCTTCCTTATCGTCAGGAAATCGCATTCGTTTTGCACGTAGTGCTTGTTATTCCTAGTTAGGTACTTTCCTCATGTCTTTTTCCTTTCAAATTTTATAGGCATAGTCTCTAACATCTCATCAAGGTCACTACATTCTTCGATTCTCAAAATCACTCATGCATAACCGTCCAGGCGCCATTTTGTCCGTTTCTGGTCCATTTTAAGGCCTTTCTTTCTTCCTTCCTATCTCCACTATCCTAGATCCTACAAACTTCTAACAAACTCCTCTAGATAGTCTAAGAGATGTTCTTTCATCTGCGACGTATAAACTGACCTTCAAAATGCCATCTTCGTACTCTAAATTTAAATCTGAAACCGATTCCGTCAAAAATCTCTCAAATTCTTGAAAAGTTGACCCCTAAATAATCTAAAACTGCCATAACTTTCTCATATAAATTCCGTTTTGTATTTAAATCTCACAGTATCTTTATCTCATAATTGCGCATAGCCATGCAAAATTTCACGCTCCAATGGTTTTGCAAAACATAAATAGCGCCCTCTAAAGTTCTGGGAACTGGCTTTCTTTCTGTGGCCGTATCTCCATTATGGCTTGGCAAACCCGTACCCTTTTTTGGATTTAGATACTTGAAGATATGCCCTTTCCAGCCATATACAAAATTATATACCCTATCACTAACCAAATTTGAGAAAATTGCCCTCCAAATTCGCCATTTTCAAGAAAATTCCGAAATAACTTCAACTTGCTCTAAAATGGCGATCGTTATACCTACATCAATGAAACTTGGCAGACATATGTATCCATATACGTGACAACTGTTTACAAAGTTTGGTAAAATTCGAATATGTCAGCGCAAAGTTATCGCCAAAAATGATGAATTTACTATGGATTACGTAATAGCGCGTTCAATGCGCGCAATACATTGCGCGCAGTTAACAATGGTGTCAAACTGACCGCAATGAAGTGCCCTTTCGGATGATACCAAGTATAATATATGTTCACACAGAAAATTGTGAGTAAATCGCATTTGAACAAAGGTCACTACACGAATTCCGCCGAGTTTCCGCCCGAACCTAGCACGTTTCGGCTATGACGTCATTTTTTCAGACTGCTTTTCGCCCCTTAAACGTCCTTTTTTTTCCTTGAAAATTTGCAGTGACATGCCGAGTTCCAATACGCAGGGCACCTCTTGGCCGGATTTTTGAAATTGGTCAAGGGGGCCATTTAAGACGCCATTTTGTCCTATAAATCTATTTTACATCACGTGTTTCGATAGGATTATCATAGAAAAAAAGAGAGTGGTTTACAATAACAACCATGAAATTCTCTTTCTAATGATACCAAATACGGCCCATAAAGAGACGTAAAGAGAGAGAGAAAAAACAATTTAACTCCGGTCATAATACAGATCCTGCACGTTTTCCGCCCATTCATTACACGCATTGTCTATGGGGCATATCGGGTTCACGCTTTTGGCCCCCAGAACGAACTTGATTGCAATGTCAAACATGCACCAAATCCCATTGGTTTGTGCACGCAGTGCTTGCGAGCCCTTTCTAGGTTCTTTCCCCTATCCCAATTTCTTTCAAACTTCGTAGGCATAGTACCATCCCATCAAGGTCACTGTTGATGCCTTTCTTTCGCCCTACCTATCTCCAATATCACAGTAGCTACAGACTTCGTGCAAATTGCTCTGGATAGTCCGAGAGAAGCTCTCTCGTTTGACACGTAGAAACATGGCGTCATTGCACGCACATCGTTGTGATACGATTGCATTTCTAGTTGTAAATTTGATATTGGCCTTCACTACTGGTCTGACGGGATAAACATAGACCAATCAGGGTATTGTCAAACTCAATGAAGAATATTCAGGAGAACAATTTGTCATTTTCTTTAAAGTCTTTCAGTGCTCTCAATGCTGTAGATGTCGAGATTATGAACGTGTGTAGAGTATTCAAGTCTAAAGTTACCTGTCCTGTATTATGAAATCTGATCAGAAGAATGATATGTGGTGCACAGAGACCTCAAAACTTTTAATACTTCTTTTCTTTAACTTAGAAGCACAGTAATGAAATACAAAATGTTATCAAGTTGCCCATAAAATAAAAATCTCTTTTTATTTGCATTGTATAAGATTTCTAATATCAATCGAGTTTCATCAATATCTTTTAATGAATTTCCATGCTCAATAGAATCGTTTGTTACATTGCAAGACATTTCCAAAGTACTTCCATCTATGGAGGAGTTGAAGCGTACTATCATGAGAACAAAATATAAATAATCAAGCAGAACTTTAATCTGCCATTTAACCCATTCCATACCGGAACCGGGTAGTTCCTGTACTAAGCCTATGGGAATGTGAGAATCACATAGTCAACAGGTTAATTCTCATCACATAGGATGCTCGGAGTGAGAGGCAGAAGAAGAAGGATCTTTTTGAAGCCGAGAAGATGGTGTCACATTTTCAGCGGCTGTTTGATGTTCCCACGAGAGACGGGACCTACACACGGATGACGGAGGTCTATCACAGGCTAGAGGAACTCCAGAACATTCTTCATACCCTCAAGAGTCTGCTAGGACTACGTAGGTTGACCTCATAGTCATTTTGGATGTGTTTTGAATGTTAGCCATATTCAATGATCATTTCTTATTACTAAGTGAAGCATAGTGAGTAATTTCACTGATATTGAAGAATCTTTTGCGACACAATGAAAATCAGTATTGTTATGTGTTGTATGGATTACAGAGTTTTGATTTAAGTATTATTTGTTTGTATGTTAAGTTATTTTTGAGGTTCATCACCTATAAATAGTTTCTATATCGCTTGTTTTAATATTGTTACCTCACCCCCCCCCCCCAAGAAAAATTATATTAAATTAATTAAATAAATAAATACATTTTTGATATGTAACAGGGTAGGAAAGACGATATATTGATTCTTTGAATTTTCTTCTCAGTGATAAAACATTGCTAATAAGAAATAAGGCTATTTATGCAACAACTCTTAATTCAAACGCATCATGAGTTTTTAACAAATAAATACTGTGTGTCTAGGACTTGCATGAGATATTTTGAGTGTGTAAAATTGGAACTATTCCCGCAAGGGATATCTTGGAGAAGCTACATTGAAAAATGTTTCTCCAAGGTTTAAATGCGTGATTTATCTTATATTCGTCCCTCATTTTTCCTGCAGCCGATAGCATACCTGCCAACAGAGTGGTAGTGGCCCTGGGTCATCTCTGTGACCTTCATTCTGATACCTCCACTAAACTCTTAAGCCACTTACTGCAGACAGACAACCTTGAAAGGTAAGCAGTCTAGAGCACAGATGTTTTTTGTTTTTTGTTTTTTTGTTTTTTTTTTGGGGGGGGGGGGAGTTTTGTGACACATGCTCCACCATTATTACCTTCTACGTGTACATTTACCAAATTCCTTACTTCAACCTTAGACCAAACACTATACATAACCCTCATCCTAACTCTGTGGGCAAAAAGAATTTCCATTTTGGTTTAATAAAATTTGGAGTGGACCATTAGGCTATTATTATTATTATTATTATACCTATACTTAAATCTAGTTGCAAAACTAACCATAAAACTATCTGAGGAAATATTAAACAAATATATGAAGTATATGCCAGGTGACCTTTGTATCTTCTGATAATTTTTAACAGTTAGGTTCGTCTGTTTAGATGAAGAAGAAGGGGAAAAGAGAAAGAGAGTGGAGAGAGACAGAATGAGTCAGAAAGATATAGAGAAAGGGCAAAGAGACAGATTGAATGACTTGAAAATAGAGATTGCAAAATTAAAGTTTCCTCAAATACTATATGTTTCGGTCCAGTGTTTGTAATTACATGTATTTGATGAAACAATATTGTAATGTGTGGTCCAATTTTACAATTTTAGTATCAAGTAAAATCCAGACACAGAATTTAAGGGACATGAAGATGGGTATCATAAGGCAATAGATCATTTACAAAACTGATGGATTTGGCTTTAGCAGACACTGTATACAGTGCGACCCAGAAAAACGAAACTGAAAATTAGCGATGTTTTATCATAACTTAATCACAATTATAATTAATAAATGACACATATTTGTAAAGCTTAGATCCTCCTCTTTCATTTGATGCAACTCATATGATGCATATTTCACGCATGATAAAGCATCAATAATTCTTGGTTTCATTTTTTTCTGGGTCGCACTGTATAATTACGTAATCTTTTCTTCTCCCTCTATTGCTTTTTCTGCCTGAATGAAGAGTTTTCTTGCAACCATTGATTTTTTTTTAATTTGTTGTTCTTTCGTGTAGACTAATCCTGTGCCTTGATCAATATCACAAATTCTTTCCCGCCTTTGAAGGCATTGCCAAAGATCTAATGGAAATATTAGGTGAGTGTAATTATATGAATATACGTGTAATTTTAAAACTCTCCATTATATGTAGTGTATAGGCAGTTTATGGAGCATCTTCATACATAGTTCATAGCACAAGTATACCCAGTTTTGCCATTAAATCAATGATGCTTTCTAACAGGAAAACAAACATTAGCACAATCTATTTGGGGGGGGGGGGGTCAAATTTGGCATATGACAGATGGTGAGTAATGTGCGTGTACTTAATTATTCCTAGTACAGGTCAAACCTGCTTTAGTGACCTCTTGTCTACAAGGACCTTATTTTTTGTTTCCCTTGAAAAAGGTTTCTCATTGAAACATGTACTAAAGGAACCTTTACATAAAGAACACCTGCCCATAAGGACCACATTTCTTGTCTCCCTTGGGTGGTCTTTTATTTGTAGACAGGTTTCACTATATCAGTCTTTTATCACCTCCTCTTCTGTCAGAAGTTTTAGATATCTCAAAGTATTACTACACGTATTTACCTATTATAAGATATTTCCACATCTGCTCCGACTGTTTAAAGATACTTTAAAACATTTAAATTATGAAGCATATTTTCAAATTACCCTACCTCTCTCCTAATATGAAAAATAAATAGACTCTGCAGTTAATCCACTGCCTACTGGGACTGGGTTGTCCATGTGTTAAGACTATGGGACTGAGTAAATTCAGTAGTCAACAGGTTACTTATATCTGTAATTGAAAACAAGTCGGAACAAATCTTGGAACCTGCAGGATTTTAAGCTGCATCTACTGCTTGCCGGGCAGCAACTCTACCACTAAGCCATCACTAGTCCATGGCACAGTCACGATAAACTAGAAACAAATACCCAAGCTCTCCCGATTCATTCGGACCTATTAATATTCATTAGTCCAGTAAATGCAGGTTCAAATCCAACTGGTTCCAAGATTTTTTCTGACTCGTTTTCAATTACAGATCAATCATTCGGTCTTTATTTACTGGGTGTAAGCCACAAATATGTTTAAACAATTTAGATTTCTCCCGGAAAGCATTACATTTATAAAAGGTTAATTATATTTCTTTCTGTTTTGTTTCATTCTATTCAGGTGTGGATTCATTAGGGAAAGTGGTATCTGCAGTCAGAGCACTGAAACTCTTACATCCTTATTGATTGAACTTTGGTTATACCCTTCAAATATCTCTTTGGATTTGTGATTATATGGTAATCAAATAGTATAGTTAGTAATCTATGCACAAGGATAGTATAAGGTGATGTTCCCTGGGTTTTTTTTTTGGTACAGAAGGGGATCGAGTTTCCGACAGTCGGTCAAACACTATTGGAAGAAGCACTGCTTTTCATGTTAAACGATCATAATGTTTGTTCAATTAGAGAGGGAAATTCATTTAGTGGCAAACATCACACTATGCATACCTGCCAACATTTGAAAGTGAGAAATTTGTTTGTTTGCTTGTTGTTGTTTTTTGCTGGGGGGGGGGGGGTGAATTTGTGACTAAACTTGTAATTATTGACCAAGGCAGGTCTTGTATGTCATTTAAGGTGATAAGTCAAACATGTAAAAAGGATCACAGTTATTGTGTTATAATCCCAAGTAATTTTACATTTCCATAGAATTGTTGTAATCTACATTCTTTGGATTCCGGGTGCAAAAAATATATGCTGTACATTTTAACTCTTTAACTGAAATGGATATCTTTTAGCATTTACATGTGCATGTATTTAACAAATGTCCCTTTTTTAAGTAAAAAGTATAGACTATGGAAGTTTGTAAATAAAACAAATCACATGCAATACCATTATTAGTATGATTTGTTTTATTCTAACTTTGAATATACACATTATTTTTTATCTTTATAATCCTTTATAAACTGGTGCACAGAGAAATTTATACAATGCGAAGGCGTTGTGAATATATATAACAGTACATTTAGTAAGCATACATGAGGAAAATGGTACTTTCATAGTTCTTTCTACACACTTACAAATTTACATACACATGACTAAATTCACATGACAATGGAGCTGTAAATGAAATTTACAGACATGTCTCTGCTCTTTAATTTTTTTTGTAGGTTCATCTCCTTCAGTGTTAGATGAATTAAATTGAAAACATTTTAAACACGGCTACAGTATGGAGCGAAAAAAATAATCATGAAACAAAGATAGAATTTTACAAATCATCTTTTTTTTTTAAAGCACTTTATGACAATAATCGGCGTTATGTTTGAATCCTGAATGTAGAAAGAAGAGACGGTGTTATCATTCTAAAATGTACGCCCTTTATTCCTCAATCTCTGTAGCAGAGAATTTTGTCTTAATTTAAGGAGAACTTATATAGTTACGATCACTCGTATTGTGATTTCTCTTACAGCACAGTAAAATGCATGGCTAGCCTGCTAACCGACAAATCAATGTGAAAATATATCAAAAATAATAGGAGACGTAGAATACATTTGATTGTTGATAAAAGGAGATTAAAATCTTTAAACAATTATTCATCTACAGTACAATACAGCTATGCAATTTATAATTAACTAAAATCTGGAATTCATTCCACTCGTCATGACCAAATGCAGTAGAAACAGAGACATAAATATAACTAATCAGCATCATTTCCTTGATCATGTTCGACAACTACAGACAAATTCAGGAACACCACATGTTCAATTTGTTTGTCTGTATTTGATTGAAAAGCGTCTGTTTTCTGTATGAGTAATCTAATAAAAACATATGGTTAACATCATCAGGAGATAACCAAATTAACTCTCCCTTCATTTCTTATCATGAAATAAATAAAGTTTGAAGCATATTATACATGGCTTCTTTTTTTCATGGAAGGCGAGAGAGAACATGTCAAGAAAACTAACAAAGTATAAAACCACAGTATACATTTGTTCGAAATATAACAAAATTTTCTGTTGACATACACACTTCACAATTACAATTATCATCATAAGGAAAGAATACAATGCAGGTTCAAATAAATTCATTATCTAACATTAAATTCAGTATTAAAATTCTCAGTCCACGAGCTAATTTCAGATATCCAACCACATATATAGGGCAAGGACAAGAATAATATTAGATGAGAATGACAATGCGACTAGCATGTCATTCCTGATTGCACAATCAAATATTCCTACAACACCTCATCATAAATAAAGATCATCGTAAGAAATGAATTCTTTCATCAATTCTGGACTACCGTACTCTTTCAAATGTTCATGGCTTACAAGACCACAGTTACACTTATAATAAAATATGATTCATAAACTTCACAGCTGTTGTTTATAAGAAATGGACAAAACACCTGGTATATATCAAATATGTTTTGTTTTTACACACCTGGTAATTGATACATACATATATGCATTTTAAATAAGAAACATTTGGAGTCCAAAATATACATACAATATGTGTTCTCATTTGGATATCAAGAATATTGCAGTTTTGTTTTTCAAATATTATTTGCCATAGTAAAGATCATCTCTAATAATCTATGTCTAATTTTTGAGTCACTACAAAACTTTCTGATATTCTCAGGAAAGGAATAGAGCTATTTCATGGATTAAAAACTCTGAAGTATCATTCATAACAACTGAACCTATGGACCTGGCAAAATCTAAGTATTCATTTATATTATATTAAGAATACCTGAAATCTCATACATGTTCTTAGACAAACCATTCCCACAAGCAGCAAAGTAATCTTGATTAGGAACGTGACTGTTTGGCTCATTAGAAAAACTGGCCTCTACTAGCTGGGGAATGGAATACGAAAAGGGGTGCGGGGAGAGGGAAAGGGAGAGAGAGTGAGAGAAAGCGAACTCTTTAGGGAAAACCTATGATAAAGAGAGGGAAAAAAAAGAAATACAGAAAAGGGAAGAGACGAATCAAAGAAAAGAAGAAAGGGATAGAGAGGGGTAAACACAAGCGAGAGAGGGAGAGCAACTTTGTATGTATATCTATCTATTAATAGTAAGCCATTTATTCCTGGATAGATGATTAGTTTTACTCCCCACAAGCACTCGCCATTCCTCAACAAGCTAGCAGCATGTCATGCAGCCGCTCGCTACAGACAGCTCCAAAATGATGAATGCTATGAATCCCTAGCTGGACCCACTCATGGAGGTGTGAGGGGTAACGAGGAGTAGAAGAGAATGTAAGCCGCTGAACTCTGTTACAAAATAATACAAGGTATAATCATTAATTCTTTGAGAATGCCAAGGAAAGGACATTGTAAACACTAGTGTTCAAGATGGTTGTTATGCATGCCACATTATGATACATAAGTATAAGTCAAGATTTCAGGGGTAAAAGAATTTGATAATATTCTTATTCATTTGGACATATTTTTTTTTTTTTTAAATAAAAAAGAAGAGAGAAATTGACCCAATAACCGATGACCCTTGCAATCTTTCATTTCTAAAAGGTTATTCACTCAATCTAGTTCAAAAGTACCAAATAATCACTAAGTGCAATACATAGAAGTATCATTTTTCTTTATGCAAATAACTTTCTTAATTTTTTTTTTTAACTGCAATATAAAACCTAACTGATTTAACAAAGGTGCTAAAAAACTATTTAAAACAAAGATAGGCACACATCTTATCAACTCTCTTACAAGACACAATGGCAGATGGCTTAGAAATAATGATCGTTAGACTTTCCTTGCCTTAACAAAATTACAGGAATATTCCAAACTAAGCGACCCAACCAACTGCCTTCATATGGAATAGAGCTACACACCTGAGCCATAGGGAGAGGAGAAAGAAAAATAGGAGAGAACCCACCTTTATACTGCTCTTTGAGGCATCGTAGACTTCATGATCATCGTATTTATACCATCTCTTATTGACAGCATTCCTACAACATGCAGTGTCTAGAATAAACAATGGAACAATGTAAAACATATAAGTGATTAAGAGTATGGTCCCCTTTTGGCTTGGGTAATAAAAGAGACACGGAAAAAAGAGCCAGCGCTCTGGAGCATCATAACCACTAGGGTAAATGGTAAGTGCAATGATACTAGCACAGTTCTTCAACTAAATATAGGACAATTAACCACTACTATGACCTGGGTCAGTACCCCAACCCCCCTCTCCCCTCCCCTCCCCCCCCCCCCCCCCCCCCCCCCCCAAAGAAAAAAAGAAGATATACATTAAAATAATATATTTCAAAAAAAACTTTGACAATTGCTCTATTGGGAAATTTTTTTTTTTTAAATGGATATGACAGTCAACTCTTGTCCAAGACGTAAAAGACTCAGGATCATATACATTCCGTATCCTATAATAACAAGTATTCAACATAGAGAATACATTTGAAAGGAGACAAATTATGTTTCATCAAAAATATTTAAACGTTTAGATTGGCCATTCAACCAAGCAACACATAGCAAGTATTTACACATGTGCCTTCATTTCTACCACGTTTATAAACAGTACCATTATAAGAAAAGTTTTTATTTTCTTTTTAAAACCCCCAATTTGGTTTCAGAGTTTCATCCAAGAGCTATTACAGGAATACATTCAAGATTGTGGCATAGTCATACCATCAGCTCAAAGCAAACAAACTTCCTTAATAATTAGGCAACCTCAAATTCTGTTATCATACTTACAATGTCCACCATCGAGGGTTCCAGAGTGATTAGAGACACCATAGAGTTGATAGATATTCCTCTGTGCTGGACCTATCACGTATCGATCCATCGTGAGGTCATTGGGAAAATCAACATTGGTCTGTAGCTTCTGACGCCACATGCCTTCATAGTAGAATCTGACGACAAATGACAGACAAATTGATTGTATAAAATCATGTTGAAAGCAAGAGAAAATATTGGGAGCAAATTCTCGCAGAATCACATAAAATTTCTATTGAACGTCCAAAACTACAATTAAATGATCTCACAAATAAGTTGAAGGAACATGATATACATTGTAAATTAGCCTAGTATTGAGCACCAACAAAATTCAGCTAAAGGGATCATTCAACAATGTTAAATCTGAGATGCACGGCCCTACATGTTATCAGTGTCTGTGATATGGTGTTATATGGAAGCTCTGACAAAATTGCGCTTCAAAATGAACAAGAAGTGCCTCAAAAAAGTAAAAACTTTGAGTGACCGGTTTTACCATGCTCGTTTCCCCCAATAGACTGTAGTGTTCTGAAAACTGTTTGGCAAACGCAAAATTTGATTTCGATTTTCAATCATAAATATCTTGATAATCAGACAGGCGATCGGCTTGTAAAAGTCATGGGGTTCCTGACTGACCTAAAATTTATAATTATCATTGCAGCATGAGCTAAATCAAGGATTTTTTAAAGGATCTAAGACAAAGTTACAGAATCCCTTTAAGTCTCCTCCACCAACTTGTACGTGTATAACAAACGGTCTCATGTGCAAATCAGAGTTGTGCTTTTAGGTGAATGTGATTTCCAACAAAATTTTGTATTGTTTGTTTTTATTCTCCTGGAACCTGTCTAATACAGAGTTGCGATTGATATCAACTATTAGTAAGACAGGGCCCTGGTCTAAACAACCCATGTGCTGCCTGATAAGCAATTCAGAATTACCTTTCCCTCAAAGTGGAAGCCAATTACATGAATGCCAGATAACTTTTAACGATGAAAAAAAAAAAACCTTGTGAGCTGACTTTCAATGAGGGAGAATTAGATTACAAATTGTATCTCATACCTAATGCTCACTCTTTCAGTGACCAACATATTGTCTGAATTCTAAGTACCTCTATGCAGAGCTGCCAACCATTACGTTTTTCTTTTCTTTTTTTCTTCACCTCAACCAATTGCCCTAAATTGATGATCACTACTTCAATAGTAAAAAAAAAAAAAGTGGAAGGCGTAAATATTCTCAAAAAGAATGAAACGTTGATAATACACACACACACACAAAAAAAAAAATACCTACTTGTAAATAAACTATGGGTCCTAATATGGAAATATCAGCATGAGGAATGGACATTTCTGCATTAATAAAATAATAATAATATGACAAATTTATATAGCGCTTGTGACAAAAGTTTCAAAGCGCTGTACATGTACACAAATCAAAATTACTTCAAACAAAAATCAATATTACTAACGGAATTAACATTACTCAAATTACCAAGAAAACAAAATATTACCTACATAACTTAACCAATTATCATTACTTAAATTAACAGGAAAATCAAATATTTCTAACATAACTTAACAAATTGACATTACTTAAATTACCAAGAAGATCAAACATTACTAACATTACTGGAAGTGTGCCGCGCGTTGTTGTAAGTTTTGTTTTAATGAATTCCTTTTTGTTGCCATCATGGTTCCCTTTTTTTGTTGCACAAGATTGGCAGCTCTGTCTATGTGACATCCTACTTACCTCTTGAGATGTATGAGGAGTATGTGTGGCAGTTTCCAGATGAGGATTGTTTTCTCTGATTTGCGGTTTCCCTTACAATGAGTGCAGTGCGTGGCATTGTCTCCCGTTAGTTCCTCTGGCTTTGAGAACTGCTGCAAACATTCCTGAACATGAAACAATATAAGTATAACATGAAGAGTGTTGTATTAAAGATATTACATAAGAAAAATACAATACACTTCAGTTCTAATCCCTTTACCCTCAGGCTACCAAAAAGGCATCAAAGGACAGTTTGGCACTCTTGTACTTTTGTTGCAATAAATTAAGACTCCATGAATACATATTTCCATGAGAAATACTGAACAATAAAAAAAAAAAAAAAAAAAAAAAAAAAAGCAGTCTTTGCAGAGAAGTGGTCACTCTAAAACTTACATGAAGGCTACATTTGCTTTTGGAGGCTATGGGTAGAGAGAGGTACATGAAGGCCTCAAACTTGACCGATTTGTTGTTGCAGGACAGACACCGGACCGTGGACTTGAACTGACCCTGGAACAGACTCACGATGATGGACCTGTTGAGCTTCTCATGGTTCCGCCAAGAGAGGCCAGCAGCCTCATGGTCAGGATACTTGCTGAAGTCTTCTTCCTTAATGTACTGTCGTTTTTTGACCTGTGAGGTGAAAGGAAAAAAAGTCTTCTTGCTATTAAGTCTTGATTATGTGGTGTATTAGCATGCTTTATGCAAATTGCATTTTATAACGAATGAGGTATTTAGTTGCAGTGATACATAATCTGAAATACAGATATTTCTCACTAGAATTTCACGTAACTATGTGACACTAAGATAATATACTTGCTCTTAAAAGTGGTGTCACTTCATCATTTTCCTTATATTTTTGAGAATTTGTTCACATATGAACAAATATTCACTGAATTCTTGCATATCTAGAGGAAATAGGAGCAGACCAAAACAAGAAAAAAAAAAAAAACACAAACATGCAAGTCCTATTCCTATCTGCTGTCTATCCATAAAATAGCCATAAATGTTGTTGCTATGATAGAGCTATGCAACAGACAGCAACATATGTGAACAGGTTCCACAAGAAAATGCGCTGTTTTGTTCCAGCTATTTATGCTTAGTTTGCAGCCTCTTTTCATACAGGGACCTAGGCACAATTTGATATGGTATCATGATAGATATGCGGCAGACACAGGCAGGGCTCTTGAGAAGAACAAGGGAGAGAACCATAGTAAAATAGAAAAGGAGATTGATGAGAAAATGGAAAGTAATAAAAATAAAAAGCAGGTGTTACCTCATTCAAGTCTTCATGAAGCCCGTCCAGGAGGAATAGGAGAAACTCTTGAGAATCATGATGATGACCAACATGCTTTCTGAACTCAGGTACATACTTGGTGACAGTGTCTCTCAGATCCCTGGGTGCGATTGACCTATACTGACCCGACCAGTTCGCACGGACCACCACCGCAAACTCTTCTGCCACCTCACCACCCCTCCCCAAGGGGTTCGCTCTGTGGAAATATGATTACACTCAAAGTCACAGTATAGTGTATAGAAGACTTAGCAGGACAACTAACTCAATTTATGTAACCTTCTTTTGCTCATTTCTTAATGAGCAAATGATAATACATCAGCATCAGAAATTATTTGGCAGATATCTTCTACCTATAGACTTGAACGTTCAGTCTAACTATCTTTTAATTTTAGAAATTTCTGAGTAAATACCAAAACTCAGAGAGTATCATAAAATACATAAATATGCCTGTTTCACGCCCCAAAACAAATAATCCGATAAGTTTTCATACTTCTCAACATTAATGACAGTAAGGATGAACACAAAGTTGGAAAACTTGGAAAATCATCATATTCATTCCTGATGATCACAATTAATTCATAAGTGGGTAAACATCAGAGCCACATAACACAATTAAAGGTATTACAAAGTTTTGGGAAATTTTGAAAAATGGGTGGATAGTGATTCTTTACAAATTTGATATATTTGGATGCCCCTGTGGATGTATTAAAAACATTAGAATCTTTAGCCACTAAAACACTTCTGCTTTCAAGAAAAATTGAATATAAAGATTTACCGGTGCTCCCGGTAAATTTTGTTAAATTTCAAATAGCTCCTACGTCCGTACAATGGTAGCTGCGACCATGGAAATCTCAGAATATGTAGTTGGGGTATATAATTTCCGAACAGGAATAGCTAATCGGTCGATTTTAGTCAAGAAACATTGTTTTATAGCTTAATTAATATCTTGACCTTGAGAGGGAGCTATACAACATAAAGTGTTTATTATTTACAATTTCATAACTTTAGAGTCGATTTCGACCGCGACAACAATCAGTGAATATTGTAGGATCGCATATGTTTCCAATATGTTCATTTGAACCAAATTCACGACCCCATACCAAAACTTTGTATTACCTTTAAGGGGCCCAGAGGACGAAAAAATATGGTTGAAGTATTAAGTATGACATTAAAACAGATGCTGTGAAACCGGAAACATTTGAAATCCAAAACTTTTCTTAATCATTCACAGCCATTTTTCGTAAATTGCCAAAATTTCAGTGATGCAATTTCAATCTTTTGGCAGGTTGAAACTTTGGCCCATTCTTAGAATACCAACAACAATAAAATCATCCAATCCAAAGTTTCTGAATTTATAGAAACTGAATGATACCATCTCAAAGAGAGATACAAAAAACGGACTTGCACAAAATGAAATGGCAAGGAACAGACCTGTTGATATCCTGCAGATAGTCATCTGTGATGAAGTACTTTGCAAGGGGCGTAGTATTACTCAGACACTGTACCACAGAGTTCATGAAGCAGGTGTTACCAAGGTTACGGAGACCGGTCAAAGCACGACCCTACAGAAAAAAATAGAAGATAGCCTAGATTATTTGTGCTCAGGGAACAGGATAGGCAAAGAAAGAGTTTTTTGGTGACTAATAAAGGGACACGCATTTCCAGTCAAGATGTATATTTCAAAAATCTGTATGTTTTATTTACACTTACTTTCAGAGAAAGTTATATGCAGCAAACTGGATAATGAATTGATGGTCCTGTAGTACAAAGAGCTACCATCGATTATATGTATCCCCACATCACTTGTATCTCTTTCAATCAATCACATCTTAAAAATCAATAGTAACTAGCAATGAATTCTATGTCTAATAAAGACAAAACTATAATTCATTGCTACATACAATCAACTGAAGTAAAAACAGAGATACAGAAGCTCTTTACAACTGATAGTTAGTCCATTTATGTTACAGGGCCAAAAACTTTTAATAAAATATTTTGTAGAACTATCATATAACCCCTGTGGAATAAATACACATTTTGACCAATTCGAATTCTATTGTCCTGTGGCCCTGTCCTACGGATTCAATACATGTTCAGACTTACCTGGTTACCAAATATTGGGTTGAGCTGACGTGCCCTATTAGCCGTCGACTTGAACTGGGATATTGCCTGCGGTGATCTGAAAGCAAAACATCGCGATGCAATCTCTTTCAGCTTAAAATTAAAATACCGGTATGTTATAGTTGATGTCCATATGGCAGGGTTTTTAGGTAATGGGCCCTACTATGTAAGTTTTATAAAATTCTTCAAAAGTTAATGTGATAAAAAAATGATATACCTCTTGCATAATAATTTTTTTTTTAAAGACACTGATAAGTCCCAAGCGATCACAATTAAAAATGCTATTAACTTCATAGTAACACTGACAGGGTTGACAGGTATCACATAAACAAACATATTTGATGCAGATCAAACTTACCTCTCTGCTGGTTTGGTACTCCTATCCACGGATGGAAACGGTTTATTGAAGGTTGCTTCACCTTCATTCATCACCATCTGCGCAATGTTGGGCGAGGAGTAGGATCGCTTGAGACCGCTGGACTTGGCAGAAGGCTCCACCGAGTCGGACTTGAGAGGCATGCGGGTCACCTGACCAGAAGGACGTGATGACGGGGTATCACCTGAAAGAATGCAATTACTCAAAAAGTCAAGGGGAAAATTTCAACCTTAAATTTTTCAAGAGTTATCTCCAACGCCTGAATAACTTGCTTTCAATAACAAATAAAAATATTGGAGAAAAGGGTTTTACAAATTTCAGAAAATCAGATAACTAATAAAAATGATATGTAGATCACTATATCTAATGGACACAAAATGGAGAGAAATTGGAAACTCTGTGAAGAGTAGGCGATGCCATTCCATACTTGTACACAAATTTTTTTTGTATTCTTGAATTTTGGTATCATAAAATTCTCATTATTTCCACAGAGAAAATTATTTAATCATGCCTTTAACTACTTTTTTTTAAGATAGCACATTTTTGCACATATATGAACTAATAAAGAATGAATTTGACCCTTACTAAACCCTTTCAGCAACATATAGATTAAATGTAGATGAAAAAAAATGGAATTTTATATAAAAATATCTGACAATAGATCAAGCTCAGAAAGCCAGTACTCACCTTTGGGCTTTGGTGAAGCCATCGCTGCATTAGCACCACGGCTAGGTCCTTGGTCTGCCATGGTCTTAGGAGCTGGTTCCCCTGGTATGTGCCATTGGGTTTTGCTAGTGTTATGATCCAAGTAGAAGTATCGTCTACTCTTCTCATCCCATCGCTTCTCCCAACCCTGAGGCAATGTTGGACCTACTGCGGCTGCTGTCACTGGTGGTGGTGATGCAGCAGAAGCTGATGATGAAGCACTGGATGACGTGCTGGCCTCTCTAGAAGAAGCTCCTGTAACGGACTTCACCTCTGCTGAAGCAGCATTTGAATTCTGATTGGGTTGTGCTGCATTCCTATCAACAGCAGGCTCATTAGACGAGTCGTCAGCCACCTTCTTGCTTGATGCTGACGTGGAGCTTGCAGTCCTTGGGGCTGCGTCACTTGAACTGCTTCCTCCAGAATCTGTAGCATCCTGTTTTCTGGCCATGGGGGACGGGGACTGTGCATTATGGCTTGGTGATGAGGTCTTCTGTGGAGTTCGCTTTCGCTGTTCCTGTCTTGCTTTGGCTTCTGTAAGTTCTTTTTGAAGTTTCAAGAGGTTACTCTCCATTTCTAGCTTTTCTTCTTTGAGTTTTTCATTCTCTGCTTTAGTTTTGTCATTTTCTGCTTTAGTTTTGTCATAGCGCATCTTGTTCAGGTCATTCCTTGCCTGCATCGTATAAGAAAACATAAACAAAAGGGCTATACATCCATGTTCTTTTAATATAAGCATTTAACATATTACAGCTTTGGAGGATATATGTGGACTTATCTATGCATTGTAGATCAATGGACATCCTAGGCAGTTTATGTAATATGAATTTTAAATCTAACCAATTGAAGTACATCACTGACAAGCAATATATAACCATTCTACCATTTCAAGACAGAAAACAATAACATTGACATATTCAAGATTCAAATGAGGTTTTATTCACGACTTGTCAAAAAGTCCAAAGACTAAAAATGCAAGTTTACATCAAACATACAATCATATAAAAAAAAAAGCATTGAAAAATGTGACTCTTTCTTATTCCTGAAGACAGAAATATAGCTATCTTTAAACTCTTCTTCTTACCTGCTCTTCTTTTTTCTTGAGCTCTTCTAAATGTATATCCGACTTCTTGCCTGCCTCCAGCGAAGACTCCTTCAAAGACACATTACTGTCTTCCAAGAGTTCAGAGCCATTGGTATTATAAGCAGCAGTGTCACTAGTATCTCTCTCATTCAGGTTTGCTGCACTGTTCTCAATCTTGGGTTTCAGGTTGCGATTGACTGCAGGGTGTACGGGTGTTGGCTTTGTAGTACTACTTGCAGGTCCACTGTTGGCAAGATCAGGTGTCCGCGCAATTGTCTTGCTCTCTAGGTTATTAGTGATTAGATTAGCTACTGGAGCGGGTGCGAATTTAGGTTTGTCTCTTGATGAATCCGTCTGATCTCTGTTAGGAGTGACTGGATCAGGATTGGTTGTTCCTGGCTTCACGGATCGATTGACTACTGGTCTTTGGCCAGTTTGGCCAGTCTGGCCAGGCTTCCCAGAGATATAGAACATCCTGTTCTGGTAGCCGCCATTGCCATTGCCATTCTGTTCAGATGGTGACTGACTTGTTGGGACATTGTTGAGTTGCTGAGGAGGGAGGGCTGGGGGAGGTGGCTTGTCATCATCAAAGACAGGGTAGTCAAAGGCCACTGGAAGGTCAAAACATAGAAATGAAGAGTAAGAAAATGAAATGTGAAACCATTAAATTTACAGAACTTGGTTTTTGTTCATATTTGTGATTTTGTACCTACATGCGAAGATTTATATAAAGGCGTATACTACAACTTATATTAGTATTGGAAGCCAAAGCTCACTTAGAGCCGTTATTGAGAATGGTGACGTGACATTGCTCCAACAATATCTGGTCCATATTTCTCTAAAAATATTGGGATAGGGTTTTAGTTAGAGCTAGGTGTTGTGTTTGGTCCAGGGCTGGAAGGAGGAATTAAATAAGTGTAGGAAATGACCAAAGAGCATTTGTTGCTGGAACAGGGGTCCGTTTCATAAAACTTTGCTGCTGACAGCAACTACGGTAATTGATCATATCTACAAGAATTTTTAGCTCGTGAGCTGCAGTAAGTGTTGCAGGTCTTACAGAACCAATTCAACAAAGAAGCATATATCAGATCATCATCTATAGAGTAATTGCACCACTGTTCCCAATATCTAGCAAAAAATATGAGCCCCGTCGTTGGACTCTGCATACTTACGTAAGTCCTTGGTCTCTTCCACTTTCTCTGCAGGCTTCTTTGCTTGAGGATTGTTGGTATACATAGGATATTTGAAAAGCCAGTCCTCATAGCCACCCTTCAACACCAGTGGTGGATTCTTGTATGTTGTACCCCAGTCCCACTGTTCATAGAAAGATGTCCAATGAGAGAGATTTCATTAGTTATGACAGAGGGTCCATCAAACTGACTGCATAATTCAATAATACATAAAACAATGCCAACAATCTTTGTACCTGGGGATATTGTCATTTATTTAAACAAATAAATATATTAGGCCTGAGTCATGTCGGGATTTTCATAAACCGGGTCCCGACGGCCTTGCACCGGTCGGGACCCGGTGTCCCGAAATCAACTCGCAGGATTTGTCACTTGCCTCTATAAAAAGCGCATATCATCAATTAGACCGAAAGCTTCAGTCTCTATAATCGTCGGTTGTTCCACTGAGACTACGTCTGGCTCCACTAGACCTCCGGTTATAGAGACTGAACGACTGCCTATGCCAGCCTGTGTTGAACTTATTCCGCTAGATTTTAGCCGCTAGGCCCCTCCCACAAACTTGCCACGGCCGTATTGTTATGCCCCCAAAATCCCCCAAAATGTCATTTTACCTCGTTCATTTCCAATTTTAAATTAGGCCTAGGCTATAATACATCGGTTCCACTTACTAACTTGATTGATATAATCCGTTTAATGGTCCCTTTTAAGGAAATTATCGGTCAAAATCGACATCCATGTTGAAAATCTTGCAAGCCGTGTTAAACTCTCGCTGCCGTCAATCTCATCCCTTCTAGTCTACGCCGAAGGCAAAATGATTATGAAGGAAAAACTGTGATAACGCCATTACGAACGTGTAGATGGCGCACAGTTTTTCCTTCATAATCATTTTGCCTTCGGCGTAGACTAGAAGGGATGAGATTGACGGCAGCGAGAGTTTAACACGGCTTGCAAGATTTTCAACATGGATGTCGATTTTGACCGATAATTTCCTTAAAAGGGACCATTAAACGGATTATATCAATCAAGTTAGTAAGTGGAACCGATGTATTATAGCCTAGGCCTAATTTAAAATTGGAAATGAACGAGGTAAAATGACATTTTGGGGGATTTTGGGGGCATAACAATACGGCCGTGGCAAGTTTGTGGGAGGGGCCTAGCGGCTAAAATCTAGCGGAATAAGTTCAACACAGGCTGGCATAGGCAGTCGTTCAGTCTCTATAACCGGAGGTCTAGTGGAGCCAGACGTAGTCTCAGTGGAACAACCGACGATTATAGAGACTGAAGCTTTCGGTCTAATCATCGATATGTCCCTTAAAAGTGACATTTTTATCAGTCAAATAAATCAACACATGCATACCTCGGCACAGATTGGTATATTCTTCCATTTGACATTATATTCATCCATGATTGGCGATGTTTAGTGCCATTATCGTGCCTCTAAAAGTAAAAAAACTCGAGCAAAAATATAAAGACTACAATCGAGCCGCCATTTTGATTTATGCAGGTTGAATAAATCTGGTCAAAAAATATGAATGTTAAAATAATAAAACGGCTTTCTAAAAAATTCTTCTGTACAATGTACCGATCATATAATATTTTAAAGACAAAAATAAATATTTATCTCTTATTTTAAACATCGCATGCTTTTTTTTAAAAGCTGAAAATTACTTGGTAATCACAAGAAGTTTCAATACGAATAGCTGTTGCAAGGCAAGTTCAGACTAGTCTCAGAAAAATGCGCAGTGCTCCTCGTTATCTGTAATGCGTGCCAGAACGAACCCAAACAGAGACGTGATCGTAACGAGAAAAAAAAATCATTAAAAACTACGAGAGCACAATTGGAAAGATATACTGCTCAAAATTACCATAATCAGATACATAACTTGGACAAAGAATTCAATAATTGCCCAAGAAATGCCACAGAAATTGTGATAATCGAGGAGTAACTGGGTACATTTTTATCGCAAGGGGCCTGCTGCAAATACTTGAATCCTTTGTTATACTGCTTTTTACCGTAGAGGGCGGTATTCGCCTCGTGTTCAATTTAAACACGTTTAGATATATTGCAGCAGGCCCTTCCGATAATGATTGTACCTATAGTAACTCATTAAATATCACTATTTATGTGGCTTTTCTTGGACAACTATTGTATTCTTCCTCCAAGTTATGTATCTGCTTACGATAATTTTGAGTAGTTGTCTTTCCAATTGTGCTCTCGTAGTTTTTAATGATTTTTTTCTCGTTACGATCACGTCTTTGTTTGGGTTCGTTCTGGCACGCATTATAGCTAACAAGGAGCACTGCGCATTTTTCCGAGACTAGTCTGAACTTGCATTGCAACAGCTATCCGTATCGAAACTTCTTGTGATTACCAAGTCATTTTCAGCTTTTAAAAGAAGCATGCGGTGTTCAAAATCAAAGAAAAAATATATATTTTGTCTTTTAAAAATTATTCGATCGGTATGTTGTAAAGAAGTGCTTTTTAGAAAGTCGTTTTATTATTCAAACATTAATGTTTCTTTCAACCTGATTTATTAATTCTGCCGAGAGACCCGACCAGTACAGTAGCTAGCTAGCAGCTGGCAACAACAACCCCATGGGGCGAACTGCTTTGCAACCCATATTTATATCAGCAGTTCGGATTGATTCTGGATGAGCTAGAATACGATTGGTAACAATTAAATACTTAAGTTTTAGGGTGGATTGATTTTAGTGGTGTGCAAAACTGCAATTTCTTACATATTTCATTATTTTTTTCGGAGCGCCGGTTCTCAAAAAACGAAACCGGGACCCGACGGCAACGGTCGGGTCCCGGTGTGATCGACCGTACCGACTCAAGCCTAAAATATATATACATATATTAATAATGTTATGTATATTTTATGTTGTATTCTATCTATAATGTTACCATTTTAAACAATTCTCTGAACGGAATCAAATATTAGACATAAATACTTAAGGCAAATAAAGTTTTTGCTCTTTTATCATCCAAAGAACAACAGATGCATTGAATGTAAAGCAAACAATAGCAGGACCCTGCAACATAAAAATTGACTTTAATACAATCAATCGTTACTATCTCTCTTGTAGTTAAGGCCTACCTTACACATGGCAGCTTCAACAATGGCAAGAGTAGAGTCTGCCCTCTGGCACTGGTCCCAGTCGACAAGTACGATGAATTCCATGTCGGTTCTCTGTTTCCACATCACCTTGGCTTCCTCACCCAAACCCTTCTCCAATGTAGCAGCAGTCATTCTGAGCATGCAAATATTCAGGACTATGTTGTATACAATTTTATACAAAAAGTGTCTTAAAGGTATTCAATGACCTTTGAGTTTTTAGAAATTTTAATTCTTTGAAATAAATGCTTTTCTTTACCTTTTGCACAGCGGCAATGTGATTGTCATTTCATTAAATGAACACATACATATTGTTTTCAAATAACAAATGTTGCTAATTCATTCGCATCAACTCCCTTATGAGTTAAGTTCTTTATGTGCTTATATCTTAGATCACTTGGAGTCAAGACGTGCCTTATACTGTATTAAGTCAAAGTGTTTTGTTTTGGTAAGCCCCTACGAGCAAGTTGTCAGGTTTCTTTGACATGCAATGAAAAATAGGTAGAAAAACCACAATTAAAAACTGCTGCCATATTAACTTATTTTGTTCCTCCTAATGTGAAGTAAGAGCAAAATGAGAGGTGGGAAGAAACTATACAAACCCTGGGGGATATCTAACCATTTTGCTTTCCGTTGTTGTCAACTTTTCAAAAGATGATGAAAATCATATGATAGAACTGATATTTATCCTATCGGCTAAACAGACCCGAAGCAGTCCTTACCCGGGTGTGAGAATCTCGGCCGGAATGCTAATACACTGTCCAATGGTCATGTGAGAGTCTTTAAAGTGGTCAGATCGACGGACGTCCATGATTAGAACCGAATTGGGATTGCTTTCCAGCTCCTTGTACAGCACGATTGCATTCACGGCACCGTCTTTCCCTGATGGTTTGAATAAATAAGGATTATAACTGGAACATTCACCACACATTATTATTTACTAAATATTAGGGGGTACATAAAGTCTAAGTTTAGATACTTTTTAAGATGATTAACAATTTCCATGGACAGAAACACTCAGCAAATAAGTTAACCTGTTGACAATTTTGTTTGGGACTAACCACATTTTCTTCCAAAACAGAAATATGTACCTGCATTTAACATAGAATTCCTATGGAAGATATTTTGTGCTAAATATACCTAATAAAACAAAGCACTTTAAGTCGATTCAACTCTATAAGCCTAACTGATGATAATTTTTCAAAAGTTGGTGGCACAGAGGGGTTATAGATGAAATCAAAACGCATGACATGCAACTTTTCCAATTCTTCATAACCTATACAAGATAATACTTGTAAGTCCAAATCATTGGCTGCCTGCAAAAAAGCTGTCACTGCCATAGGACAATAAATAAGCCGACAAAATAGTCTACTCACAAAATTGCTCTTATCTTTACTTAGAGTGTGATATCAGTATTAGAATGTGCATTTTTTCTTTACAACAGGATAACTTATTTGTATACCAGCATGGAATCCCATACACAACAAAATGTTAAGCATTGCATATTAGACAACCTTATTATATCAAAGTTGATCTCCATCTTACCCAATTCTCTCTTCCGTTCCTTTTTCTCCTCCTCAGGGACTCCATTCTCCACTGCCGTCTCCTCTCCATCTTTTGTTTTTCCATCCTTTAAACCATTTGCTTTCACTCTCTCCTTCTCCTCCTCTATTTTCTTACTTGCTTCCTTTGCTTCCTCTAGCTCGCTGTACCTATAGTTATATAGTTTTAGTTTTAGAGGGAAGTTTAGGGAAAAGAAAAGTGATGTCAAATCTGATACACTTAAACAGACAAAACTGAAAGTTTCATCAAAATTGGAAGAAAAATAAGAAATAAGAAGGTTTTAAAGGATTTCATGAAACGGTGATATGTTTCACATAGGCTGTATTCAAATTAGAGCAAAGGAAGTTTGTCTGAGGCTGTGATTGTTCAAGGAGATTCTTGGCGCACAGCATTTGTAGAAAGATCCATGGCATTCACATAAAACTCCATTCTTTAACAATTCATCAGTCTTGAAAATAGTATTTCTAAAGAAGTCTTTGTCACAATATCACGAAGAGACATAAAGCTCACTATTAAATATCCCATAAAATATTCATTTCTTGATTGCAAACAGAGGTTTGATTTCATTAAAAAGACTGGTTGACATTATATATTTTCACAATGAAACTAAATAAATTGACATTTAAACATACCTACTGTACATGTAAGGATAAAAACATAAGCAATAGCACCTACAATACTCGAGACAAACTAGAAATATCGCAATCTCCATTGCCATGCAAAGCGAATGTATCTCCTGGCACTGACAGTGATTTTTGTGTCATCCTGATGTTCGAAAGAGGGAAAAAGATCTCCTTTCCCTTCCATGAAACAAAAGGATGGCATAGAGAGGTCGCCACTAGTGGCTCAGACTATTGTCAGGACTAGGAGCAGCATCACCAAAACAATATGTGTCTAGATTAGAGTATAATGCATCTCTACAGAAAATCTGAAAGAAATGTGTCAAGAAATGCAATTTGTAGAGATATCCCCTAAAATACGACCTTTGACCATTTATAAATTACGGAACACTGGAAGTAGCATCACCAAAATTATAGGTGTGTAGATTATATTTAGACACAGCTCCATACAAAATTTGAAAGAAACCTGTCAAGAAATATAACGCGGTGGTGGTGCGACACTACGCTGCTGAATCCAAAGCATACTCTGGCATACTGCAGAGGGATACAAATATGATAAATGAATCACTGTAAATTCTCACCTTAAATTTAATGATGCTGAGAGTTCCTCTGCTTTATCTATAGCCTTCCTGCATCCTACAGTACCAAGAAGAGCATCAACATAATCCTGTGAAAATAAAATTAATTTTTAACGTTACAATGTGATCAGTGGAATATGTGCTACGTTATTTACTGGTTTTTCCATCATAAGAATCCTTAATTCATTTTTGATTTTACTCATAGAGAGCTTGCCATGTGTTTCATCTGCAAATATGTTTCAAAATCTATTAATCATCAATACATGTTTATACATGTAGTTTTATACGTACCGGTACATGTCAAGGAACAGCATACATGTAGATGTACTACATGGAAAATGTCTCAAGTTATAATAATAAGTGCATAATAAAAACAAAATAACAATGTCTACTCTCCTTTACCACAGAATATTTACATATACATTTTTTTGTATTTAACATAACAGAGCCCCCCACTCCAACCACCCACCCCCTCCCCACCAACAAAAAAACACACAGGAAATTAAAAGAACTTGCTACAATTTAGGCTTGAGTCGGTACGGTCGATCACACCGGGACCCGACCGTTGCCGTCGGGTCCCGGTTTCGTTTTTTGAGAACCGACGCTCCGAAAAAAATAATGAAATATGTAAGAAATTGCAGTTTTGCACACCACTAAAATCAATCCACCTTGAAACTTAAGTATTTAATTGTTACCAATCATATTCTAGCTCATCCTGAATCAATCCGAACTGCTGATATAAATATGGGTTGCAAAGCAGTTCGCCCCCATGGGGTTGTTGTCGCAAGCTGCTAGCTAGCTACTGTACTGGCCGGGTCTCTCGACAGAATTAGTAAATCAGGTTGAAAGAAAAATTAATGTTTGAATAATAAAACGACTTTCTAAAAAAGTACTTCTTTACAACATACCGATCGAATAATTTTTAAAAGACAAAATAGATATTTTTTCTTTGATTTTGAACACCGCATGCTTCTTTTAAAAGCTGAAAATTACTTGGTAATCACAAGAAGTTTCGATACGGATAGCTGTTGCAAGGCAAGTTCAGACTAGTCTCGGAAAAATGCGCTGTGCTCCTCGTTAGCTGTAATGCGTGCCAGAACGAATCCAAACAAAGACGTGATCGTAACGAGAAAAAAATCATTAAAAAATTACGAGAGCACAATTGGAAAGACAACTACTCAAAATTATCGTAAGCAGATACATAACTTGGAGGAAGAATACAATAGTTGTCCAAGAAAAGCCACACAAATAGTGATATTTAAGGAGTTACTATAGGTACAATCATTATCGGAAGGGCCTGCTGCGATATATCCGAATTATACACGTGTTTGAATTGAACACGAGGCAAATACCGCCCTCTACGGTAAAAAGCAGTATAACACAGGATTCGAGTATTTGCAGCAGGCACCTTGCGATAAAAATGTACCCAGTTACTCCTTGATTATAACAATTTCTGTGGCATTTCTTGGGCGATTATTGAATTCTTTGTCCAAGTTATGTATCTGATTATGGTAATTTTGAGCAGTAGTTGTCTTTCCAATTGTGCTCTCGTAGTTTTTAATGATTTTTTTCTTGTTACGATCATGTCTTTGTTTGGGTTCGTTCTAGCACGCATTACAGCTAACGAGGAGCACTGCGCATTTCTCCGAGACTAGTCTGAACTTGCCTTGCAACAGCTATTCGTATCGAAACTTCTTGTGATTACCAAGTAATTTTCAGCTTTTAAAAAAAGCATGCTATGTTTAAAATAAGAGATAAATATTTATTTTTGTCTTTGAAATATTATATGATCGGTATATTGTACAGAAGAATTTTTTAGAAAGCCGTTTTATTATTCTAACATTAATATTTTTTGACCAGATTTATTCAACCTGCATAAATCAAAATGGCGGCTCGAATGTTGTCTTTCTATTTCTGCCCCAGTTTTTTTACTTTTAGAGGCACGATAATGGCACTAAACATCGCCAATCATGGATGAAAATAATGTCAAATGGAAGAATATACCGATCTGAGCCGAGGTATGCATGTGTTGATATATTTGATTGATAAAAAAGGTCACTTTTAAGGGACATACTGATGATATGCGCTTTTTATAGAGGCAAGTGACAAATCCTGCGAGCTGATTTCGGGACACCGGGTCCCGATCGGTGCAAGGCCGTCGGGACCCGGTTTATGAAAATACCGACATGACTCAGGCCTACTACAATTACAATGGGAATATCATTTGAACAGAAAAATATAACACTTTCATTTTTATTTATTTACATGCATCTGAAACTAAAAATATAACATATCTGCAATACAGCCATCCTACCTTGTTCTGCTTATAATCTTTTGCAGCTTTGACAGCTTTCCATAGTGCGAGGTACTTCATAAACAGCACATACGCACGCTCCTCATCCAGGCTTTTATCAGCCTTCTCAGCCTCAGAGAGAACCGTGTTAGCTGATCTGGCGTATCTGGGGTCAGAACAAAATATTAGTGGTCGTTATGGACAGGCGGTCATTATCGACGCATGGTTGCTAAGGCAGGTTTGACTGTACATACTTTGCCAAGTACATCATCTGAACATCTATAATTATTTACCAAACTTACAGATGCAACTGTCATGATTACTCACATTTTTGAAGTTTGTCCCTTGGTAACGTTATGGTCCACCTTCCTGTTGAGTTCCTCCAGAGAGGATCCGATGTAGAGTGTTTTCTTCAATGCTCCAGGCATGGTGGAAGCCTTGCACAAGGATCAAAGCCTCACAGAAGAGTGCAATTAAATCAGTTTGGACTACCTGATATTGGAATCTTGACTCACGGTTGGACTACATCTTATCAGCTTATCATCATCTGTGATCTGTGGTTTTGATACAGGAAGATAAATAATATAATAATAATAATATTCCACTTTTGTATAGCGGTTAATACAAATGTCTCTGAGTGCTTCATAGATACAATTACCCCTGTCATTGGATTAAATACTTTTTTCATCATTTTTCCAGAGAGTAAACTGATTAGCACCTAAAAACTTGTATCGCACATCACAACATATCTCAGAGTTAAACTGTTCACTGCAACACCACATTCTGTACAAACATAAAGAGGTCCATGCTTTTTATCACGTAAACCACATCCATGTGCCATTTGAGTGAACACAAAAACCCTGTCGTTCCTATCAATTTTTAAATTTTAAAGAAACATTGCTGCTGGTTTGTTTACAAACAAGGATTATGTAAGGACAGGTTGCTTATTTGGATAGTTGTTTCAAACAGTATGAAGTTCGAAGAAGTTTACAAGCAATTTTTCATAAATATTTAAAGACTTTATATGAAGCTTAATGTTAGAGAATATTTTAATACACAAATATTTTGATTGCTAGTGCTGGTTGATGCTTATTTTCGGAAAGTCTAACAGCCAATGTGACAGCTGTACTTTTGTCAAGTGTAAGGACACACAACTCCTTGTTCTATAGTATACGCTTCGGTATTTGTGAGAATGGGTAATTTTGAACCCTTTTTTGTAGGGTTTGTTTTAGCAGCTTTTTCAAGAAGGTGGGTGCATACGAAGTAAGGCATGTTGACATCAGTATGAACTATAATATTTCATCAATCACCAAGGCCGTAAAGGATGTGCAAAATCCTGTCAAACTTTGAAGCTAGTGACATTGTTGACACCACTCATTCCTTCAGTACACAGGGAGCACACCCAGTCTAGAGACAGGAATGGTCACCATCCAGTAATCCAGCTAACATTGGAAGCCGAGGACGCAGCTTCGAAACTCAGTCACCTCTTTCGTTTACAGGTCCGTCCCCAGACGTAAATAATCATATCTGATTGATACACGTCTGTGAAAACCCAATACACACACGCACACTCCCGCAGTGTCACATCGCTCACGCCATGCAATTTACGCTGAGCGTCAGTAACTGCACATATTTACATCCGTCAATGTTTCATGTGAGCCGTGCAATTTTCTTTCATTTCTTTTTTTAATGTGATGTGAATGTGAGTACAGTACATGTTATTACAGAAGTGTCAAAGGTATGATACAGGTGGCAGGGATATAAAACAAATAAACAATGACTCATTACCTGTATTGGAACAAGTTTAAACTATTCACACTCAGGAACATCAATAATAGTATTATTTCAGTATTTGATGTTCCTTCAAAGCGAATAGTTTTAGCTACAAATGCAGATCCTGAAGTGTCTTTGTTCATTTGTAAACTATTCTACATGTTCAAGGTGACAAACATAACTACAAAGCTCAGCCTAAGAAGCCATACTTCTACTACTGTACTACCACGTACTACCACACATACATGTAGCTGCATTACTATCCTGGCTGTGTACATGTATTAAAACCTGTTCTATTGATTCTCAACATTTCAAACACCACTGTACAAAACTCAACTGATTTCACTCAAAATCGTTACTTTAGTTGCAATTGCTGCCTATTAGCATGTAGTGAAGTGCTAGAGATCAGTACGCAATTAGCATCGACTCTCCATTCTTTGCTGGAGTGGGTACTACTAGAGTCTTGATTGCTAGCTACATGTAGCGCTAGCTGCATATCAGTAGGGGCGCTGGTCCGAGAACGAGGAGATCCTCGTAAACTCTGCAGGATTCGGGTTCCTGAACCGCCCTCTGGCGATGAGAAAAACGGATTCTGCGTAAGAAAATAACCCTACGTCACCGTCTACGTTTATGAGTTGTCTTGTCTTCCCGAGAATTTATCGCCCTTAATTTTTTATAACATGAAAGTCTCTGAACAAAAATTTTGCAAAAATAATTTCATATTTATGAATAGGAAGGGAATTTTTCAAAATTAATAAAAGTTTTGAAATCCTTGAATTGGCAACACTTTAAGAGACTAAAAATCAATGTTTTGTAATAAAAAAATTGCCATTTGTTTAAGCTTTGTCAACATTCTCACACAGGTATATTGTTTTCAGAGACATTACATTTCATTTGAACGATGTAGCAATAAAAGAAAAATATTATTGTTGCCAATTTGAAGAACAATATGTGTTCAATTTAGCCCTGGAAATAAATCCTGTTCTGTAAAGGTTAACAGGTGATATTATATTGTCCATATCATCCCTTCCGAACACCACACCTTCGAAAAAAATCACTCTTGTGGTTAATGGCAATCCTTTGATTAATATTTCAATACTACTACATCTATATGGTTCACACTTTCATGTCGCAATTCCTTGTCAAATAAACCATCAACTCTTTCTGATGTCTTAAAATGACCTCCAGTTGTCAAAGGAGTATTACTTTTGTCATGATTATGCATTTTTAATGATAATGGTACTATAATAGTGGGGTTCTTATAAAGCACTCAAGTCTGTCAGATTGCACTCCTGGCACTCCAAATTTTCAACCAGCTTTAGCATGCCTGCCAATAATGTGGCACTCTAGCATTTTTAAAGAAACTAATTCCTAGCAGGTACCCATTTACCTCACCTGGGTCAAGAGTGGAAAATGTAAATTAATGTCTTGCAAAAAGACTTAAAGAGGTGTGCCAGGGATTCTTCACAAATTAAAGATCCCATTTTCCTTTTCGGGAACCTCTCTTGGTTCCTGAAATTTTCTCCCCCAATTTTCTTTATTAGGTGGTCTGTCGTTTTCGACAGATCACCTATTGTTTTCGTCAGAATTTTCTTTCTTTATTTATTTATTTATTATTATTATTATTATTATTATTATTTATTTTTATTTCTCCCCGTTTTTTGTTCATCGGTTAACTCAAGATCGGTTGTGTTAATTTCTTTCAATTTTGACACAGTCATAGGTCATTGTCATGAGACGTGACAGTAACCTTTTCAAGGTCATCAGGTCATCGTGACGTCATCCAGGCGCCATTTTGTGAAATCACGTTATCCATCATATCTTCATGATGCCTAAGCAAAGGTCATTCATATTCATATCACATAAACTTCAGGTCAAGGGTCAACATGTCATGTCATCAAAGGTCACATAAAGGTCATGACGCTCACGTACGCGCGCGTCAAAATTTTAAAATGCTCAAAATCACTTAACTATTAAACGAGAGTACGAATCAGGTCATTTTAAGCATTTCAAAATTTTCCGTCCGTACTTGTCCCCGCGCGCGTTGTGCGCGCTCAAAGCGCGCGGAAAGGGTCAAATTCAAAATGTATACATGATTTAGATTCCTCTTAACGTAATTGACAAATTACATTAATTTCAGTCACTCTTCATATTTCATAAGGCCGTGAGCGTGCGTCAAAGTTCAAAATCCGCGCGTGCTGCTATGGGCAATTTAATGCAAATTTCATCAAAAACATGCCATTTTAAAAATCGATATAGCTCTTCAGATAGTCCATCGACCCCCAATTTTTATATCATGGTTGGAAAAAGCATGAGTTGGAGATATGATTTCATACCACCCTGACTCGTACAAAGTGAAACAAAGTCATCATATTGGCATCTAAACTCAAACAAATGTATTTTGTTGATGACGTCATTTTTGTCTTTGTTCAATTGAGATTATCTCACTTATCTGTGATCACTTTTCTCTCAGATTTTGATATGTTGTAGCTGAGATAATTCTCTATCAAAAATATGTCATTCATTTTTTATTTCGATGACGTCATCATAGTTAAATATTCCATTAAAGGTGAATGCATAATTTGTCATATTTGCGTGTTATGTCTATGGGAGGTCACTTTTTTCAAAACATGAATCTGCATGACAATGTGATTTGACCAGCGTCTCGATTGTTATTCAAAATAGTTTTCAACCAAATCTTAATATGTTGTAGCTGAAACTTTATGCTATCTAAATATTTCCTCATTTTTTCAATCAGATGTCAGGATCATGCTCATACTCATCATCGTCATCATCATCATCATCAATATGATCATCATCATCATCATCATCATCATCAATGTCACCACCATCATCATCATCATGGTCTAAAGATGATCATCATCAACATCATCATGATCATGATCATTATCATCATCATTAACATTATCGTTTTTATCATCATATACCATTATCATTATCATCATCATCACCTTTACTATCATGATCATCATCATGTTCATCATGATCATCATTGTTTACATGTTATATATAATTTCTCCCATTCTCAAATCTATCATGAGACTTACAAAGACCACCTTATTCGTCTTCGTGACGAATTAAATTTCTAGTTTAGATCTAATTTTCTGATCTATAAAGCAGATAGACAAATACTATGTATATTTGTAGACTCCTATGTGCATTAATTAAATTTTGATTACCTATTTCTAAATGAGAAATTTCTGGACTTACTTTAATATAGGAGTTATCACATTTTTATCTCAAAACCGTGAAACGGTATGTTCATGCATTCGAACTAGTAATCTATTCACATGACCCCACCGATATATTTCCAGGTCAACCTACCAAAACATAGCCATTGGCCAATCAGAGCACTTGTTTAATATTGGATTTATGAATATTCACATATCACTGGGTCAAGCCGTGCTGACTCGTACGTAGCTACATGTATTGGACGTTCGAAAAGAAAAAATGAATATTCATCAACTAAAACCAAGATGGATGACAACAAATGTTGACTACGAGACTTTCTCGGATTAATCATTCATTTAGGATCTTAATGAGCAAGCTATCGTATAAAGTCAAAGTAGATAATTCTGTGTTATTTTTTATTTTTTAATATAGGGTAGGCTTGAGTTGGTACGGTCGATCACACTGGGACCCGACCGTTGCCGTCGGGTCCCGGTTTCGTTTTTTGAGAACCGACGCTCCGAAAAAAATAACGAAATATGTAAGAAATTGCAGTTTTGCACACCACTAAAATCAATCCACCTTAAAACTTAAGTATTTAATTGTTACCAATCATATTCTAGCTCATCCTGAATCAATCCGAACTGCTGATATAAATATGGGTTGCAAGGCAGTTCGCCCCATGGGGTTGTTGTTGCCAGCTGCTAGCTAGCTACTGTACTGGCCGGGTCTCCCGGCAGGATTAATAAATCAGGTTGAAAGAAACATTAATGTTTGAATAATAAAACGGCTTTCTAAAAAGTACTTCTTTTCAACATACCGATCGAATAATTTTTAAAAGACAAAATAAATATTTTTTCTTTGATTTTGAACACCGCATGCTCCTTTTAAAAGCTGAAATTTACTTGGTAATCACAAGAAGTTTCGATACGGATAGCAAGGCAAGTTCAGACTAGTCTCGGAAAAATGCGCAGTGCTCCACGTTAGCTGTAATGCGTGCCAGAACGAACCCAAACAAACACGTGATCGTAACGAGAAAAAAATCATTAAAAACTACGAGAGCACAATTGGAAAGACAACTACTCAAAATTATCGTAAGCAGATACATATAACTTGGAGGAAGAAAACAATAGTTATCCAAGAAAAGCCACATAAATAGTGATATTGAAGGAGTTACTATAGGTACAATCATTATTGGAAGGGCCTGCTGCAATATCCGAATTACACGTGTTTAAATTGAACACGAGGCTATACGAGGCAAATACCGCCCTCTACGGTAAAAAGCAGTATAACAAAGGATTCGAGTATTTGCAGCAGGCCCCTTGCGATAAAAATGTACCTAGTTACTCCTCGATTATCACAATTTCTGTGGCATTCCTTGGCAGTTATTGAATTCTTTGTCCAGGTTATCTATCTGATTATGATAATTTTGAGCAGTAGTTGTCTTTCCAATTGTGCTCTCGTAGTTTTTAATGATTTTTTTCTCAGTTACGATCACGTCTTTGTTTGGGTTCATTCTGGCACGCATTACAGCTACTTACGAGGAGCACCGCGCATTTTTCCGAGACTAGTCTGAACTTGCTTTGCAACAGCTATCCGTATCGAAACTCTTGATTACCAAGTAATTTTCAGCTTTTAAAAAAAAGCATGCGATGTTTAAAATAAGAGATAAATATTTATTTTGTCTTTAAAATATTATATGATCGGTATATTGTACAGAAGAAATTTTTAGAAAGCCGTTTTATTATTCTAACATTCATATTTTTTGACCAGATTTATTCAACCTGCATAAATCAAAATGGCGGCTCGAATGTTGTCTTTCTATTTCTGCCCCAGTTTTTTTACTTTTAGAGGTACGAAAATGGCACTAAACATCGCCAATCATGGATGAAAATAATGTCAAATGGAAGAATATACCGATCTGAGCCGAGGTATGCATGTGTTGATTTATTTGATTGGTAAAAAAGGTCACTTTTAAGGGACATACTGATTTTATGTGCTTTTTATAGAGGCAAGTGACAAATCCTGCAAGCTGATTTCGGGACACCGGGTCCCGATCGGTAGAAGGCCGTCGGGACCCGGTTTATGAAAATCCCGACATGACTCAGGCCTAATATAGGGTCTAGCCTCTAGGGTCTAATTATTGTAATATTGCAGCCAAAGTGCATTTATGAGGATGTAAAGAGTAAAAATCTTGTTGCATATCTCATTCGTCGCGGTCCGGCCGAACCGAACCATTCCTCCCGTACAGTCCCCATAGGACGTTCTTCAGTCTATGTATAGAGGCGGTCAGATTAGCCAGATGCAATCTCTGAGGAACAAACGTCGATATCAGAGACTGAAGCTGTCGGTCGACTATAGTAGGGTGTCTGATCGCGCACCCGATGTTGTGTGCTAAAATTCTTCCCATAGATTTTTTTTTTTCAAAATCGAGATTCAAACCTTTAACTGTTGTGATCCTGAAGGTGATAATCAATGAATGAGGTGTCATATGAAAGAGCAGGTGAATTCCAATATTTCCAAAGGGGCGTAGCCCCCGAAATTCTAAAAATATCTTGGTCAAAACAGCAATTTAAACATTGTGTCCTGGCTAACTCTGAGGTTTGTCACTTTTGATATATGACGCCCCGATCGATAAGTAGTCCCAGTCCTAAGGAACAATTCTATGTGATTATATTTTCGCTAGCCCCCAGGGATCACAACTGATAACAGTTTAAAAATACCCTTCTCGCTATTTGGTGGATCAGCTAATTAGGGGGCGTGCGCTCCGCTCAGTCCAAACCATGGTTACATCGCGTAACATCTCCGCGCACGAACAAAACCCCAAATTCAATTACACATTATAGTGACTGAAATTATGGTTGGCAATTCCCTCGATAAACCCGGAAGTGAATACACGTTATAGTCAATGGCAATATCGCGGAGACAACGTGCGTTGTCTCCGCGATATTGCCATTGACTACAACGTGTATTCACTTCCGGGTTCTAATGGCACATATCGCAGAGACAGCGTGGCTCAAGCTGCAAGTCGCGCATTGGCTTAGCAACATGCGTACTATATGCATACGCTTGCATATCGCGCGATACAGCTGTTTGTCTGAATTTAGCAAAACAACATCACTCTGCGTGGACGTCTTTTTCGTCGATTTTGACCAAAATGATATGAATATACCAGCGTTTTGGAGGGGCTGTAACTTTTGATAGAAACATCGGGGAGACTTGAAATTTGAAATGTATTATTCTGATAACATTTTATATTCAAATATCAAACAAAAATGGTGAAAAACGATCCCAAATTGAAAATTGAAAAATCGTTCAGACACCCTAACTATACTAAGGCTGCATATGCTACAACTCCAGGGAGCTTTGCCGCCAATGGGAAAGTATGCATGTGCAGTACGTGCTGCCCCCGCCCTAGACCGAAAGCTTCAGTCTCTATAATCGTCGGTTGTTCCACTGAGACTACGTCTGGCTCCACTAGACCTCCGGTTATAGAGACTGAACGACTGCCTATGCCAGCCTGTGTTGAACTTATTCCGCTAGATTTTAGCCGCTAGGCCCCTCCCACAAACTTGCCACGGCCGTATTGTTATGCCCCCAAAATCCCCCAAAATGTCATTTTACCTCGTTCATTTCCAATTTTAAATTAGGCCTAGGCTATAATACATCGGTTCCACTTACTAACTTCATTGATATAATCCGTTTAATGGTCCCTTTTAAGGAAATTATCGGTCAAAATCGACATCCATGTTGAAAATCTTGCAAGCCGTGTTTAACTTTCGCTGCCGTCAATCTCATCCCTTCTAGTCTACGCCGAAGGCAAAATGATTATGAAGGAAAAACTGTGCGCCATCTACACGTTCGTAATGGCGTTATCACAGTTTTTCCTTCATAATCATTTTGCCTTCGGCGTAGACTAGAAAGGATGAGATTGACGGCAGCGAGAGTTTAACACGGCTTGCAAGATTTTCAACATGGATGTCGATTTTGACCGATAATTTCCTTAAAAGGGACCATTAAACGGATTATATCAATGAAGTTAGTAAGTGGAACCGATGTATTATAGCCTAGGCCTAATTTAAAATTGGAAATGAACGAGGTAAAATGACATTTTGGGGGATTTTGGGGGCATAACAATACGGCCGTGGCAAGTTTGTGGGAGGGGCCTAGCGGCTAAAATCTAGCGGAATAAGTTCAACATAGGCTGGCATAGGCGATCGTTCTGTCTCTATAACCGGAGGTCTAGTGGAGCCAGACGTAGTCTCAGTGGAACAACCGACGATTATAGAGACTGAAGCTTTCGGTCTACCCCCGCCCCAGCATGCATACTTTCTCGTCGCCATGTTTATCAAGGATTACAACATGGATCTGGGATGAATTGGGTTAATCGAGGATTCACCATTTTTCCCCATCGAAGACTTCTTCAAATTATCATTTCAAGTAGTTGAACGGATGCCCAGGCCCAGAGGAGTCGAAAAACATTATAAGTCAAAATTGTAATTACTACTTCTTTACATTTCGAAAATATGTGACCCAACCCACTGTTTGAATCGTTTTCCGCCGACGAATCCCTGGAGTTTCATATGCTACAGCACTGCATGCAACAAGATCAGACGTACTCACATTCATGTACTGCACTGAGCTAGCTGGCATTGCATTGGCCAGTGCAGTCATTGTCATTTTGACTTGATAGTTGATTGAAAATTTAGAATAACTAATCATTAGTTTGATCTTACATGTCCTGAAGTTGAACGTGAAATGTATCAGAAATGGATCATTTGCAAACAGTCAATACGACATTAGATATCGGCAACGAATTTAGGATGCATGTATTTTACAAAAGCAGCGAACTTACCTAATCTGACAGCATATAGACCTACATCGTAATTCGTATTGCATCAATGTTGTTTCAATACACAGCTCAGATCCGGAAACTTCGCCTAGCCGCAGTATACGGTACCCTTGTTTTGTATACACAAAAGTGCAAGGGTTATCCGCGGCTAGCGCCTATATATGGGCCGTATGCGCTCAATACAAGATGGGCAGGATCCGGAGAACATAACATAGGTCATAATAGCAGATTATGAAGACATCAATAAATTCATGTTTGTTTATTCGGCCAACATAAGATTACGGTCCACAAATGAAGAAAGAAGGAAAGAACAATCAAGCATGAATGAAATAAATAAATTTTTAAAACGCATAAAAGAAAGAGGAAAGCAACAAGGCGAATTAAAAGATGAAAAGAGAAAGAACTTCTTTCTCTTTTCATCTTTCTTCTCATTATTATTCTAACGGAAAGAAAACAGAAAATTTAGACAGGAAAAGAAAGAAAGGAGAAATTTGGATTGGGGATAGAAAAAAAATGAGTTTCAGATCGATATAGTCGCTTCAGCTATGTTATAATTGAATGCTTTCATGATAATCATATTAGCTTATAAAATCTAGTTATAAGATGTTTGCAAAAGTTACATGAAACGTAGACAGGGATACCTCCAGATCCGAGTCCATGCAGGACTATCATGGTCATTTTATGGAGAGTAGTAGTATGATCCCTCCAAGTTGGAAAAATAGTAACATTACCTTTAAGAAAAAAATACTGTTTTATCGAGAATGGTAAGAGGCCGGTTTATTGAAAATTCATAATTTGTTTACAAATGGTATTTGTAATGACTCTTCAATACTAAATACAAAAGTGAAAGCACAACAGCTCCTATTTGATTTTAAATATACAAAATTAAAGAAAGCATTTCCACAGTGTTGGTTGGATAGATTAAGCTATGAATTTGAAAAAGAATGTGATATTTTGAATATTATTGAATAGAAACAGGGTATAAAGTATTTGTTATGAAAGTGAATCGTTTGTTAATACGTAAAAAGTCAAGAGAACCCGCAAATATCATTTACTTTTGGAATTCCTTTTTAGATTTGGATAATGACTTTGTTTGGAAGGATATATTTTTATTTAAATTAAAGCAAATTCGTAATAATAAAGTTAAACAATTTAATTTCAAGATGATTCATAGGTTTATTGCCTCAAAAAAAAACTTATATAAATGGCAAATTGTTAACAATAATTTATGCAACTCTTGTGGACAAGTTGACTAAACTTTTCATTTTATGTTATATTGCAAGGATGTGACTTTGTTTTGGAAAATAATATGTAATTTGATATTTAATCTATTCCAAAAAGAAATGGCCAGAAGATAATAGTTGTAGGTGTGGATATTGGAAACAAGAAATATTCACTTCTGAATATTATTTTAAATTATGCGCAATATGTCACAGTCACATCTCCCTGGTTAAGTTAAACTGTCGCTCATTAAGGTGGATTTTTTTATTTTTTTTTACCCCAATTTATGGAATTATTTTAAAAATAATTTAAAAATAATAGATCTAGATAATAGTATACATTCTCAGATTTTATTGATTAACAATTTACCAATGTGTGTTTTGCGTGACTAAAAAAGCATGTGTATGCTACTATGCTTATCAACTAGGGGACCTATGCCCTTAAGTCATAAATGACAGTAATGAGGATTAATGCCCCACAAAAGATCACTAATATACAGTGGCGGATCCAGGGGGGTCCAGGGGGCCCGCCCCCCCCCCTGGAGAAAAAAATCATGTAAAATCACGTGAGTTTTACCTTTTTGGGGGGTTGGTCCCCCCCCCCCCCCCCCTGGCGCTCATTGCAAATTGAAATTTTTTTGAGCATAAAAAAAAAAAAAATGTGCTCCCCCCCCTCCCCCCCCCCCCCCCCCCCCCCCCCCCCCCCCCCCCCCCCCACTGAGCGAATTCTTGGCCGGCGCGTTTTTCAAATTTTCGGGAGCAAAAAAAAAAAATTGTGCTCTGTACCCCCCCCCGGCGCGATTTTCAAATTTTCGGGAGCAAAAAAAAAAAAAGTTGGGCCCCCTCCCCTAAGAAATCCTGGATACGGGCCTGCTAATATAGCACATCGACACATTGCTCCTGGGGCCTCACTGTTACGAGGCGATTGCTTTGTCACTAAACCGAGACTGTAGTATGTACGCAGTGGGGGCTAGGGTAGGGGCAGTTTTCCATAAATTAAAAAAAAACAACAGAAAATGCAATAAATTTTCAATAATTTATCGCATTTTACCCCAGTCCCCAACATAAACCATGCATTATGGCTCAAGGTACACAGAAGAAGGACCCGAGCTCCCCCCCCCCCCCCCCCTGGCCCCAAAATAAGTAAATTAACCTTAAATCTTTTTTTTTTAAAGACGGGCCCCCGCCCCCAATGAGCAACAACAAAAATAAGTGCTCCTCACCCCCAGAGTTGAGTAGTCCGTAGGACTTTGGTTAATGTTACAAATTAATAATACGGCAAGACACAATAATATTTTTTCCTCATTATTTAGCTGGCTGTAAGACACCGTTAAAAACCCACATTATAAAACGAACAACAACAACAACGAACTTCCAACTTTTTTTTATTTGTCGTCGGCAATGAACGAACAGACGAACTCTCATCATACACATGATTTAACTAGATTGCGAGGTAGATATGTAATTTGAAAGTACTAGGTAATTGAATGGCATGTGAGGGTTGATAAATTTAATTTCATCAATTAATAATTAAAAAGAAGACGGCTTACAATATAATGTCAACTCCAAATTGTTCTAGTTCAGTCCCAGTAATCTACTATTGAGTTAGTTACCGTTTTTTGTGCGTTCGATGCGCAATGTTATTTATGTTGCAGATGTTGCTGTTGTTATGAATGTTTTCTTCTTCTTCTTCTTCTCCTTCTTCTTCTTCTTCTTCTTCTTCTTCTTCTTCTTCTTCTTCTTCTTCTTCTTCTTCTTCTTCTTCTTCTTCTTCTTCTTCTTCTTCTTCTTCTTCTTCTTCTTCTTCTTCTTCTTCTTCTTCTTCTTCTTCTTCTTTCTTCTTCTTCTTCTTCTTCTTCTTTCTTCTTCTTCTTCTTCTCTTCTTCTTCTTCTTCTTCTTCTTCTTCTTCTTCTTCTTCTTCTTCTTCTTCTTCTTCTTCTTCTTCTTCTTCTTCTTCTTCTTCTTCTTCTCTTCTTCTTCTTCTTCTTCTTCTTCTTCTTCTTCTTCTTCTTCTTCTTCTTCTTCTTCTTCTTCTTCTTCTTCTTCTTCTTCTTCTTCTTCTTCTTCTTCTTCTTCTTCTTCTTCTTCTTCTTCTTCTTCTTCTCTTCTTCTTCTTCTTCTTCTTCTTCTCCTCCTTCTCCTCCTTCTCCTCCTCCTTCTCCTTCTTTCCTCCTTCTTCTTCTTCTCCTTCTCCTTCTCCTCCTCCTCCTCCTCCTTCTCCCTCTCCTCCCTCTCCTTCTACTTCTTTGTATTCTTCCTCTTCCTCTTCCTCTTCCTCTTCCTCTTCCTCTCCCTCTCCTCCTTCTTCTTCTGCTTCTCCTCCTCCTCCTCCTCTTCCTCCTCCTATTCCTCCTATTCCTCCTCCTCCTCATCATCATCCTCCTCCTCCTCCTTCATCTTCTTTTTCTCCTATTTCTTTTTCTTTTTCTTCAAGGGTTAGGGTCAAATTTTTGCCTTTTGATTAAATATAATCCTTTTTTTCTTCTTTATTTCTTTTTCTTTTATTCTCTTTGACTTATTTCCTCTTAATCTCTTCTCTTAATGTTCTTTTACACATGCCTCCCTTTCTATTCTAATTGTGTCCTGCTTCTGTCTCTTAACTTTCCATCTTTTCTGAAATGTTCTTTTTCTTTTTATCCTTTCTCCTTTTAGCTACACCACCTTATCCTTGTAACAAATCCAGGATCTCAGAGGCACATATGCCTTCTCAGTTTAAAATTACTGAATTCTTTCAAGTGTACAATTGAATAAGCTTGAATTTGTGTCTGTCTCCTGACAAGGTTGAAGATATGACCAGTCCATATAAGCTCCTATTACCAGATAATTTCGCTTCATGGTAGTGTAACCAAGCAAGTCATCATGATTCGACACCAGGCAGAGACTTTTATAATAACCTGGGTTGCCTATGCTTCAACCTATCTTCTACGTAAACCTCTTGGAGTGGTAAGTGTTGGATATGTTGCATGTTAGGATGTATAGAACATTAATGATATATAAAGAGTTATTTGAAAATGTATACTACATAATTTTCAAGTGAAATCAAAAGTGATTGAATTGTGCATGAATCTATTTTAATATGGTTATAACATTATCATTTGATTGCCATGATGATACTTGCAAAGCTCCTATATATATATTAAGAGACATGTGTATTATATAAACCCTGATACTGATAGTGTCATATCTTTGAAGAAGATTTGATTTGTATTTAATACTTTCATTTGGCAAATGTAAGATGGCCAGAATGAATAGATTATAAGTTCTAGGGACTAGGGTACGGTATAATAGATAAGTCATAAATCAAAATCATAATATGTTTTAAATGTACCTATTTATATTTCTTTAAGGCAATGGGGACCGGTCCATTTTTTCCATTTCACATTGGCCAAGTCCCAAATCTTCTCCTTTTTTTTGAAGGTGAAAGCAGACCTTGCATCAGAGCTTTCTATGAGCAAGGCTCAACTTGGGTGGTTAGATACATCAATGCTTCTTCCATATGCCACAGTTCAGGTATAGTATCCATTGCCTTTCAGAGGATATATATATCCAAGGTTTTAAATTATTTTTCAGTGATGCCAGCGGTAATTAGAAGATTTTTTTGTGTGTGTGGAGGGGGGGGGGTGGTAGGTTATTGACCTCTTTATGTCATATGTTATAATGGTTTGAGCAGGATTCTTAGTTTTTATGCCTCCGCCACCGAAGGTGGTGCTGGAGGCATCATGTTTTCGGGTTGTCCGTCCGTACGTCCGTCCGTACGTCCATCCCGTTTGACCGTTATCACAATATCTCAAGAACCATTGAAGATTTAAACTTAAGACTCGGGAATAGTATTTATCACCATAGGAAGACGATCTGATTAGATTTTGGAGTACGTAGGTCAAAGGTCACAGGTCACAGAGGTCAACTTATGAAATTCCTTGTATTGAGTTTGTTAGCGCGATATCTCAAGAACCATTTGAGATTTAAACTTCAAACTTAAGGATAGTGTGTATCACCATAGGAGGACGATCTGATTAGATTTTGGAGCACGTATGTCAAAGGTCAAGGGTCACAGAGGTCAACTTATGAAATTCCATACATTGAGATTGTTATCATGATATCTCAAGAACCACTGGAGATTTAAACTTCAAACTTAGTGATAGTGTGTATCACTATAGGAAAACAATCTGATTACATTTTGGAGCACGTAGGTCAAAGGTCAAGGGTCATAGAGGTCAACTTATGAAATTCCATACATTGAGATTGTTATGATATCTCAAGAACCACTGGAGATGTAAAAACTTCAAACTTAAGGATAGTATGTATCACCATAGGAAGACGATCTGATTAGATTTTGGAGCATGTAGGTCAAAGGTCAAGGGTCACAGAGGTCAACTTATGAAATTCCATACATTGAGATTGTTATCATAATATCTCAAGAACCACTGGAGATTTAAACTTCAAACTTAATGATAGTGTGTATCACCATAGGAAGACAATCTGATTAGATTTTGGAGCACGTAGGTCAAAGGTCAAGGGTCACAGAGGTCAACTTATGAAATTCCATACATTGAGATCGTTATCGCGATATCTCAAGAACCACTGGAGAAATTTCACTTCAAACTTAATGATAGTATGTATCACCATATCATAATATCTCAAGAACCACTGGAGATTTAAACTTCAAACTTAATGATATTGTGTATCACCATAGAAAGACAATCTGATTAGATTTTGGAGCACGTAGGTCAAAGGTCAAGGGTCACAGAGGTCAACTTATGAAATTCCATACATTGAGATTGTTATCATGATATCTCAAGAACCACTGGAGATTTAAACTCCAAACTTGTTTAAATTGCTCTATGGCGGAGGCATCATTTTCGACTGCGCGCAGTCAAAATTCAATCTAGTTTTTTTTTAATTGGCTAGTTTCCCCATAATGAATGTACATACATGCTATGAGATGAATCCTGCCCCCAATATCCCTTTATAAAGGGGCGTAGTGGCAAATATTGTAAAAATTTGAATTATCACAACTTTCGGGCCGAAGTTGTAAGGGCCGGGGTGGTTCAGCATTTTGGAGGAAAATATTAAATTTTTTTATTAGGCTAGTTTCCCCACAATGAATGTACATACATGCCATTAGATGGATCCTGAACCCTATATCCCTTTGAAAGGGGCGTAGTGGCAAATATTGAAAAATTTGAATTATCACAACTTTTGGGCCGAAGTTGTTAGGGCCGGGGTGGTTCAGCATTTTGGAGGAAAATATATTTTTTTTTTAATTGGCTAGTTTCCCCATATTGAATGTACATACATGCGATTAGATGGATCCTGAACCCTATATCCCTTTGAAAGGGGCGTAGGGGCAAATATTGTAAAAATTTGAATTATCACAACTTTCGGGCCGAAATTGTAAGGGCCGGTGTGGTTCAGCATTTTGGAGGAAAATATTTCAAAAATTTATTAGGCTAGTTTCCCCACAATGAATGTACATACATGCCATTAGATGGATCCTGACCCCCACATCCCTTTGAAAGGGGCGTAGTGGCAAATATTGTAAAAATTTGAATTATCACAACTTTAGGGCCGAAATTGTAAGGGCCGGGGGGTTCAGCATTTTGGAGGAAATATATTTTTTTTTAATTGGCTAGTTTCCCCATAATGAATGTACATACATGCTATAAGATGGATCCTGACCCCTATATCCCTTTGAAAGGGGTGTAGGGGCAAATATTGAAAAATTTGAATCATCACAACTTTCGGGCCGAAATTGTAAGGGCGGGGTGGTTCAGCATTTTGGAGGAAAAAATTATATTTTTCGAATAGGCTAGTTTCCCCACAATAAATGAACATAGATGCCATTAGATGGATCCTGACCCCCATATCCCTTTGACAGGGGGGTAGGGGCAAATATTGAAAAATTTGAGTTATCACAACTTTCGTGCCGAAATGGTAAGGGCCGGGGGGGTTCAGCATTTTGGAGGAAAATATATTTTTTTTTAATTGGCTAGTTTCCCCATAATGAATGTACATACATGCTATAAGATGGATCCTGACCCCTATATCCCTTTGAAAGGGGCGTAGGGGCAAATATTGTAAAAATTTGAATTATCACAACTTTCGGGCCGAAATTGTAAGGGCCGGGTGTGGTTCAGCATTTTGGAGGAAAATATTTCAAAAATTTATTAGGCTAGTTTCCCCACAATGAATGTACATACATGCCATTAGATGGATCCTGACCCCCACATCCCTTTGAAAGGGGCGTAGTGGCAAATATTGTAAAAATTTGAATTATCACAACTTTAGGGCCGAAATTGTAAGGGCCGGGGGGTTCAGCATTTTGGAGGAAAATATATTTTTTTTTAATTGGCTAGTTTCCCCATAATGAATGTACATACATGCTATAAGATGGATCCTGACCCCTATATCCCTTTGAAAGGGGTGTAGGGGCAAATATTGAAAAATTTGAATCATCACAACTTTCGGGCCGAAATTGTAAGGGCCGGGGTGGTTCAGCATTTTGGAGGAAAAAATTATATTTTTCGAATAGGCTAGTTTCCCCACAATAAATGAACATAGATGCCATTAGATGGATCCTGACCCCCATATCCCTTTGACAGGGGGGTAGGGGCAAATATTGAAAAATTTAAGTTATCACAACTTTCGTGCCGAAATGGTAAGGGCCGGGGGGGTTCAGCATTTTGGAGGAAAATATTTTTTTTTTAATTGGCTAGTTTCCCCATAATGAATGTACATACATGCTATGAGATGGATCCTGACCCCCATATCCCTTTGAAAGGGGTGTAGGGGCAAATATTGAAAAATTTGAATCATCACAACTTTCGGGCCGAAATTGTAAGGGCCGGGGTGGTTCAGCATTTTGGAAGAAAATATTAAATTTTGTTATTAGGCTAGTTTCCCCACAATGAATGTACATACATGCCATTAGATGGATCCTGACCCCCATATCCCTTTGAAAGGGGCGTAGGAGCAAATATTGAAAAATTTGAGTTATCACAACTTTCGGGCCGAAATGGTAAGGGCCGGGGTGGTTCAGCATTTTTGAGGAAAATATTTTTTTTTTTAATTGGCTAGTTTCCCCATAATGAATGTACATACATGCTATAAGATGGATCCTGACCCCTATATCCCTTTGAAAGGGGTGTAGGGGCAAATATTGAAAAATTTGAATCATCACAACTTTCGGGCCGAAATTGTAAGGGCCGGGGTGGTTCAGCATTTTGGAGGAAAAAATTATATTTTCGAATAGGCTAGTTTCCCCACAATAAATGAACATAGATGCCATTAGATGGATCCTGACCCCCATATCCCTTTGACAGGGGGGTAGGGGCAAATATTGAAAAATTTGAGTTATCACAACTTTCGTGCCGAAATGGTAAGGGCCGGGGGGTTCAGCATTTTGGAGGAAAATATATTTTTTTTTAATTGGCTAGTTTCCCCATAATGAATGTACATACATGCTATAAGATGGATCCTGACCCCCATATCCCTTTGAAAGGGTGTAGGGGCAAATATTGAAAAATTTGAATCATCACAACTTTCGGGCCGAAATTGTAAGGGCCGGGGTGGTTCAGCATTTTGGAAGAAAATATTAAATTTTGTTATTAGGCTAGTTTCCCCACAATGAATGTACATACATGCCATTAGATGGATCCTGACCCCCATATCCCTTTGAAAGGGGCGTAGGAGCAAATATTGAAAAATTTGAGTTATCACAACTTTCGGGCCGAAATGGTAAGGGCCGGGGTGGTTCAGCATTTTTGAGGAAAATATTTTTTTTTTTAATTGGCTAGTTTCCCCATAATGAATGTACATACATGCTATAAGATGAATCCTGACCCCAATATCCCTTTGAAAGGGGCGTAGTGGCAAATATTGTAAAAATTTGAATTATCACAACTTTCGGGCCGAAGTTGTAAGGGCCGGGTGGTTCAGCATTTTGGAGGAAAATATTTTTTTTTTTTAATTGGCTAGTTTCCCCATAATGAATGTACATACATGCGATTAGATGGATCCTGAACCCTATATCCCTTTGAAAGGGGCGTAGGGGCAAATATTGTAAAAATTTGAATTATCACAACTTTCGGGCCGAAATTGTAAGGGCCGGGGTGGTTCAGCATTTTGGAGGAAAATATTTCAAAAATTTATTAGGCTAGTTTCCCCACAATGAATGTACATACATGCCATTAGATGGATCCTGACCCCCACATCCCTTTGAAAGGGGCGTAGTGGCAAATATTGTAAAAATTTGAATTATCACAACTTTAGGGCCGAAACTGTAAGGGCCGGGGTGGTTCAGCATTTTGGAGGAAAAAATTTCAAAAATTTATTAGGCTAGTTTCCCCACAATGAATGTACATACATGCCATTAGATGGATCCTGACCCCCACATCCCTTTGAAAGGGGCGTAGTGGCAAATATTGTAAAAATTTGAATTATCACAACTTTAGGGCCAAAATTGTAAGGGCCTGGGTGGTTCAGCATTTTGGAGGAAAAAATTATTTTTTCGAATAGGCTAGTTTCCCCACAATAAATGAACATACATGCCATTAGATGGATCCTGACCCCCA